AACATACACAGGGATCTCATGGCAACCTTTTGCAAAGGCTTGGACATGCCAACCCCCTTTGAACTTGAAAAAGTTCCATGTAAAAACTCAAGACCTTGAAAAAGGATGAAGACACAGCTGCCATGCTGCTGCCTCACCAGATGTTTGCCAAGCTTTTCACCTATAATGCCTTTGAAGTTATTTTCCCACCTGAAAAAGTGGAATCCTTTTGGAACCAAGCCCTTGAAAAAGGTGATGGCAGGTTCAAAAACTACCCAGCCCTGGAGGGCAGGATGTGGAAAAAAACTACACTACCTCTGTTCTTGCATGGAGGTGGTGTAGAATACCAGACTAGAGATAGTCTGATGATCTACTCTTGGGGGAGCCTGTTGCAACAAATGTCAAGCTTGTCTTCACATTTTTACATTGCATCCTTCCCCAAGAGCTGCACTGTGCCAGAGACATGGGACACCATGCAAGAATGGATCTGTTGGTCATTTGCAGCAATGCAAAATGGCTACCATCCATCTCATGATCCCTGGGCAAAACCTTTGAAAAAAGATTCCCCTTTTTTCCTTGAGAAAGGAAAACCTCTGGCAAAAGGACTGAAGGGTGTCTTTTGGTCCATACAGGGGGACCATGAGCTTTTCTCAAACTCCCTGAAGTTACCACATTGGGCCAGCAAGGGCCCCTGTTGGGAATGCTCTTGCAGCAAAACCTTTGAAAAAGGGAAAAGCATGTGGTACAAAACCCTTGAAAAAGGGAAGCAAGGCTGGAAAGTTTCATCCCATGAGGAGTGCTTGAAAAAGCCTAAACGCACACATGCTTTGTTCTCTGGGGTGATTCCAGGCTTGAGCACCAAAATGGTGAGCGGTGAGGGGTGATTGCCTCCACATTTTGTTTTGCAAAGGTGTGCTGGGCCACCTTCTGGGATCTATCATTCACTATTTTCTTTATTATTATGATGGTGTTGGTGTTGCCCAGAAAGTGCCCCCTGAAAAGAGGCTAGGTACAATTTTTGAAGCTGTACAGAAAGAGTATGTCTTGAAAAAGATATCTCAAAGGGTGACAAACCTTCGACTCAGCATGGTTTGCAACCCCAAAGAGCCTCATAAGACCTTTGCTCAATTAGATTTGAAAGGCTCAGAAACCAAATGGTTTCTCCAAGCTTTTGCCCCAGTTCTGGCAGAGATTGTGTCTCTTGAAAAAGAGCATGAAGCAGCCATGCTGGATGCTGTGAATGACATGGCAGCTCTCATTCATTTGTTTGATGAAGCTGATGTCTTCTTGACAAATGATGAGTGGCTACAGGCCATGGAGCTGGGAGACAGCTTTTCCACCCAGTACAGCCATCTCTCAGGCTGGGCCCTTGAAAAAGGGAGAACCTTGTTTAACATTGTGATGAAACATCACACATTCCAACACTTGCTTGAGAATGCAAAGTTTTTAAATCCAAAAACCCACTGGACATTTAGTTCAGAGGATTTTGTTGGAAAAATGAGCATTCTCACAGCAAGTGTTAGTCCTGGGGTTAGCTCCACAAGGTTGAGCCTTAAGGTAGCTCCTAAATACAGGATCTTGTTTCACTTCTTGCTGACCAGAGAAGGGATGCAGGAAGCTGGTATGAACATTGATCCTTGAAAAAGGACACAGCTACATGAGTGGATGAGGATGCACGATGGAGCTTTTGAAGGAAGTCTCGCACAGACACGTTTTTGATTGAGATGCAGCAAGTATGCTGATGCGAAACTCGCTATGTTTTTTCATACAAAGTCCGTCCCCGAACCTCGATGATCTACCTCTGCGGTGCGACGGTTGCGAGACGGTCTCGTGTGTGGCCGGATCATGTCGGATATGCTTCGGATCATTCTCGGATCGGTTCCGCATTGTAAATGGGGTTTCAACTGTTTTTCGTGCATGTGTGGTCGACAGAATTCCATTGTGATTTGCAACTGTAGGATCGTTCCCGCATTGTAAATGGGGTTGCAAGTGGTGCTGGTGGATGAGTTGCTGATGGAATTCCATTGTGATTTGCAACTCTAGGATCGTTCCCTCACTGAAATGGCATTGCAAGTGGTGCTGGTGGAGGAGTTGCCGATGGAGTTTTGGAGGAAGTCTCGCACGAAATGCGTTTTTGAGAGATAGCAGATGCACGAAACCCTATGTTTTTCCATACAAAGTCCGTCCCCGAACCTCGATGATCTACCTCTGCGGTGCGACGGTTGCGAGACGGTCTCGTGTGTGGTCGGATCATGCTCGGACCATGCTCGGATCATTCTCGGATCGGTTCCGCATTGTAAATGGGGTTTCAACTGTTTTTCGTGCATGTGTGGTCGACAGAATTCCATTGTGATTTGCAACTGTAGGATCGTTCCCGCAATGTAAATGGGGTTGCAAGTGGTGCTGGTGGATGAGTTGCTGATGGAATTCCATTGTGATTTGCAACTCTAGGATCGTTCCCTCACTGTAAATGGCATTGCAAGTGGTGCTGGTGGAGGAGTTGCCGATGGAGTTTTGGAGGAAGTCTCGCACGAAATGCGTTTTTGAGAGATAGCAGATGCACGAAACCCTATGTTTTTCCATACAAAGTCCGTCCCCGAACCTCGATGATCTACCTCTGCGGTGCGACGGTTGCGAGACGGTCTCGTGTGTGGTCGGATCATCCTCGGATTGGTCTCGGATCGGTCTCGGATCGGTTCCGCATTGTAAATGGGGTTTCAACTGTTTTTCGTGCATGTGTGGTCGACAGAATTCCATTGTGATTTGCAACTGTAGGATCGTTCCCGCATTGTAAATGGGATTGCAAGTGGTGCTGGTGGATGAGTTGCCAATGGAATTCCATTGTGATTTGCAACTGTAGTATCCTTCCCGCAATGTAAATGGGATTGCAAGGTTGCTTCCTGCTTTGGCTGCAAACGTAATACTATTGTCTTTTGCAGCTGGACTTCGTAAATCGTATTGGAGTGGCTGCATGAAGGCTGCGACAGTGATTTGTCAGCAGATTTCCTCCATTTTGGCGCTAGTAATTTTCCTTTTAAAAATCCTTTTAAAAAGTGCTTCAAAATCGTCTTTTTTTCGCTCTGGCGTCGAGATCCGGTTTTGGAGCTACAATTTTCCGACGCCGTTGCACGTAGGTTTAGAGCAGTGAAGTGTGGGGCGTGAAGAGTGCAGTGTGAAGTGTGCAGTGTGAAGGAAGCAGTGGGAAGTGAGAAGTGTGAAGTGTGGAGTGTGAAGTTTAAGTTTGGAGTGTGAAGGAAGCAGTGAGAAGTGACAAGTGTGAAGTGTGGAGTGTGAAGTAATTCCATCGTTCGTGCGGTTGTATGTTGATAACCTCCATAAAATGACCACCGTGACTTTGATTAGTGTGACCATACCTGATGTGACTGTGACTGTGACTATTCTGATCATGACTACTGTGACCATAGATACTATGACAAAGACTACTTTGACAATGACCGTTGTGGCTGTAACTGTAGTGACAATGAGTATTGTAACTGTTTGGACTGGCCCCTTTTTAGGTAATGACAGTGGGAAGTAGAAGTGACGGCATTAGTGTCCCAAGAATAAATGACTAGAAAGTGAAGTGTGGACTGTGAAGTGTGGAGTGTGAAGTTTGGAGTGCAAAGAGTGCAGTGTGAAGTGTGGAGTGTGGAGTGTGAAGTGTGAAGTTTGGAGTGTGAAGGAAGCAGTGAGCAGTAAGAAGTGTGAAGTGTGGACTGTGAAGTGTGAAGTGTGAAACGTGGAATGTGAAGTGCGAAGTGAGTGTGAAGTGTGAAGTTTGGAGTGTGAAGGAAGCAGTGAGCAGTGAGAAGTGTGAAGTGTGGACTGTGAAGTGTGAAGTGTGAAATGTGGAGTGTGAAGTGCGAAGTGAGAAGTGTGAAGTGTGAAGTGTGGAGTGTGAAGTGCAAAGTGAGAAGTGTGAAGTGTGAGGTTTGGAGTGTGAAGTGTGGAGTGTGAAGTGTGGAGTGTGAAGTGCGAAGTGAGAAGTGTGAAGTGTGAAGTTTGGAGTGTGAAGGAAGCAGTGAGAAGTGAGAAGTGTGGACTGTGAAGTGCGAAGTGTGAAGTGTGGAGTGTGAAGTTTGGAGTGTGAAGGAAGCAGTGAGAAGTGAGAAGTGTGAAGTGTGGACTGTGGAGTGTGAAGTTTGGAGTGCGAAGAGTGAAGTGTGAAGTGTGGAGTGTGAAGACTTTGCTTCGTCTCTCGCTGAAAAAAAAAACCGCTTGTCGAGGGAAGGACACGCTCGGGACAGGCTGGCCTTGAACTATAGGTCATTTATTCTTGGGAAACTTCCGCCGCCGGCTTGCCCGGGTCTATGTTAGCATGATTCAACATGAGTTCCAGCCTAGATGCCCCAAAACTGCTTGTACAGGTTTCAAAACAGCTCTTGAAGGTGTAGAAGCAAAATCATTCAGGGTCAATGGATATCCAGGGATCAGAGGAGCGGGGCGTAACTCAAATCGAACATTGATGACCCTTTGAGAGGCCCATGCAATGGCTTCTCTGAGGAATTTTACAGACATCTGATGAATCTGAAACATCTAGGATATGGAGTTCCATCTTGGAGAACCGATTCGCTGCGCCACCTCCAACCTTACAATTGGCTCTTCGGCACCTGCCACATCTGATCCTGGAACTGTTTGGAAGAGACTTTCCAAAATGGGTCGACTTTGGATGATGATGATTTAGCACGTAAACTTGGGAAGGGGTGTCAGCAGTGGAAGAACTTTAGGGAAGAGACAGCAGCGTCTTTTGGCTCTATGAGTTCAAACCAATACTGGTGAATTGCGACCCAAATTGTGCAATGACTGCATCCTAGTTTGCGTTGCCAATGCAACCAGCCGTGGCTATGGTCCCTGTCCGGTACCCAAGACTTTGGTTTGAAGCATCTGCATGTAGCTAAATGAGTCTTTGCAAATCAGCGTTGCATTGTCCAAATTGTAAACCTTTGCTGGCTGCCTTTTAGCCAAACATTGCTACTGAAGGAACCAGTTGTGGACCCTTGGCTGCTTTAGTCGCCAGTTCACTAGCCCAGCAGCCCCACAAAACGTCCTTTTCTGGCACTATGGGCACTTGCTTCACTTCCTTTGGAATCATCGTGGCCATGGTTGTGGAGCGAAGGTAGGATGTACCACTTCCACGCAGGCAGCACCAACACGGCCAAACCCACCTTGTGGCATCAGCATGGATAAGCACAGATCAGCATGGATCAGCAGGTCCCTGGGTCTGTTGGGGAGCGGTAAACAGCGGGATCGTGAAAACAGTGCAAAGGGGCTGCTTTTTGAAGGATGACTTGCACATCCCCAACAGTGACACACTGGGGGACACTGTTCTCTGATGCGTCTTCATGTTGAACCTGGGGAGCAATTGGCATGCAGAACATTTATGGCACGAGAGCCATTTCCGTTCAAAAGTGAATGAACATGGCTATCCCCCATATTTCTATGCCAGCCCCACCTGTAATAGTTTTCTTGATCTTGAAGTTCTGGTTTCCCAATAAGAGAACCACATGGGATATCAACAAATACAATTGTACCCCATCGGCTTAAAGTTTAAAAGCAGGCCACATGATTCAAATCGTAACATTTGGCGATCGTTGCGACAAGCGACTGCCATGAGCAGATTGCACACTGCCGGTGGTACGCTTCCAAGGCCAAGGTGGTGCCGGCTCATTGCGGCATTGGCACCTGGAGCAACTGGGCTGCCTGCTTTGATATGTCACGCTAAGTTTCAACATGTTTCAACATGTTCACCTACGGTACGAGTAGTATACTATGGAATGAAATGGTGACATGATCGACGTGACCGACATGACCTGCCAAGCATAGGTACATGATCCGCTATCACTGTCAAGCCTTCTGAAGCTTCATGGCCAGTGTCTTACAAATCTGATCTTGATAAGACGCTGAAGAGTGCTGGACCTTTATGATTCAGATCCTGGCCTTCGTAGCCGTCGCCCTGGCCACGAGTGGATAAGCCGCCCAGAGCGGCATCGAAGCAGCGTTCCCATGAGAAACCAACCAACATTCCCAAGGCCGAGATGATCAGGCGAAGTGCCTGTGACGCCACATATTCGTGAAAAAGTTACAGAGCATATACATCGTGTAATATACACACATGAGCATACATGTAAATATTGTAAATGTACACATATCTATGCATGTATAGAGATACGCATGAACTTGCACGTACACTGACACGTACAAATACAAAGAAACATTGAAATACAATCAAACACATGCATATACACATGTCACTTGTACATTTATACATACACACGGGTGTACAATGGTGTACATATGATGTAGGAACTACAATGCCCCTCCTGGTCCAGTTCGGCATCCTCAAAATGCATGTCGGCCACCTGTGGGATGATCCAACTGAAATGGAAATCATGGTGGCTCGAGATGTATTTCGGAGTAGTCATCTCAAAAAAACAAAGATCTCGAGAGGTCGGATTGGATTTCAGATAATGTCAGTGAAAAAGCACGGAGAATTACGGGTCATTAAGGAGACCAGAGGAGACCTATATGACCGGATTATCACGGGATTGAATGTGGACCTGACGTTTTGGTCATATTCCACGCACTGCAGCCTCGAGGTCGATACTTTCCGGCCTTATCGATGCCAAAGATAAAAATAAAGGCCGCAAAGGTCACCAATAAAGCAGAGACCACTGCCTGCGAGGAGCCGAACTGGACAAATCATGACGGACCATGACGGACCAAACTGGACAACGATCAAGCAAAGCAGCGTTTGCCAGGACAGCCTAGGTTTGTTTGCCAAGGTGAATGCATGAGAGTCATCATTGTCATGCTTGGTGGGTGGCAGGGTGGGGGGACGTCTGAACCAGCAGCAGCGGTGTTCTGTTCTGCATGGTCATTGGGAAAATGAGCGAAGAACTGTTGTTTTTCAGGGTTCAGCGCGTCACGGTGAAAAAGCAAAGCGAAATACGGGTACTTTGCGTTAGTCCCAAATTTGTGACCCAATAACCCATGGTCAGCATATCCTGGGAGTGCAGTATGTGATGCAACACAGATCGTCTTTGCGATATGACATGATATGACCCCCCTTCCAAACTTGTCAGGCTGGAGAGACAAAGGAAACCGGGGAGCTGAAGCATTGAAGCATCAAGAGGAACGTCGAGTACAGAGACCTTCCCGGATTTCATTCCCGTGCCTTCAAGGACCCATCCAAGTCGAAATTTGAGGAAATCCACCACTCTGCAGCAAAGAGGAGGCTAAAGGCGAAAGTCATAGCCTTGGAAGCAACATGCCAATTTTTGCTTGGGGCCTGGGGATCCCCAAAGACAGCTAAGGCTATGATATGTTATGATGCTAGGAACTGTGAGGATGCTCTATTTAATCCTGCTTCTGCTAGGTACACGATAAACAAATACAGCACCTTGCTGGGTACTAGAATTTAATGGCAGAAAAAATCCAAAGGTTTTTCCCAAAAGCATCTTCAATGCTTGGGTTCTTGTTTAGTCTGTTCACTGCGTGGGGAGCGGCCAAAATTTGTGCGGACGGTTCTGCGGACAGTGGTGTGGACGCGAAGGTGTAGGGGGTGGGGAGCAACCAAAACTGTGCGGACGGTTCGATGGACGGTGGTGTGAATGGAAATGGGTGGGGAGACAGGCCATGGACAGTTCTGCGGACGGTTGTACGGCTGGAAATGGGCGGGGAGATTGGTGATCTGTGTGTGAAGGTTTCTGCTTGTATCTATGTGTGTGTGTGTGTAAAATGGTCTGTGTGTAAAGGTTTCCGTGTGTAAATGCTTCTGTGCGTAAAAATTTCTCTGCCGAAAGGTTTCTCTGTGTAAAAGCTTTTCTGCGTGAAAGTTTCCATGTGAAATCCTCTCTGTGCAAAAATTTTGCGTGTTCAGGTTTCTCTGTGCAAATGTTTCTGCGTAAAGGTTTTTCTGCGCCAAACCTTCTCTGTGTAAATGCCCCTCTGTGTAAAATGCGTATGTGTGTAAGCTGCTTTGTGTAAAGGTTCCTCTGTGTAAGCGTTCCTCTGTGAAAAATTTTCTGCGTGTAAAGGTTTCTCTGTGTAAATGCTTCTGTGTGTAATGGCGTCTGTGTGCAAAAACTTCTGTGCTGTGTGGAAGAGTTTCTCTGTGCAAAAGACTATGCGTAAAAAAAATTCTGTTTGTGTGTGTAAGCGCGTCTATGTCTAAAAGTTTCTGTTCGCAAAAGCTCTGTGCAAAAGTTTCTGTAAAAGGCCTGTGTGTGTGAGTAGGTTTCTGTGTGTGAAGGCGAATGTGTGTAAGAGTTCCTGCGTGTAAAAGTTCTACGGTGTCCAGGTTTCTCTGTAAATATTGCTGCGCGTAGAAGTTCCTTTGTGTAAATGTTTGTCTGTGCAAAATTTTCTCGCTGTAAAAGTTTCTCAGTGTAAAGTCTGCTCTGTGTAAAAATTATTTTGTGTAAAAGTTTCTCTGTGTAAATGCTTCTGTGTCTAAAAGCTATGTAAAGGTTTCTATGTGTAAATACTGTTCTGTGTACAGGCCTCCACGTGTAGCAGTTTCCGTGCGTAAAGGCGTCTATGAGACCGTCTATGTGTAAATGCTTCTTTGTGTAAAAGTTTGTTTGTGTCAAAGTTTTTCTGTGTAAAAGTTGCTGTGTGTAAAGGTTTCTCTGTACAAATGTTTCTGTGTGAAAAAACTTCTCTGTGCAAAGGTCTCTCTGTGTAAAAGTTGTTCTGCGTACAAGTTTCAGTTTGTAAAGCCTCTGTGTCTAAAAGCATCTGCGCGTAAAAGCGTACGTGTGTAAAATCTGCTCTGTTAAAGTTTTTTCGTTTTAAAGTTGCTCTGTGTAAAGGTTTCGGCGTGTAAAAGCTCCTGCGTGTGTAAGAGTTTTCCCGTGCAAAAACTTCTGTGTAAACACTGCTCTGTGTAAAGGCTGCTCTGTGTAAATGCCTTTCTGTGTAAAGGCATGTCCGTGTATTTTTTTTTTTGTGTGAAACTTCTCTGTGTGAAACCTGCAGTGATTCTGACTGTGACTGAGGTGCCAGCTCTGGAGCAAAACTCCTGTAGGGACAAAACATCAAACTATGCGTCAGCTTTTTGTCATGACCACCACCACCACCACCAGCGGCGGCAGCAGCAGCATCATCATCATCACCATCATCATCATCATCATCACCATCACCATCACCATCACCATCACCACCACCAGCACCATCACCACCACCACCACCATCAGCAGCAGCAGCAGCATCGTCATCATCATCATCATAATAATAATAATAATAATATTCTTCTTCTTCTTCATCTTCATCTTCATCTTCATCTTCATCTTCATCTTTCATAAACATATTTTCGTGTGTCTGATCTTCTCGTCTCCTCCTTCTTGCTTTCTTTCGAGCCACACGGTAGTCTACATAGACCCTGTCCGCAGATTAAAAAATGCAGCAAATCTTGCAAGCGCATGCCTTCATGATCTCACAGTCTAAAATGTTGGTGGCAAGAGGAGGAAGGGAGGTGCCACCCACCAATCATTAATCAGATTTGCTTGCCCTTGTTTCTATCTCTTCCGGCGCCAAAGTGTCAAAGTTCTGTGGGTCATTCCAAGCAGGAATTGTTCGAACGGCACCAGACTTTGGCTCGAACAAATGTGGATCCCTTTTTGGCCCGGGATTCAAATTCAATTTCCCGAACGCGCAAATCAGTTGAAACAGGACCAGTGGCCTCCCCTGTGGACAGCACTAGCGCTGCCTAGAAGCCGAGATCTTTTGGAACCATCCGCCCGCGCGCGCAGAAGAAACGGGGGAAGTGCTGACTTTGGAGTCAGAGCTGGCGACCCGGGTGAAATTGACGTTGTGAGACCTGGCGTCGCAAATTTGAGAAGGCCTGAAGAGGCCTGAAGCATGTATATTTGAAGCATGTATATTGAATTATATTGACTTCCTAAACACGTGTAGCAATGTGTAGCATACTTGATTGAACCTTGAAGCTGTAGTTGGGTCTTTGCCTGTGGCCCCAAATCATCCAACGACTGCTGCAGTTGGATTCTTATACACTCTGAAATGGATGGCCGGCTACTCAGACCACCATGCTACCTGGTAGCTCATTCATGAACAAGCATGGCTCACCCACTCCAATTGTTGCAGTGGGAGCTGGGATCCCAATCTAACCCTTAGCAGCTCACAAGTTAAGCCGTCCCCCTACCTCTCGTGGAGAAGCCGTGCAACATCAGCACCCCCTGCGATCACTCCAGCCAGCAGCAGCAGAGCACACTGGAAATTGGAGTGCCACTCCTGCCGGTATCACCAATTCCCAGTCAAAAGACAGATGTTGCACTTGGAAGAACCCGTCTTCTGCAAGGACATTGTCCATGTACATATCAGGAATTTGAGGTTGACATGTTCGTTTGTGGGGGGGTTGAGATGTCTCGGGATGCTGGCTACCAGCTGGTGATTGACATTCACATCTTAAGAAAAATGACAACTCGCTTCAAAAACAGCAAGAGATTGTTTCAAAATGCTTCAAAAGCCGAAGTGGTCTCCTGCCAAGGTTTGTCGACTCCGGACGCATCTGGGAGGTGTCCAGAGATGCAAAAGCGAAGCATCTGCACTGCCAGGAAAGACACCTGAGCACGAAATGCGTTGATGCCGATGATTTGCCAAAACTCGAATTGTTCATGGCTTCTTGGCAAACGATTTCATTGCCACTGATATAAATCGTATTGACATATTGGCATCACAGGACCAATGCGTTGTTCATTCTGTTTCTAGGTTCAATGCGTTCCAACAGTCGTTGTTTTGGGGCTTGATCCAACAACACAAGCAAAACCTGACCAGGACACAGCCAGAGAAATTACCTCATCCTCCGTTTCGGCCACGTGTTCACCCCAAACCACCTGGAAAGATGGTGGGTGGTGCCTATATTGTATAATGTTGTATATACAATGCACCCAGGGGTCACTTTAGACCACATTGACATACATGTACATACACAACACCTGCATGGTCATCCAAGCCAGCTCATGGGGATTTATTGTGTCAGGCGGGGAGTTTTAGACACACCCAATCATGTGGTGCCACAAACTGACCAAACCTGTTCGAATCTCAAGGTATGGCTTGAAGCCGAAGTAAAAATCACAAAAATCACAAAAATCGCAAAAATCACAAAAATCACAAAAATCACAAAAATCACAAAGCAGGCTGCTTGGCAGGTGCATTTTGAGGCTCCAAAACACCGGCACGGCATCAAAAGTGCAGGTCCTTTCTCCGTCTTGAGGAGATCAAGCAACTTGGAAACAGACTTGTGGCAACTCTTGTGGTCAAATTATGTTAAATTGCCAAGAAAGGGTGGACTCCTCTCATTCTTCTGGGCCTATGTGCCAAACATCTGTCAAACATCTAATCACGTTCTTTGATTCTTTTGATTCTCTTGGCAAGAACTTATCCAGTTCCAAAGTCGGCCACTAGCCTACCGAGCCTCGTACTCGTCCTCTTCGCCATCAGCAAACGTCTTCTTGTGGCGCACGTATCTCGTGGCTTTGTAGACCCACGAGATGCCTAGGTGTCACTGGTCGATGGGTCAGGGGTTCAAGGTCAAACATGGCCAAACTATGCAAACTACCGCAATGTACCAAATTATCTCAACTGCATAATTTAGTTTACTTGTTTTAATTTAAAGTTTTTAAAGATATCCAGAGCACCAGGGCAAGATGCAGAAGATGTAGGGGGGGAAAATCCAACAAGTTTCTCTGGGAGAATTTGTCCCCCCAAGACCTGGTGAACGATGGCAGAATGATGGCAGAATGTTTTATATTATAAGTTTTTCGTCACGTGACCGAGAAAGGACAGCGGTGGAACGGCCGCACAGCACCAGAAAGTACGCGGCACCGCCTGCTGCAGAAAGCCCCAGGCGTTCACTGCGGCAAAGCCAGTGACGTGGCCCATGAGCACGGCTGCCGCGTGGGTGTCCAGCTGGATGTCGTGCCTAGATGAAACAAATGGGGATGATTCCGCATAAGGATGCATAAGGGATATCCTGGGGGATATTTTATCATGGCTGCATCTACAAAACCAATAGCCTTTTCTTGGGAACGATTAAGCTAAGGCTGGACGTTTCTAATATGCTCTAACCATCTCAGCTTCAGATGGGTATGTTTCTGGCTTTTGGTATAGCGTTGCTAAATGGGCAATGTCGATGACGCATTGTGTCTTAAATTTTGACTCTCGTGTTTTGTCTTCATGGGAACATTGAGAGTTTTCACTTGTCGGAGAGGTGGCCCCATACTAGTGGTGGCCCATGGTGGCCACATGTCCGAAAACATCTAGAGTACAAATCAGGTCAGGCAAATGGGTGACCACTGAAAGATCACCCAGTACTATAGACAGGCCATCATAGCAAACTTTGTTCGCGATTTCAGTTTACCACCAAATCAGCTGACTTTTGTAGAAAGGCAAATGGTTGGAAGCCCACATGGTTGACACATATTTCAAAACCGGTGTCTTTGTACTTACAGAAGTACAACAGCTCCTTTATCCTGGGATACCTCTGTGGGATACCCGGGGCAACTAGAAAAGCAACATGTTTGAGCCACAGTGGCATCAACCGCTCCGCCAACCGAAAGTGCTGCAACCTCTCATTGGGACTGCTTGACATCTGCGCGGATTCGAGAGCGGCACGCCTCGAATGAATACGATGACGTGGGAAGATCATGGCAAGCAGTGCGTGTAGGCACGAAGTGGCTATCAAATGAAGTTAAAAACAAAAAGGTGAGCTAAGTCTAGAAGGAGTGGTGGTGATCGAAAAGCGGTCATCGACATTGAGCTATATGTGGTGATGAGTGGATTGGGACCACGGAAATGCTGGAAGAAATCTGTCACTTGACATCCAAGGTTGGTGGGCACCATTATATGGATTTATATGGTACAGTACCAGTAGTACCGCACAAGGCGGTGGCGGAAGGTTCAAAAATAGGAAACCTATAGGAGAGATTGGTTGTTGTGAGTCACGGATGGCAGAGCGAAGCCACTGATGGACCGACAGGTGGTTGAGGTCTCCTCTTCTCTCTCTTTCTTTCTCTTTCTCTGACTATCTACCTACCTACCGACCTATCTATCTATGTAACTATCGATCAATGTAACTATCTATCTATCTATCTATTTATCTATCTATCTATCTATCTAGCTAGCTATCTAGCTATCTATCTATCTATCTAACCATCCATCCATCTATCGATCTATCTATCTATCTACCTATCTATCTATCTAGCTATCTATCTATCTATCTATCTAATCCTACCTATCTAATCTTATCTATCTTATCTATCTATTCTAATCTAATCTAATCTTTTCCCATCCTATCCTATCCTATCTTATTCATCCATCCATCCATCCATCCATCCATCCGATCGATCGATCTATCTATCTACCTATCTATCTATCTATGTATCTCTCGGTCTGTCTGTCTGCCTATCTATCTACCTGTCTATCTGCAAGCTTGAAAACCTTGCTATTCTAGGAGACTTCTTCATTTTTCCAAGTTGACAACATCAAAAACGAAGCAACTCTGCGAGACCTCCTCATTTTTTGAAGTTGACCACATCAAAAACGAAGCAATTCTGCGAGACTTCTTCAATTTTTGAACTTGACAACATCCAAAACAAAGCAATTCTGCGAGACTTCTTCAATTGTTCAACTTGACAATACCCAAAACAAAGCAATTCTGCGAGACTTGTTCAAATTTTCAACTTGACAACATCCAAAACAAAGCAATTCTGCGAGACTTCCTTCAAAAATGGAAAGTTGAGTGCAGAGCTAACAGCTTCGTACCAATGCGTTTTGCGATTTTTCCAGTCCACCTGTCGAAAGTATTGCGCTTGCCACGAAAAAGTGATGCCAGGTCATACGAAGTGTTGCACCTGTCACGCAAAATCATCTCAGCAAACCTGAGGATCTGATGCTCCAAAATGCAATCCCTCTCAGGAAATCAGCGCCCTCAGCTCCTAACAGCTCTGATGAACATGTCTCTTGTACTGCACCTGGGACGGAAAATGCATCTTTGCAGATCCTCTTCAAATGTCCCACGCCTGCCATCGTTTTTGGGAAATGCCACAAAACCCTCACGTTTTGCTCACTTTTGACAAGGTGCACAATCCCTTGCGCCTGCCACGCGAAAGCACATCTGAACGTCCAAAAGTGCTCCGTACCCGTCAGTTTTTTGCACTTTTGACTTCGAAATGTGCTTTGCGCCACAACGGTGTGCACTTTTTCGACATCTCAACTTCCAAAAGTGGTCCGAGAATGGTGTGCTTTGCGCGTTGTGATTTCGAAATGTGCTTCGCGCCACAACGGCGTGCACTTTTTCGACATCTCAACTTCCAGAAGTGGTCCGAGAATGGTGTGTTTTGTACATTGTCACTTCGAAATGTGCTTCGCACCGCAACGGCGCGCACTTTTTCGACATCTCAACTTCCAAAAGTGGTCCGACCCTGTTGTGTTTTGTACATTTTGACTTGGAAATGTGCTTCGCGCCACAACTGCGTGCACTTTTTCATCTCTCATCTGGCCAGCTGGCTCCGCACCCGCCGCTTTAGCGAGCTTACTTTTCGACCCTCCGGAGCCATAAATCATTGGAAAAACAAGGTGTTTCGCGAGTTTGCTACCTTTTCGCGCACCTGGATCTTCTTTCTTCCGAGACTTTCTCTTCTCTGATCTGCTCTCTTCTACTCTTCTCTTCTCTCTGCCCTTCCCATCTCTGCTTTTCATCTGTCCATATTGTCGGAAGTTTGACTTCTAAACTTCCTTCGATGAGCTCAAACCACAACTGAGAAGAGGGCAGTGCTTTATTTCATCGTAACGCGGAGTTAAGATCGGCAAGGTGATCATACGGTATCATTGGGTATGCCAGTGCGTCAAGCGGGTCCCACACTGAGATGTTGCTGGCCTTTGGGACACCTTGCCGTTCTCTCCAACGGCACCGGATTGATAGCCCAGGACCAGCCTTGACCGCTGAGGTGCGGCGAATGATCAAAACTGGAGAAAATCTCTCCCTCTATAACAGAACCCAAGCCGAAATGGCCGAAACGAAAACCCTTCAGCAGAATGGCAGGTTTCAGGAGTTAAAGTTTGGGCGTGAATCAAAGTCACCCGACCAGTTAAAGGAAGTTACGAGAAAACTTCCAAGGAAAATCTCCACCTCGAAGGCCCGACTTACCAGACTCCACTAGACTCCTAGACCTCTAGAGTAGTCCTATGCTGATCGCCGGTCCCACATGGTCCCACCGCGACCCAGCAACTGTAGCATAGCGAACCACAGCAGCAATTGCAGCATTGCCCCCCCAACCTGCTGCCAGATCGACAAATCGCCGAAGAGGTAGTGCTCCAACACCCTGCAGGGATTCCGGGCAACTGACCTTGTCCAATGACTGTTCTATAAACCATTGAGTGACCAATTCCCATCTCGTCCGTTGTGTTGCTGGAAGTTGTATATTCGGCCAACTGCTATGGTCACCTTGTGTCAGGTACATTTCACCTTGAACTATTCCGTTCCAAGATTTCCAAGTTGGGATGGGTCTTCCCCAGGGTGACATATTTGCCGAGTGTCCCAAGAATGTTCCCAAGCAGTTCTCGCAGTGGTAAGCTACTCACGAAATCTCCAAACTTAGGGAAAGACTACAGCTCGCACATTTTGAAAAGAGGTGGCTCACAACAATCTCACAAAACAGCCCTCGTGTTGCCATACGTTTCCTGGGTTCACTAGTAGTAGGTTCAGGCGGCATCCTTTAGGAGTGGAAGCAGGCTGTATGACTCACTGTATGACTGTATCACATTGTATCACTGGGATTCATTCGAGGCAAGGATCGCGATCATCTCCAACACATTCTAACCCCGTAAAGCCACCCGTGGCCTGTTGAATCCTTGGAAAAGCAATAGCGACCCGAAAACGCTGATGGTGGAACTGATGACTTCCCATGAGATCCGGCGGATGTCCTCGTCGGGCCAGTTCACCTCGGGAGGCAAGGGTTCCACCACAATCAGTCGAGCATCAAAAAACACCACAAAAATCTTCAAGGTCATGGAAGTTCATGGAAGTTCGATGATGTTCTATGGAGTTCTTTGTATTCTATTCTATGGCAGGTGTGCACAACCTCCGTGTCACTTTTTGGGGAGGGCAGTGAGACTGAGGCCTCATTCCGACTCCAAATTTAACCGGGTGAAACTGTCAATCTACGACACATCCTGAGAAGCTACCTGTCAACAGGCTTCGGAAACAACAAAGGTTGACAAAAGTGATTGTTACGAGTCACGTGGATTTGTGTGGGGCCCACATACGATAGTCACTCTTAGTGTGGCCAATGACAATTTGTTCGCAAAATGTTACCAAGCATTACCAAGCGACCAAGTAGAAGGTGGCCATCATGAAACCCATGCATCCCAACAACATCACGGAGATGCCTCGCACCGATCTACGTCCGAAGAGAATTCTTGCTCGTTTGGACCAGGATTGCCACTCTGGCAGGTCTCCGTTATGTGATGTGCAAAACAATGGAAACACAAGAAAAAACTAGTCATTCTAGTCACTAGAGGTGGCGGAAATAAGATTCACAAGATAGTCGGAAACTGTTTGCAACAGATGGAAGGAGCAAAACTGAGAACTTAAAATATGAACATACGCACAAAAGATATCCAGAGCAAAATGATCGCAATAATAAAGAAAGTGAAGGAAACAAAGCTCAAGATATGGGGAAGTTTTAGAGAAGTTATGATTTTGGGGCCAGGGCACAAGTGTTCTCTGCCTCGATGACGTCGGCATGGCTCTCATGTGCCGCGATGACATACTGCTTCTGCGCTGACTTGTCGTCACCTTCAGAGAAATCAACTGCAACAATCACCGTTCAGAGGTCCAAAGGGTAGACACCAGACTTTGTGGATGTCTAATATATACAGTCTATAACATAATATAACATAATATAACATAATATAACATAACATAATATAACATAGTATAACAGAATATAACATAATATAATATACTATAACAAAATATAACATAATATAATATGTGTATATATAGTCTGTGATCGTCTATGATATTCTATGATAGTCTATGATAGTCTCTGATGATAGTATATGATAGTATATGCAAATAGACGTTGCATTGTCGTATGCATTGGATACAAGGATCATTGTAGTATTTATGTATATAACACTGACAATCATGGGAGTGTTAAGACGCAATGAGCAGTGGCTGGAAATCCAAGGGAACCTCTTGCAATAGCCCGACCAGGCTCTGGAAATTCGGTTCACCGCGAACATAGGGGGGCCAAGTGCACGGGAAGTTGGGGTTTACCAAGTTCAGGACCCCACCATCCATATCCAAATTTTGTTTGACTCAACACCACCACCTACCACCCCCCCTTTGTGCTACCAAGACACCGTCCTTTGGGTGCGGCACTAAGGAAAACAAGAAAGCCACAGCCAAGACAATTAGCACGTTGCGACGACGTTGGCGATGCACACGATTCATGGCTGGCGAACCTTCAATTAATGGAAAATTTCTGGGTGTTGACCGTGTACCATGTGCAGATATATTAATATATTTGAGATATTTTAAACTCTTGATCGGTTGAGGCACCCCTGGCAGCCCGGTCCATACCTGTTTTTTTAATTTCCAGGCATTGCCAATGGTTGAGGGACCCTCGAATCAGGGACAGCCCTGGGGATTCCTTCATGGTTCTCCATTAGTCACTTTTCTGGATAACCACGCGAGGACCAGTATTATGACGGAACCTCATCTCGAACCCTCAATTTGCTGGCCACACCCAGAGTCAGCAAGCTCAATCACAGCATGCCGGTCACGAAATTCCAGACAAGGATGACCAGGCATGTCCAGAAATTAATTGAGCCGATGCCACCGGAAATATGCATGCTTGATGGCAGAAGTCAGTGATTGTCCGTTGAACCAGTTGAACCTTGTATTTTTCTGAAATCTCGCTATATAAGATTCATGATACAAACGTGATAGCGTATCAACGAACTTGGGAATGCTCTTCAGCTTCCTGGACGTGGAACCATGCCCAAATATCCCGAACCTGCTCGCCAAAGGCCTTCTTGGATCCAAACAAAGCCTCCTGCGCCAAGATCAAAGCCTTGCCAAGTTTCACAACGACAATGGTTTCTTCAATTCAAAGGGGATCGAGCTTGAATGTCACTGAATTAGAGGAAACAACCAAACATTGATTCTCAGGTTCTTGAGGCGGTTGTGGCTCTGTGGCTCCTTCATTCAGGTGTGACACAAACGAAAGTCATGGAAAGTCCATGAAGTGCATGAAGTTCACAGCCACAACCACAACCATCACCACAAAAGAAAGCAACCGTAGAACCAGATTTTGTTGGGGGGACTCTTGGACGTGCTTGAAATCTCAACCATCTCTTGATTTCCCTTTGAGGCCCCCAAACCACACCTCATAGGTTTGTCCTTGCCTCAGCAGTCACTCGCACCCATCAGCTCCCTTTTCAAAGAAATGACTGCAGCCAAGAGACTTTCAGGAATGACATGACTCAAGCTGGAAATGAGATGGCTCTTCTAATCTCTAGGACCGACGATTGTGCTGATGAGCATGCTCCTACAACTTCTGACAACTTGGAACAAGGAATCCTGAAGAAATCCTCACAATCCCGCAATTTCTGGTTGTTCACCGTTGTTCACCTGTAGCGTTGCCGAGCAGCTGCTTGCACATGGAGGCCTCAAAAATTCGTGGCACCGACAAATCTATGAGGTCATCAGGAGGTATGCCGGCAATGCGGCAAGACCCAATTGTCAAGGATCAAGTGTTCACGTGGATCAGCAAATGGTTTGCTTTAATTTACAGGAGATGTTCATCCATTTCTACTTCAGGATGGTATTCGAAGCCAGGACCATCTGCCTCACTTGGCCATTCAGAGAATTATTGGAAGGTGATATCATGCTGTGAAGCAAAGAAGTGACCGCAAGATTGTCCATAGTTCAGCTGTTCACATGTTTGCTTATCTACAGGTGTAGCTTGCGTGTTACTTTCGTACGTGTACACGGGTTTGCCAAAGTGTGTCAGTGTGTTTACTATGTACAGTATACACTGTGAGGTACTTACATAGGTTGCCAAATTCCCGAATAGTGAAGCTGTGAAGGGCAGGTAAACAAATGCTAGTCTGCTTTCACCATGGCTGGGGAGCCAAGGCTGGACAAACCAAGCAGCTTCCATAATCTTGAAGCTTGAACCTACCCCGTTACGTTCTTATGGAGTCTTCAGTCTTCATACTTGTTCTGAGGATATTTCCCACCATGTGTCCCACCGAGAGTCCATCTTTCCAATGGACTGCAAGGTCTTGGGATGTTTGTCTCCCAGCACGTCACGGCGGATATTCATCGCTTCACCGTAGTGGTCCAAGGCGCCCTTCAAGTGCCCTGGCACCGGATGGTTTGGATGATTTCTTCGCAGCCGCATAGGCCCATGCTGACTCTTCAGGAACCATTGGTAGGTCCGGGGTTCCATATAGGCGCGTCTAAAATTGTAGGTGCAGTTGCAGTTGCACGACATAACATGATACAATATTTTTGCCATTTCGGGCACATCCCCAAATTCCCAGATTCCCAGATGCTCCACAAAGTCCACGGCCCACCTCGCTTCTCGAGGATGCCCCCCATGTGGGTCATGCTGGTGAGCGTTTTGGCATTTTCATCGCCATACTTCTCACGGCGAGTGTCCTTGATGTGAAACCGAATGCAAAGAGAGTGGTGGGTAGACAATAGGTAGACAAGAGATAGACAAAAGATAGACAATAGATAGACAATGACAATAGATAGAATAGTAGATAGTGACAGGTACAGCCTTTTTTGTGTTGGCATCAAATCAATTGATTCTGAGCTGTGAGGGATCAAGAAAAGAGTTCCAAGGTTCGATATGGAACCGGCTGGAACCGGAGAAAAAAATGGTAGTCTGACAATGTCTCACATTCTGAAAGGCAAGCATGGCTTACAATGTCTTGGGGATCAATGATGGCCCAAGCATTTTTCAAACGGGTGTGTTCAATGATTTCAATGAGGTTCCTTTTCATGCGTAGAATATTGTAGAATCATGAAAACAAAAATCTGTCTGTTCCATGGTAGACCTGAGGGGTAGAGAATTTGGACGCCTCGCAGTCCAGACTTCAGCAACCAGCAATTGTGTCCGTTCCTATCGCTTCGCACTTTCCTTTCTGGATTGACAAAAACCATGAACCATCTCAAACTACATGACTCAGAAAACACACCCTGCTGTAGCACTAGGATACCACATATGATTGGAACTATCGAATCATTGCGATGACTAACGGTTAGATCCCCTGACTGGCCTCTGACATTGTAGTTGGACGCAAGGCAAGCTATGTTAAAACAAATGTTAAAACTGAATGCAACGCCCAAGAGGTTAGCTTCAGACATCTTCAGACCATGGCTGGAGCCAGCATGTGTGTAACGCGCATGTGAGGGTTGCTTTGGAATAGTTCCTCCCTTTTTGGAAATAGTGTCAAACATTCTGGACTTCTAGAAAAATAGTTCCTAACTTCCCACAGATAGAGGCCCGCGCACCCAATAGAATATAGCGCACCTCAATGTTCTAGTAGTGTCCAAATGCATTTGCTACGAGCAAGACTTGTTCAAGAAGCTCTTAGCTTCCCAGAATAGAATGTCGTCTGGTCGCTCCTTGGAATGGTTCACGCCTAATCTCATGATCACCGCATAGCACAACCAAACAAGGGTCCTGAGGACAAAACAGCCCAAACACGAGCCCCAAGCCTGTACAACTCAATTGCGGTGTTTGCAGCCTAATCCACAGTTCTCTCAAACCCGTGGTAATTTGGACCATCAAAAATCTTGAAACCTCTTTAAACACTTGCACAAAAGGAACAACCAGTTGGTTTTGCGGGCCACGGGTGGCCCACATTTGCCAAGCATCCAGAATGCTTTGGAAGAGATTCGCTGTCCAGGTACCCATCCCCAGCACCTATGCGCCCATCAATGCTGAGCTGGACAGAATGCAATGTCGGCAGTCCTACCCCTTACTAGCCCTGCAGTGTGGCGTGTTCCATATCATGGCCTGCGATGCAAGTGAATACACTTGGCCAACATCTCTTGCAAATGAATCGTGCACTCCAAGCCAAGCTAGGACATGGTTTTCATTGCGTGTTCTGAGTAAATTAATCGAAAATGGCTCAAGATCTGCCACAGACATCATTGCCTCAGTGTTTAAAAATGTACCATCAAACGCCCTATTAGTGAGGTCTGCCATCATGTCGGGAGCAATGTGGAACACTACCTCTAGATACCTCTAGGACGAAACTATATGAAACTATCATCCATCTTAAGTTGATCTCTATGCCAATAATCTCCCAGTTCACTCAAATTACCCTGCCTTCTCTTGACAAACATCCTACCAAACTGACGTTGTCAGTGTTGACCGGTTGGTGCCCTTCCCACTTTGTCCCTTGCACACTGATCACAATGTTTGTAAAACGACTTCTCACAAAACCGCTCACAAACCGCCTCAAGTGTTGCGTCACAAGGAAGAGGTCCACAGCGCCATGGCAGGCGGCATTTTGTCAACGACCTTCAGCTGGTGTGTTGAAGGAGTGCTATGGCCAACTGCTTGCAGCCCTGTGAGCCTGTGATCCTTCCCGGTACAGAGACCATGTTCCGAAGTGGAAATTGAGGAAGTGCGACTGGAGGGTACGAAATGTTGTGCCTTGGGTGTCTCTAGATGCCTGAAGCGTAAAAATAAATTCCTGAATTATCAGCTTGGAGGGACGCCGGTTCTTGAACCATTCGGCCGACGCAGGACTTGCTTTAACGGTTTTTCCCGCAGCCAACATTCTGCAAAAGACCTGATCACATCCACTTGACGCAACTTAGTCTGTCCAGATCTGGGCCGTTTGCCGTGAAAAGCGCACAGCAATTTTTTTGTGGTATGTGCGCAGCCATTTCTCGCTGCAAAAGCGAAAGGTCGGAATGATTTTCCAAGTCAATGGGTCAATGTTTGGACCTGGTGTGATTCCCAGTGACCGTGTCCGGAGCGAGGTGCCCCGGTCACCTTTTGGGGAGCTGATGGAAGCAGATTTGGCGAATCTCATGACCAACCGCCAAGAGGATCTTCACAAATTGATGACACGAGTTTTCTACACACCGCTATGGAAAGTGGAAAAAGATGGATGGGGTGTTGGAGGAAATGTCTAGTGCTTTTTCCGCTGGGAATTCCTTTGCTGCGCTGAGAACCTCCAGGATTTTGATAGCGGTGGGATTGCGGATCCCTGGTTTGTCACAATATGCAAATGTATGCAGCACGCATCAAATTATTGTCTTTCAATCCAGTACATTCAAAGGAAAATAGATAGAGTGGTTCATGTGGTATGACTTCCGATAAGGCCCCATGCACACCACAAGTAGCATCCAACAACCACTTTGATCATGTGGTTTTACAAACCTCAAAGGATCTCATGTTGTTTCCGATCTCTGCCCAACTTCCCCCATGCACAACACCGGCTTCGCGGCATCGGATCGTTCAGCTCGCAGCACCCGGGCCCACGTGGTCTCCCAAAAGATCTGGTTCCATTACATTCCCTCCGTGTCATTCCATAGTATCCATATCATTCCATGTCGTCCTGAAAGTGGAATTTAAGGGGGCAAAGCAACTCTACGATCTCAGTGTTTAAGGAGGGGGACACTGCCTTTGCTAAGATATCACTATATATCACTATATATCACTATAACTATAAATCACTATATATATATATCTATCACTATATGGCAAGGGGAGCGCGTGCCAGGAGCAGCACTTTTGGCGACGACAGGCTGTGGGGGCTGCCTGCTTGCCTCGTTCGCAAACGCTTCCACTAGCTTGGCCTCAAACGCTTCCCCACGCCCTCTCCCGGCGCATTTTGCCACCTTTTCATGGGCAGCATCCCGTTCCCCAGCGCATCTTGCAACCCTTTGCTGGGCAGCATCCTGTTCTTCCAGTGCTTTTTGCAGCCTTTCGGGCAGGCCGCCCTGCGGAGTACTTTGCCCATATACCGAGCGCTTTTTGACTAATCTTTTTTGGCGTCGGAAAGCAACGTTGGGCACTAGCTTGGCCTTAAACGCTTTCCGGCGCGCTCTGCACCTCTCCCCGCGGATTTTGCGACCCTTTGGCGGGCAGCATCCCGTTCCTAACCCCGTCCCGGCGCATGCCGGTTTACCGGGCGCCTTTTGACTAGCTTTTCTTGGCGTCAGAAACCAACGTTAAGCACTAGCTCTCGAACAGTTCCCGGCGCCCTCTGCACCTCTCCCGGCGGATTCTGCCACCTTTTTGGTGGGCAGCATCCCGTGCCTGAACCTGTCCATCCTGTTATTCCAGTGCTTTTTGCAGCCTTTCGGGGCGGGCCGCCCTGCGGAGTACTTTGCCCATAAGCTGGGCCCACATAGCCCCAAGAGGGGCCAACATAACCCCAAGATGGGCCAACATAGCTCGAAGACGGGCCACGGTAGCCCAAGCTACAACAAACAACAGCAAACAACAAACAACAAACAACAACCAACAACCAACAACCAACAACCAAAAACCAACAACCAACAACCAACAACCACAACAACAACACCACCAACAACAACAACACCAACACCAACAACACCAACAACACCAACAACACCAACAACACCAACAACACCAACAACACCAACAACACCAACAACACCAACAACACCAACAACAACAACAACAACAACCACAACAACAACAACAACCACAACCACAACCACAACCATAACCATAACCATAACCAACAACCAACAACCACAACCACAACCACAACAACAACAAAAAAAACAACAAACAACAAACAACAACCAACAACCAACAACCAACAACCAAAAACCAACAACCAACAACCAACAACCAACAACCAAAAACCAACAACCAACAACCAACAACCAACAACCACAACAACCACAACAACCACAACAACCACAACAACCACAACAACCACAACAACCACAACAACAACAACAACAACAACAACAACAACAACAACAACAACAACAACAACAACAACAACCATCACAACCACAACCACAACCACAACGACAACGATCACGATCACGACAACGACAACGATCACGATCACGACAACGACAACGACAATGACAACGACCACCACCACACGCAACACTGTCACCACCATACCCGTAACCATCTGATGCGATTTCTACCGACAACTTGAAGGCAAGCAAAGATCTACGCGACATAATACTCAAGAGGCGCCGCCCCCAGCCGCAGCCAAGAAGTGCGGTGCCGGACCCGTCTTCGAACTCAATTGACCCATCTTAGAGCTATATTGATCCATCTTGGGCTCTGTCGGCCCGCTTCCGGATGTCGAGCCGCGTGACCCATCTTCCGCCGCACGATCGAGCACTGTATTTGCAGTCGTTTCCCCTCGGTTCTTCCTTATTCTCTACTGCTCGCCCTTTACCCATACGTGGGCCCCTGGCCGGCTGTCAGGCGCAAGCCCTTAAATTATCAATATATAATATGCATCAGTTCTGCGTGCATGTGATGAATCTGATATACACTGGTATGTCTGGTACTCAACAGTTCCTGAGAAGGGTCAAAACCCCTGCCTGCACCGGCCTGTACCTAACAAACGATTCATGCCTTTAAACAAATCTGGTTGTGCTTTAAGCTATTGACAGCTAAATATGGCTCTATTCCTCGAAATTGATGGAAGGCAAACCAAATACTGTAGTCCCGGAGGCTGAGCATCGGTGCTCACATGGCTGCGTCGCAGCAGCCCAGCATGAGACCTTCATGGGTGGGGCAGCAGCCGCCAGTGATGTTCAGCGCCACGCATTTGGGATACTTCGAGCACTCCGTGCCAATTTTGATGGTGACCTGCTGGTCACACCCATCAAAAACGCTGCTGGTTTGGGGTGGATGAGCAAGACCCTACAGACAACAACCAAGTCTGCTGAGGGGTTCTCGAATTCTGCTCTAGACCCAACTCATGAATTTTGGTGAGAATTTGCACAAACAAAGAAAGCCGTGCTTGACACGGGACATGTACACCACTGCATTGACCCCAAACTGACCAAAAAGATTCCCTCAAAGCCTCAAAGAAAGTAGCAAAGGAAGATCTGAAAATTACAGGAAAATTCCGCACAACGAGTTTCGCAAAAAGTTGACTAGCCCTGGCATTTTAGCGGATTCTGTGTCACATACAACATCTGCAGAGCTAGCGGCTAGCTCTTGGAACATGTCTTTGTTAGATGCATGTATGTTGAGCCGATCCCACATAGAAAGCAGCCATGTGGCAGCGGGACAAAAATATGGGATCATTAAACTAAGCCCCTGAAATCATTTGGAAAGCAGCCATGCTTCAGATGGTCTCACCACGAAACACCCCGAAAGCCACCCCACCTGCTCGAGGGTCTTTGGAAAACCATTGCAGCAGCCCAGGATGACATCGTCGGCATTGGGGCAGCAGTTTCCCTCCTGGATCGGCAGCGTATTCAACGGGTGCTCATGGAGTTCCAAGAAGTTGACTGTGCCCCAAAACCTGACGTGTGATGCCCAATTTGACGGGTAACCCAGGTGCTGGCTGGGTCACAGCTGACACGGGTCCGCAGATGACACCAGTAAGGACGTACTGTCGGTCAAATAATTCCCATTCGGTCAGCCATCGCAACGCGCGGATTGACTGCACACGCATGTGTGGTCAGAAATACCAAGTGACCAAGTAGATACTTCGAAGAATAAAAATCATTTGCTCTGAAGTCCCATAGACAGCAAAGACATGCAAAGACTTGAGATTGCCCGTGCTGTTCTTCAGCGCGTGACTAGATGCGTGAAACAGGGATCTGGCCAGGAAAATGTGAAAGCCGAAAGAGAACAGACTCTTCGACGGGGAGCAAGGACGCATTGCTCTTGGATGACCCCATTCATGATCAACAAATCGTGATTGGTCGTCCGGCCAATTTTTAAGAATACCGATATAACGAAATATCCGTGCATTCCAGCTCAGCTGCTGGCGCATCACCATGACGAATAACTCAACTCGCATTTATCACGAATCAATCCATTCTGCTTCAAAGAAAGGAAAAATAAATAAAGAACTGAAAGAAAAGAAAGAATAAGAAAGAACAAGAAAGACGGAGAGAGAGAGGAGGAGGGAGAGAAAGATAAAAAGGGGAAAGGGAGAAAGAGAAGGGGAGGGGAGAAACACAGAAAACTGAAAGAAAGAAAGAAAGAAACAAAGAAACAAAGAAACAAAGAAAGAAAAGAAAGAAAGAAAGAAAAAAAGAAAGAAAGAAAGAAAGAAAGAAAGAAAGAGGGAAAAAAAAGAAAGAAAGAGGGAAAAAAAGAAAGGAACAAAAGGAAAGAAAGGAAAGACAAGAAAGAAAAGAAGAAGGGAGAAGGAATACAGGAAAAGCCAGGAATGGACAGGAAAGAACAGGCATGGACAGGAAGAAAGCGTCATTTGGCACTGACAGACCCAATCCCCCGAGCGTCCTTGATCCCCACATCCACACATGCAGGATAGGCGCTGCAAGTCGTGCCGTTGACACCAGGAGACACCGCCGCCACGGCGGTTTTCGGTGTATCGTCGTCGGCTGCCCAATTGCTCTCAGCCTGGCGCTGAAAGAGCTCGAACGGTTGCGAGTTGCGGCTACCGTACTGGCAAAGCAATAGGTGCTTTGCACTTCGTAAAGTCAATAGAGTGAACGATTCATGATGATTCCTGAAATTTTAAGAGCTTGATAACGTCCGCCCAGTAGTTTCACAGAAGTACAATGAGACAACTCCAAAATTTCTGACACTGGCCAGCAACACAAACAAGCACACCATCCTGATGCATCTGCCTGCTTGATTCCGGAATGCACCAAAGACTGCTGCAAGCCGCTGGTGGCTGCTGCAGCCGCGTGCAGACCGGCGTCCATGGCATCAGTGGAGTCCTGGAGGCCACTGGCATCCGCCTGTTGCAGACCGCTGCCAGCCTTGGCCGCAGCAATTGCCTCTTGGGCAGCCTGGACGGCACCTCGCACGGAATGCGAACGAAATGTGCACTAAAGAGCACTGAAGAGTCAAGAACGACGGCAGGAGTTGCGCAAATCAGGCGCGCCATGCAGGGATGCAGTTGGTGGCTATTCCGTAGTTCACACATGTGCAGGAACATTCAGAGAGATATTCAAAGAAACATTCATATCATATTCATATCACACTCGCCTTCTCCCTATCTTTTTGGAGATGCGTCGTATTTTCGAATTTTACATTCCAGAGCTCTCCTGTGGTGGTTAAGCGCTGTGTTTCCGCTTACGGGATTTCCCTGAGGCACATCCTCGGTTAAAACGGCCTTTTTTTTACCGCTTGGCAAGGTACATTGAATTATTGTTTACCGTTTTTGCGGCGAAAATTGTAAAAAGAATAAAAAAAGGAGCAAAAAAAATACCAGCGCACAGTGGTAAAAATCATAAACAAGTACTGGCCTTCCTTGCTCTTTATGGCGCGCTGTTGTACAGTACAGGGAACATGTATAATGCCTCTGTTTGGAAAAAAACTCATTGAATCGTTTCAAAAATAGTTGTTTGAAACGAAATAATCCGGCGTGCTATCGTCTATCTTGACATTCGCGTGACGCCTTCTGACCTGCACACAGGGGCAGCAACTGCCGCTGCAACGGAACTTCAAATACCATACCATCAAGTGTACCGGCACACATGAACTTCAAGCAGCGTAGCATGCAGTGCGCTAGCACACATGCACTTCAAGTAGCGTAGCATCAAGCCCACCAGTACATGCGATCCAAATAGCGTAGCATCAAGTATGTGTGCCAGCGCAAATGAACTTCAAACGCCGTAACACCGTAGCTTACTTACCGTAGCATCAAGTGTACCAGTGCATGTGAGCATCTGAACTTCAAGCAGCGCAGCATGGAGTTCGCCAGCGCACATGAGCTTCGAGCAGCGTAGCATCCAGGATGTGTGTCACTGCACATGAACTGCAAGTATTGTGGCATCAAGCATGCGTACCGGTGCATGGGAACTTCCAGTAGCATTGCTGTGCCAGCGCGCATGAACTTCAAGTAGTGTATTTTCTATATCAGAAAATTGTTTTTTTCATACCTGTGCTATTTTTCAGATCATACTGAAAGGATTTGTAGAGTTGATGTATCTCAGGCTTGCTATATTCCTACATCATCGCCTAACAATCTTTTCTTGCATTTTCACTCTATTGTTCGCTCCAAGTACCCCCTTTTCTTGTCAAATCATCCTTTTTCGCTTCAATGCCTTACTTTCGCTTCAAGTTTCGCCTGTTGTTTCCTTTTTGGGGTTCATCACCTTCGGTTCTTTTCTGGTTCCTTGCGTGTCATGTCCGTCCTTTCGTTTCAATTCATTTTTTCTGTTGCGAGTCTTGACTTTCGTTTCAAGTCTATCCTTTCGTTTCGAGTCACACATCCTCCTTGTGTTTCAATTCTATCCATGTATTTCAAGTTATCCGTAGAGCTATCCCTTTCAGTTTGAAGCCTAAGAAAATGCCAGGCATCGCGGTAGAAAACGGTAAACATCGAAAAGTTGTTGCGCTCTGTTCCTGAAGGATATGCGGAACAAAATATACAGCATGCATACATACATACAGACAGACAGACAAACACACAAACATACACGCAGACATACATACATACAGACAGAGACAGACAGACAGACAGACAGATAGACAGACAGACAGACAGAGACAGACAGATACAGACAGACAGATACATACATACACATACATACATACAGACAGACAGACAAACAGACAGACAGACATACAGTCATACAGACATACAGACATACGGACATACAGACATACAGACATACAGACATACAGACATACAGGCATACAGGCATACAGACATACAGACATACAGGCATACAGGCATACAGGCATACAGACATACAGACATACAGGCATACAGACATACAGACATACAGACATACATACATACATACATACATGCATTACATTACATTACATTACATTACATTACATTACATTACACATTACATTACACATTCCATTACATTACACATTACATTACACATTCCATTACATTACACATTACATTACATTACATTACATTACACATTACATTACATTACATTACATTACATTACATACATTACATACATTACATACATTACATACATTACATACATTACATACATTACATACATTACATACATTACATACATTACATTACATTACATTACACATTACATTACACATTCCATTACATTACACATTACATTACACATTACATTACATTACATTACATTACACATTACATTACATTACACATTACATTACATTACATTACATTACACATTACATTACATTACATTACATTACATTACATACATTACATACATTACATACATTACATACATTACATACATTACATACATTACATACATTACATACATTACATACATTACATACATTACATACATTACATACATTACATACATTACATACATTACATACATTACATACATTAATACATTACATACATTACATACATTACATACATTACATACATTACATACATTACATACATTACATACATTACATACATACATACATACATACATACATACATACATACATACATACATGTGAAAGTGATATGAACCACTAACACACTGGCAGCTGTTTCCCAAAAGATGAATTCACCTTGTCCCCAAAGATGTTGATACCTATGAATCCCTGTCCAATTCCTTTTTAACCACAGTAGTCAATTGGAATCCCTGTCACAACCAGAAGATACTGTTGGGAGACGCCTGTCTCCAAAACTGGTTTTGGATCCCCGTCCCACCAATGCCGCAGCCAAGCTATGGCTTTTGTCACACGGAGCGCTCCCTCTCCACTCCTCACTTATGGCGCTCGGGCCTAGATGATATGGCCGCGGGGTCAAACATCTCAGTACATAGCAGCTCAAGTCAAGGCATGCTGTGACCCACATGGAATTGTTGACAGTTCACAGTCCCCTATCTAAGATGTTGACTTGAGCACATTAGGTGAGGTCTTCTGCGATTGGATCCACAAGATGGCTTGTTTACGGTGTGCATTGTATCTAAGAACTTATTCTTCATCATAGATTTGAAATTGGCCTGATGCCAGACATGTACGAAGTAGCGTTGAGTCCATTGCTTTGGTGAGTGCATCTGCTAGCATTGATGTTGTGGGAACCCAGCGGAAATGACAGTGTTCGGAACATCTTTCCTCGAGTAGCAGCACCTCTAGGGTAGCGCGTCTTCACATGCAGGCATAGCTCGTCGAGTCACGAGATCGAGCAACGATTTACAATCTGTGCAAATGACAGCTTGTGGAAGCTGCCTGAGACAGGGGTTGGTAACTGTCCCATTTTGGGTATATTGGACATCACCTTATAGTAGCCATTATAGACCATATACTACATGGTTGGGTGATGTTCAATGGGGACATTTAATGACCCATGTGAGACCAGCGGCAGGATCTCTCCAATTGAACTTGGAAATCATGGCGCGTCCCCACATGAGTCTAATCCATCCTGGTTTATCTACGCTCTTACTCATGGAATATGCTTCAGCGGATAAAGTGGATCGAACAACACGGGATATCTTCCTTGAAGTCCAATTCAGTGGTGTTATAGGTGCTGGTTTATTCCTATTGAGGTCTTTATTTGTTGCACAGATCAATGTTCCCTGAAAGGATGCAAGGTTCGAAGGTCCTGCAAATGAAGCATCACCAAGGATATGTGTGTAGCTTCTTCTTTGGGAATTGCATTGAAATATTTTTTGACATCTCGGTGTTCCTGGGCCTCTCGAAGCACACGGTTAGCCATCAACATTGTCTCAATGGTTGGATGTGACATTTGACATTGTACTTCTCCAAGTTTTGCTGCAATGTCAGGTCTGGTGTGAGTCACAGCGTATTGTAGGCTACCGATAATGCCTCGAAGTTTAGATAATTCATTAGCAGTTACTGCTTCCTGGGGCTGGAGCCCTCTATGTTTGGGGATCTCAAGAGTTAGAATGTTCATGATGTATTCTTCTTGGGAACATCGAATGGAGAAATCTGGTAATTGTTCACAATCAATGCCAGCAAATTTGAATTGACGGGTCTTGAAAGCTCCAAAAGGCAGTTTCTGCTGTAGTTGGTTGAGTGCATCTCGAAACACCTTGTCTCCACCTCCAATGCCGTCATCAACATGCATCCCTAGGATTCCATGAAGAATTTCCCTGCCTTCTTTGTCAGTGGATTTCAGCATGTAGATACATGGGTCTGGTGGATGGCTTTGAAATCCCAGTGAGGTCAACTGCTTTCCCAGTTCCTTGAAGAAAAGTAGGGGTGCATCTACTCGACCGTAAATTTCCAAGGAGCTCACAGACCTGGTGATTACTCATGCCAAGCTTCTGGCGAAGTTCACTCGATGATTCCATTGCTAGGGGATTTTCTGAGTCGGCTTTGCCCCTCAGAAAGGCTGTAGTGATATCAAATGATATCAGCTCATACTGGGAACTCGCCACGCACTGTAGGATTGTTGCTCTTCCTTCCTTACTTAGCGTGGGACTGTCACGAGCCACTTCGGTTAGTTTTGGGTCTAAATAGCCGAGAACAACGAGACGCGCTTTTGCTTTCTTGCTACCATGGTCATCACTTTTCCATTTTAAAATCCAACGTGACCTCAGGATCTGGTCTGGGTTCATTTTTCAAGAAGGATGGGTCTTATGGCATTAGTCTGTAACCAACATGATAATTCCTTTTCTTTAGCTAGGCTGAATAAGCGCTTTTCCTCTGGCGTGAGAGTCTTCAGTGCAACTTCAGCTCTGGCACGTTTTCCTGCGGCGGCTACGCAGGACATGTTGGAAATGTCTGATTCTCGAGACCAGGCTTCCAGGATTTTGGCTGACACTGGAATCTCCAGGTAAAAGGCTTGTTCTTCACATGGTTCCAACGGCGCCTGAACATACGGCAGATTATCTTCCATCATGAGAATTGGAAATTCTAGGGATTCTTCCTTCGGTTGAGTTTCAGTTTCGGCCACGAATGTGTCAAAGTGGAACACGTTGTCTTCAATCTCTTGACAATTGGCAAAGTGTGCTGTCTCTGTATGTTCTTCAAGTGGTTGATGTTCAGCTTCAAGTTCTACGGTGTTATGTGGATCGGTGGTTGTTGGATGTTCTTCATTTCGATCATCAAGATCAATGGGTTCTTGGTTCTCATGGTCACTGGGGGTTGAACTATCAAGAGTAATGGGAGTGTTCTCTCTTTCAGGTTGGGATATGGCAATACTGGGTGAATATGCACTGGAGTTGTCAACTTGTCTTTGGATGAAAACTTGTGGGCCTTCCGGGGCTGCTACGACTTCCTGGTTCGGCAAGGGCTGTTGGCCTTTGGGAACATGCGCATTGTCAGAATCCATGAGGGCACCCTGGGAATTCCACTCTCTAAGACTGGTTGGTCTTATGTTTTCTGGGGGAGCTCGGATTATCTTATTTAAGTGGGATACCCATACTGTTGACTGGCCCTCCTGCTGAATGACTTTTCCCGGTCCGTGCCACTTGCCGGCACCTTGTCTAGTCGATCTGGGGTTCCTAGACCAGTACATGACTGATTGTCCTGGGAGATATGGACCTCTTACGGGGCATGATCTTCTGAGCAGACGGTGCAAATGCAACGATCATGTCTGGTGTCAAGGATGCCTCCCAACAGCTTAAAGGCTCTCTTGCTGAAAAGGAAGGGCGTGTGACCCGGCACTACTTCGATGGCCAGCCACAGTCTGTTGCTGGTGGGATTGGATTGCAGGGGCAACAGCACACGCTTTTCACTGGTCAGTGACTGGTTGTTTCCAAAACGGAATTTGACACTACTGTGCATGCTCTTTACGTTGGATCGAAGGCTTTGTGGCATCTGTGTCATGAGATGTCCTAGGTTCTTAGTTCCTATGCAGCACCTGATCTAGACATCCTGCAATGGCGCTCCAAGCTGTCGCTGTCAGTGGTTCACGGACCGCCCCTTGTGGGGTTTAGGCTCCGCTGCCAGTGTGAAAGTGATATGAACCACTAACACACTGGCAGCTGTTTCCCAAAAGATGAATTCACCTTGTCCCCAAAGATGTTGATACCTATGAATCCCTGTCCAATTCCTTTTTAACCACAGTAGTCAATTGGAATCCCTGTCACAACCAGAAGATACTGTTGGGAGACGCCTGTCTCCAAAACTGGTTTTGGATCCCCGTCCCACCAATGCCGCAGCTAAGCTATGGCTTTTGTCACACGGAGCGCTCCCTCTCCACTCCTCACTTATGGCGCTCGGGCCTAGATGATATGGCCGCGAGGTCAAACATCTCAGTACATAGCAGCTCAAGTCAAGGCATGCTGTGACCCACATGGAATTGTTGACAGTTCACAGTCCCCTATCTAAGATGTACATACATACATACATACATACATACCTACCTACCTACCTACCTACAGACAGACAGACAGACAGACACACATCACATCACATTACATTACATTACATTACATTACACACACAGAGACATACATTACAGTAGAATAGAGTAGAATAGAATAGAATACAATACATTACATTACATTGCATACCATACATACCATACATACATACCATACATACATACCATGCATGCATGCATGCATGCATGCATGCATGCATACATCACATTACATTACATTACATCACATCACATTACATTACATTACATACAGGCAGACAGACATACAGACAAACAGACAAACAAGACAGACAGTACATTACATTACATTACATTACATTTCATTACATTACATTGCATACATACATACATACATACACATACATATGTATATATATATATTTATATATCCATCCAATTATTTTTATATTTAGTTATTTATGTATATAATATATCATGAAAATATTCTATTATACTATACTATATTTTATTATATCAAATTGTATTAAACTCTCTTATATTGTATATTATATATTGTATATTATGTTCTTGCTTTATATATTATATATTATATATTATTCATTAAATATTATTTTTTATAAATTATAATATATATTATGTTTTATATAATATATTATATATTATATACTATATATTAAATATTATATATTAAATATTTTATATCATATATTATATGGTCATTATTTATTGTATATTATATATTATATAATTATTATATATTATATTATTATATAATTATTATATGTTATTTATTATATGTATAATCTATTATACATTATATATCAAATATTATATATTATATATTATATGTCAAAAAAATATACTATGTATCAAATATTATATCTTGTATCTTGTATATTATGTATCATATATTCTATATATTGTATATTATACATAGTATAATATGTTTTATATTATAGATTATATACTATATATTATATATTATATATTATGTATTATACATGATATATTTTATATTATATATCAAATATTATAAATTACATATTGTATATTATATTTTATATATTATACATGATATATTTTATATTATATATCAAATATTATATATTGTATATTATATATTGTATATTATATATTATATATTATATATTATATATTATATATATAATATTATATACTATATATTTTATATATACTTTATTTTACATATTATATATTCCATATTGTACCATATCATATCATATTATATTATACTATGTTGTACTATATATTATCTTATATTTTATCAAATTAAATTATAATATATTGTATCATATTGTATTTGATTTTATTATATTGTATTATATTTCATTATCTTATATTACATTATATATTACATCATGTATATACATATTATGAAAAAAAAGCTGCCAACATCCCTGGTAGAGACAGCCAAAAAAATCGCGGAAAAAAAATAAAAATGGAAAAAAACTAGCAGCATCCGCGGTAATAAAAAAAATGTGAAATCAGAAGAAAAACGCACCCAATAATAGCAACATCCGGGGTTTAAAAAAAAAAACGATAAACATCGAACATGTTTATCAACAACCGCAGTAGAAGCAGTAAAATCGAAAAAGAATGTTCTTTCTTTTTTCCCTGCACGGGGACAAGCATCTACCCTACGCAAAAACACAGCCTGCTAACCTGCTTAGGAGCTCTCAGTTCAGCAATACACTCCAGGTTCCCTCGGTTCCCCAATTCTGAGCCTGGGCAGAACTTGGGCCCTGTCATTGTCTCAGCATATTTCATTGGCGCTGCCTTGGTGTAGGATGCCTCGCCGGTCAGCAGGCAGCCGCCATCCTTGGTTTAGAGCTGTCATGGGATGGGACAAAGCAGTGGGATTGTTGGGCCAAAATGGTTTGGTTGTTCCAAAGAGCAATAGTGTTGCAACCTATTGGCAACCTACTCACGGGATTGTGGCCAGAGTACTTGAAACGGGTATGTTATGTTGCGAAATCGCGATACCCCTGTCACCCATGAAAATCTAGCTGCTAGCACAGGTGCAAAAATAATGGTCCCAGGATCCGGCCAAAAGGTGAAATGCGAGCACTCGGGCACCACCTGGCAGCGCTGCTGGCACAGCTCCGCGCTGAACTCCACGGTACGCTCAGAGGCGTCCAACTTCACTGGGTCGGCATAGTACATGCCTGCCTCAGCGCCCCTCCGGTGTCGTGGATCCAAAATCACCAAATAAAATGCCGTTGGTAGATATTCATAGATATTCCATATAAGTCATATATATATATAAGTCATATAAGCATCACATACATGTAGATGTGGATGATTGTCAGATGATATATTTGTCACAGCGCAGTACTAGTAGAAACGAGAAAAGGCAGTGCTTGCCCGCAGATTCTCGCGATGCTCAATCCCCTAGCTGCACGCTAGCCACCACCAGCCTGAAAGCAATTGCTGGTGGTCACATCGTCATCCACATCGTCATCCGCCTGCCCACGGATACACATCTTTTGTTATGTGGCTTGGGTGTATGCAAATGTATGCAAGGGATACAAACAACGCTTGCTAAAAATAGCCCCACACCTACCAATGATATTATAAGGCTGATACATCCACTACAGTCAGTCCATTGAAGTTGTCAAACATAGCCATATGGCTTCATGAAAAAGAAATATGATGGATGAGTTTCCTCCATGTCCAAGATTTGGGAATTGTTGAGCCATTGGAGTGATCAAACCGAAGTGGTTGTTTGATGGTATTCCAAATGGCATCCTCGCCCCAGGCCTCATCACCATCTTCAAGCGCTTGCAATCCAACGAAGCTTCCTGATGGGCAAGATGCAAGAAACTGTAGGGACGAAAGCGCTTCATCGGCACTGCAAAACTCCCAAGCGTCCAAACCCCGGCCAAACCAATGAGAGTGAAATTGCGATGCAAGTTTCCTACAGCAACCAATTGTTTTGAACTGATAATGAGAACAGGGGCATGACAGCTTGGCTGCCCCATCGCAGCTTTGTGTACCAAAATCAGATAAAGGCAATTGCTAAAGCCGTCTCAAGCCGTTTTGGATCGTTTTCGCTGCGCCGAGCCACCGGACTTGCTTCGAAGTCCCACGCCTTTGGATCCGCTGAGCGCCAAGCCAGCCACAGCCACCAAGCCGAGAACCAGCAGCACACGGGAAGGGAAACTCCAGGCACGTTGGGGCGCCGGGGAATCCTCCAAGAGTTCCTCCAAATCTGAATGGTGATCCATCGCCAAACCTGAGCCGGGTCACTTGAACGACCGGTTCAACATACCAAGGTCACAATATCAGGGGAAGTGTATGGGATGATGCTGATGGATGAGGATGAGGACGATGATGATGGCGATGACAACGATGATGACGATAACGATGACCATTAGAACCAGGATGATGGTGATGTGACGGTGATGCTGCTGCTAACGCTGATGCGCATGCGCATGTGCATGTGCATGAGGATGAGGAGGATGATGATGATGATGAGGAGGAGGAGGAGGATGAGGATGAGGATGAGGAGGAGGAGGAGGTGGTGGTGGTGGTGATGGTGGTGGTGGTGGTGGTGATGGTGGTGGTGGTGGTGGTCAACTCCAGTTGCAGCATGCGACCTGAAAGTAGCCATCCACAAGTCAAAGTCATGTTCCATGGCCATTCTTGGGGGTTCAACAATCTATGTGACATAATCCCCTGCGAAAGTACAAGACTAACAGCCCCAAACAGGTTGGGGTTCCAGATTTGAATTACCTCATGCATCACACGAGCGGCCCAGCCTAGGTGACGGCGTTCCCAGTATGACTGTGCGACTGCGCACGGCAAAAAACAACTTTGAGCTGGAGAAAGACATTTTTCGCAGCAGTCCGGATTGATTCCGATTCCCTTTGCGCAGCAACAAAGCCATGCTTTTCAGCTGGATAGAAAGGCCATTGTATACAACTTAAACAACCATCAGCCGCATCTCATGAAGTCTTGTCACGTCCCTTATATAATGAAACAGCCTTGAGAGAATGGTCTGCCCCCGACTAGACCATGTGCTTTCTTGTATTGCACCTCTAGAAGCCAATAATTGACCTCATCCACAAAAGCCTGAGCTGCTAATTGGATATGCACCTTGTTGTGGGAGCTATATATCCCCGTCTTGCAACACGTTGTTGCTACAATAGCATACCATGGATTGGGAGTCCAGAGTATCACAAGTTGGTCGCTATTCCTGCAACTACCTGGCTTCATTGCAAAGCCCCTGCCACAACCAGTTTCTTTTCTCACTTGGTTCGTAGCTGCTCTGTCGCTGGGCATGACCAACATGTTTCCTTGTGGCAGATGATTTTGAGAAGGAACGTGACAGTGTGGTAGGCACATGGTCCCAGATGGTCCAAGAACAGTGTGCGTGGTAAGCACAAACATCATGTTCGAAGTTTGAAGCTACGTAGAGACTACCATATGATTTGAAATCCCTATCAGAATTTACCCTGACCTTTCAAACAGCAAGCGTGAAGTTAGAATGTGACAACCCCTTCCATATCATTCTTTTCCTTTCCATCAACATACGGTTCCTTGTCGTCCAGCAACACCTCGAAATGTGTGGCAAAAGAAGCTTTAGCCTCTGACATTCTGGCCAACGTATCACGAAAAGACATTCTCTTCTGTTACCCCGACCCCGACAGATATGCAAGGAAGGTTTGGTCCTTTGCGGGGATCAAACAAGATGACCGCCTAGGCCTAGGCGTCTGTGTCCCACACAACCTGTCACAAAAAGACACAAAAGGTCACCGCTCATCCTGAGTCAATTCAGTCACTTCCCCATTCTTTTTGATTCATTTGGTTTCTGGCAAGTCGGACTAAATGAAATCTCCATGTCAACTGCCAAGGGAACCATGAGGAACGCCGAACGTTGCAACGACCACTGACTTTGCAATGCCGGCACAGTCACTCTTCATGGCCATGATCCTTACAGCCAAGCGGTCGTCTGTGAAGATTTTGCAGTCAAGAGACATATGGGAACACTCAGTGTATGTGTGTATATATGTATATATACATATATGTAATATAATCATATATAATCATATAACCTTCACGAAAAAATCGAGTGATTCATGATTGCAACTCATGGAAATTCATGGACGGAGTTCCAATGTGGTTCTACAATGGTTGACAAAGGCCAATTTCGAGACCCGCGCAAGGGATTTCAGACGGGACATCTTAGCTACAGGAACACACTGTTTGAGAACCACCAGGTGCCCGGATGGCATGGCCTCTCACAAGAGATCTGCAGTTTGTGTGGACTTTACAAAAGGTTTGTACACAACATCATGCCTCGCAGCCTTTGCATCATCGTTCCTAAAATCGGAGTGGCCCCGCCTTTAGGTTTGGTTTGTACCTGGAATAGTGTGGAAATTGTGTGAAAAATTGAAACTCTTTTTCAGCCTATCACCCCGGAGATCCAGTAGCATTTCGTCCAAGTTTCAGATTTCCAAGCAGCAGCCCAATTTCACCCCATCAGGCGTGGGGCAGCAGCCCCCGGTCATGTTCAACTTCGCACAAGCAGGGAACTTCTCACACTCTGAGCCCAATAAGATCTGAACCTGTGAGCGATTCCCCAGGATCGGATCATTTCGTAGCTAGTTGGACATGTAAATAGCTACAGCTACATCATGCTACATCAATCTTTCTGAGGAGTTCATACTGATTCATATTTCTAGGTGGCCACGCCTACAGTTGGATTCATCCAACACTCGTGGCCAGCCAGTCAGCACCAGCATCAGTACTGTTGGAATTGGTCTTACGATTGCACCCAACTGTTACCTATCTGTTGCCTGACTGTTACTAAACTGTTCAACTGGTGCGAGAACCCAAGGCATGTCCAAGCTGAAACAACCAGCTGCCTGGAAAGGACCGGTCGTTTCTTGAATTTTTCCGATGACCCAGGAGGTTTTCCAAAACTGAACTACCTACGGTACCTACAGTACCTACCCAAACTTCAAGGAATGGATAGGATGGAAATCGATCGCCTATGATAGCTTGTTGATAGCCTCATAGCCTCATCCACCACCCCCGACCTGCGGAACGACCTTGGGGAAGCCGTCGCAACAACCCAAACTCACCTGCAGTTGGAGATGGTGGCATTGCATACAGTGCATGCAGCAGATATACAATAATATGTATGTATATATATATGTTACTTACATACTCAAATCGAAAGGATATCTCTTTTTAAGCAACATTCATATGCATAGTACATAGTTGGAAGCTTGGAAGGGTCAGACGAACAATCTTGTACATGTAAGAATTGGATAACTTCAAGCCCCTATCACACTCCTCATGAGTCACATGCTGAATGTTTGCACTTTTCCATGGTTGAGAAAGAATCACACAAGTCCCAAGGACAAAAAATCAATTCACATCAATTCGCATCAGGCATGTTCAAACTTTGAGGATCCTGCACTCGACCCGATCCGGATCCACCAGAGCCCATCCCATCGCCCCAATCCCTGTGACTTCAGCACCTTCTCTGCGTTGGGGCAGCACTCACCCTCCTCACCAATCGGCAAGTCGGCAAGTCGGCAAGGAAAGTCACCCCGGCCACCCCAATGGACAGAAGTGTTGAGCCATGAATCTACGCATGTTCGAAAGAGAGAAAGAGTCATTGGTGACAAGACAGACCCAATCCCCCAAGCGTCCTTGATCCCAGCTGTGACACAAGCAGGATAGGCGCTGCAGCTGGTTCCATTGACGCCAGGCAGCATCCTTGGTCGACAAAGGACATCCCCAAATTTAATTCTGAAGTACCAGTCCGACCAGTCCGACCAGTCCGACCAGTCCGACCAGTCCGACCAGTCCCCTCAGCTATCCACAACAACTTGCGGTTGACACCATATATCGTGTCCCATCTTTGCGAGTCTGTGATCCAACGAGTGCTGCAATACACTGTTTTACATACAAAAACAATCTGATTGTTGGTTTTTGTTCCCATTGTTTCTATTTATATAATTAAAACGTCCAATTCTTTGAGGATGTCGAATTTTGAGCCACCTCAGCCACCTCTATTAGTTTTGCATATGTGTCTTTTAAGTTTGTTGTACACATCCACATCCATGTGGGTTTTGTTTGGCTTACCCCACTATCAGCCAATAACAGAACTGGGTGGCTTGCATGTTAGTAGCCTTCAAACACTGGGATCTATTTCACTCAACTACTGTGGCACGTCATTGGAAAGGGAGGAGTAAGAAACATATGTTGCTGAAAGATCGGTTGAAGAAAGATCCGTTGAAACAATGACAGATCCGTTGAAACCACTCTGACTCTACGCTTGGCGTCTGGGTGATGGCTACGGCCGCCTCATGGATGTCAGCTTCCGTTGCCTCACCATGAAAGATCCCTGGAAAATGCTTCGGAAATTTATCGGAAAATAAAATACATACATTCGGAAAATCATGGAAATGTACATGGAAATAATGGAAATAATGGAAATGCATTCTTGTTCCAAAATTGAAATGCTAATGGTAGATGTCCAGGCAGTTGGGTACCAAGGTGGGCATCTTGTTTTGACAATGTTGAGTTTTTGGTCTCTTGTTGTCTCATGCAAATCCCATCAAATCCTTTTGATGTCCAACCAGAACAAGGTTGTTTCTGGTGGGCCTCAGCTCCTGTGCGTTTTGCTGTTCGCATTACGCGCTATTCTGTTTGTGCAGGTGGGGCAGGGCCGGGTCAGGGTGGATAATAACTTTAATAATAGCTTTAATAACGTTCATTAGTCTCAGCGTTGCAGTACTTTCTTCTTGTGCTGTTCTTTCGCTTTCAGACGCGTCGGTTGCTAGTTCTTTTTTCGTGCCTGCAGTGATGCTGCTTCGGTTACTCCGCTGCAAGTGCATCAGGGTGTTACTACATTGTTTCTTGTGGGATATATATATATATATATGTATGTATATATTATTCATTTATCTTTTATTTATGTATTTATTTATTTACTCCGTTTCAGGACAAACCTGCAGTGCCTGTGGGGGAGGTCGACCAAGATGGTTTTTGTTGTTCAAAACACTCTCTTTGGGATGACCAAGAGCAATCACAAAGAGATAACTCCGACTTCCGAACAAATCAACCATCACAGAAATTACTTGAAATGAATTACCAAAGGTGTTGCGGTTACTCAAAGCCTCGATAGACCAAGGGGAAACCATGGGAACACCTCGTCCATGGCCTTGCTCGTGGAGAAAACCTTCAAGAAATTACACGACTTCCCATGCCAACAACAATTCTTGGACCATGGCCTATGCTTGGAGCTAGATGTACACACCTAGTCCATGCGAAAGGAGATGCTCAAGGAACTTTCCAAAGAAAGGTGGTGACCGAGGTGAAAAAGGAAGTGCCAACTCACATTTGGACATCACCAATATGATTGGAACCCGAAAAGGAGAAGGTCCTATTTCTCAAAGGATTGTACTTCAAATTTATGCATCCCAAATCATCCCGGTTGGCAGCACTTCACTTTATCTATGACCTTCAGAGCGGTTTCACCAGCACCTTGGGCCACAGTCTCATACCCCACAGGCCCCACAGGCCCCACAGGTCTTGTCGGAGATGTTCGAAGGTCTAGACCAAGCAATGTAATGCTGGAATGATTGAGGTTTTGGTGGCAAAACATCGTGGCTGGTTTTGGGGCGCTTTCCATCCGTTCCAGATCCCATCCCACCTCCTTAGCCGGTGCTAGAGTTGGCAGCCCAGCCTGTGGCATATCTTTTGGCCGATATTGTACAGTCTGCGAGTGACGAGGAGATTCTTCTCTGCCACTGTGATTTGGATGATGCAACCCAACAAATATGGTGTGTGGTCTAGCCATCCAGTATGCCTCCCAGAGACTGAAAACTTTGAAGGGTCGAAGAAATCGTAATGATTGCCAGTGAGGGTCTCGTTGGCTTTTCACCAGGTGAAGCTGCAGATACATGAAAGGGTGATGCTTTGGGAGCTGGAAATTGTAAGCCACCGAACTGAGTACAATGTTCGAATCTTGACATGCACCAGAGACCCTACACGGACAGTGTCCAAACAGGTTTCATGCTGGAGCTTGGGCAAGTCATGCAGGACACCATTCAAACCAAGAGTTCGCAACGTGAAAGTTGTTTGAAAAACCTGACGTGGTTTTCTTCAAGTCAACGTAGCCCAAATGGTCGCTGCCGTTGCCTACCTTCCAGGAAATTAGATGCGGAGTGAAAAGCCCGACTTGAAGGAACATGTTAAGTCCGGTGAAATTCACTATGTCAGCAGCGGGTGAGATGCAGGGTGTAACCCCTCAAACATGCCCATATCACCAGTGCCCTGTATACCACTACCTCTCCATCGATGTATGGGCGAAAGTTCAAACGACAAGATTTTCACGTTGCTTTGCTCAGTGAATCATCAATTGAATTATTATTATTATTATATATATATATGTATATAATTGAAATTAATTGAGTTATCCACTGAATCAATCTCTTAGCTCTGCTTCGCTCTGCTTCGCTCTGCTTCGCCTCTTCACCATCCACCTGTGCAGCCGCCGCATCGATCGCTGCATTGGCCGCATCGATGGCCTCTTGGCAGAACTTGGGTCCCACCTTGGTGCCTCAGCGCACGTGCCATTTAGCGATGTTTAGCGATGTATAGCGATTGGAAGAGATTTGTTGAAAACACGCCTTTTCTAGTCTTATCACAGTGTATCTAATGGTAAAGGGTTGGAAAAAAACACCTGGTCAAAACAAGACCAGCATAATTCAATTTACCAAACTCGTTGCACTCTGAGGCAGAACTAATGGCGTCCATGGAATTGAGTAGTTCACGTTGGGACTAGGTGAGCGGGGGGTGGCAGACCTGGAATCTGGCACGTGTTGATGCTATGTGATAAAAATCTTTATTTGGAAACGCTTAGAAAGTAGCTGTATATTATATGTATACGTACAAAATGCATATCAAGTATATGCCAGCGGGGGGAAAACCGCGCCAGTAGTCGTGCGCGTTTTTGAAAACACACATTTTTGACCGGGTTGGGGGGGAGGTGTTAACGTTCATGTTAACTTGCGTCTCATGCACATGCTTCGTCACGTTACTGGGTTGGGGTGGGTGCTGACGTTCATGCTAACTTGCGTCACATGCACATGCTAGTCACGTCACTGGGTTGGGGGGGTGTTAACGTCATGTCTTGGGTTTCCCCTTGCTGGCATCATAAATGTAGGATGGGCACAGAAGTAGATACATATATAAAACAGATGTTGATATTTATGTAAAATAGATGTTGATACATATATAAAACTGTCGACCCTGAGCTTCATGTTGTCAATTGTTCTTCACTATGTTGTATGTCTCTTCTTCATTTAGCCTCAAGGGTTCCTGCAACATCTTGTGGCAGTCCCCTGGCCAGAAAACCATGTTGATCACCGATGGGGCACCATGCTATCCATCTTTAAGTCACAAGTTTGGTTGGCGCCATGAAGCTTGCAACCACTCTAAAGGGGTGTTTTGTATAAAGAAACGAATTAGAAAAAAACATGTTCTGATTCACACAGGTGGGGTCGATGCGATGTGGCGACTGTCAAAGTCGGCCATACCATGTAGTCTCTCGACCAGAACCAACCGCCATGTGAACCCAAACTTGATGCGAAGCATCAGGGTGTGGCAATGGCGTTGGATGAACTCCAAAACCAAAAGCCTTTTGGAGGTCACTGGTCGCTCCTTGAAGAAGCGCATGGCGATGTGAGAGGGAAAAACATCACGCACCTTTTGAAGAACAAATTCCCTGTAAATTACAGGACACCATCAAAAAAACATTTCAAATTCCCGGGGAATTTTAAGCCTATTTTGGGGAATGAATCAGTAGTTTCGCTATGGCGAAAACAACATGTTTCTTCAAAACGTTCAAAACGCTGGCGCGGTTTTTCCCCCGACGGGATGTATATGTATACTGTGTATAGTAATCATGTATTCATTTTAGACTTGTACGTATTCGTACCATTTGGGTACGTCTCTGCATCATACTATCCTACGTCCGGGGTGAAGCGTTTGACAAATGACAACTGGATTGCGGTCCTTGACATGTTGTGAACCGCAATGAAGAGCGCACTTGAAAGTTTACAGTCGGGACATGTACAAACGGATTGGTGGGACACAGCAACTGTGACTCGCCATCAGGTCGGCAGTGAAATTGCTAGTCTTGTGAAGTTCTGTGACATTTCATGATGTTTCGTAATTCAGTGTCGTCAAGCGACCAGAGAATTTGAAAGGCGCAGCCTGCAGCGGGTGAAAAGCATAGGGGACGGCATGAAGGGAATCTGGATGCATCATCAGTGACTGTTCAATTACGAATCTGATTCCATGAACGTTCGAAAGAACTCTAGTCGTGAGCAACAACAACTTACACTCAAGGCCGAAATTCTTAGCTGACTTTGAGAGACCAAGTTAAAGTGCACCAAGTGTTCCCTGCGTGCACTCCTTCATCTTCAAGACCATTTAAGTCCAACTTCAATGTCAGCTGCCCAGGGGTCAATTGCATGCGATCCAGATAGAGGATGAAACCTTGGGATAATCCTCACTGAATTGATCCAGATCATTCGCAAACAGCATCCACCGGGGCAAAGGCAAAGCAACTTGGAAAACAAAGTTGGTTTGGCAAAAACACTGGAAAAACAAGGGCCAAAATCACTTCCTGTCTGCTCCTCTGATTGTACCAGTATTGCCGGGTCCTCTCATTTATGTAGAGATGTCCATCTCTACATTCAACTAGCCTAGATCGCATCAGGTTTGATCTTTAAAAACCAAAAAGAAAAAATGCGAAAGAATGTGAAAATGAGGCTCGCGCCTTGATTGCGGAAGCTTCACCAGTCAGGAGGCAACCACCATCCTGGGTGAAGTGGTTTTCAATGAAAGACATAAGCGCACATCAAACAGAAAAAAAGGCGAGTTTATAAACCCAAATCGATATGCCGACTCATGAAATCAAATTATCAAACCAGAAAACGAAAATATTATATATTATATATGTATATTATATATATTATATATTATGTATAATATAAATATATTATATATTAAATATATTAAATATATTACATATATTCTATATTACAATTTAAATATATTATATATTTTATATATAGTATATATTTGATATGTATATATATATTATATAAACAAAAAATAAATCAATTAAATATATTATATATATTATATAGTTTATTTTCTGAAAGTATCATATATTATCTACTATTTATATATATAGTATATGATTTACATTTATATTGTGTATCGTATGATATAGGATATATATATATATGTATTATATTTTATTTATATGTTTTATGTAATAACTATATTTTATATATCATATATACTGTATATGTTATATATATTTTATATTATAGATATATTGTAAATATTATATATTATTATGTATTTTTGATAAATGATATATATTATACATATTATATACATTATATATTATACAAATATTAAATATATATATATATAAATATATTATACATATTTTATATTTAATAAAGACAATATATATTAAATATATTATCTATATATATAATATTTTTAAAATTTTATATATATTATATATATATTTAAAAAAAAGAAATATCATATATTTTGTATAATTAAATATTATACATTTCATAGACATTTTATTTTATATATTACATATATTATATATTGTAATTTTAATATTATCAATATTGTATATACTATAAATATAATATTCAGTCTATATATTTTTGATATATTATATATAAATTATATTCTATTTTATATAAATTATATATTTTATATAATATATTTAAAATATTATATATATTATATTATATATTATATTACATATATTATATACATATTAGATACAATAAATATAATGTATATTATATATATTATATTATAAATTATGTTTATATGTACATTGTATGATTTTTATATATCTGTATATTATATATATTATATATTATTTCTATTATATATATTATATATATTAAATAATTTTAATTTATTAAATAAATTGAATATTAAATTTTATATATATTATATATATGATATTTTATATATATATCGTATATATTATATTGTATATATATATAGTAAATATTAGACAAGAATTTGATACATAATATATATATAATAAGAATAAAGTATATTATATTTTTTTATACATTATATATATTATATATTTCTTATATTGCTGAAATTGTAAATGTTATTTTTTGAAAAAATAATATATATAATATCTATTGTATTAATTTTAAATATAATATTTGTGATATATATATATATTATCTTGTATATACATTTTACATTTTGTAAATTATAGATTTTGTATATTAAATATTCAATTTATATATATATATATTTATGTATTGTATATCTTATGGGTAATATATTTTTCATTTATATATATTATAAGAATATTATACTTTAGGTATTTTCAAAATTATATATATTTATATTATGAACATTATATTTTTTATATTCTGTATAAAACATGAATATGTAAATTGTTTTTTTATTGTGTATATTTTAAGTTATATATATATATTATTTGAATATTATATACCATACATAAAAAAAAATATTACAAATATATTATAGATATTAAATATTTTATATATATATATATTATATTATATATATTATATATTACACAATATTATGTATTATATATATATTATATATTTTTTAAAAAAAAATGTATATATTATATATATTAAATATAATACATATATTATATATATTATATATAATATATATTATATATGTATATTTAATATAATATATATATATATACATTATATATACTATACATACTATATTCTCATATATTATATATATATATTCAAATAAGGTTCGGAAGCAATACCTCCATGTTACGGACAAATAGAATTGTGGGACTTGACATTGATGAAGGGTGGTGAAGTGGAAAGAATGAAAGGCAATGAAGGGCGGTTCTGTGTAACAATACATCACAAAGGAATAAAAGGCCACTAAGGGAAGTGGTGACGAAGAGAAGTGGTGACTTTGGGAACTGGTGAGGAAGCCAAAGCACGAAACCTTGTGTTTTACCGCGTAAAGTGGCTGCAGGCGGCGATGAAAGGTACCTTGTGTGTGCGGCGGGTGCGGCAGGGGTCATTTGGTTCCTTCTATGTGTTTTGCAACGAGTGGTTGTTCCTGCGTGCGTAATTCTTTGCGTTTCTTGAAGCTGTGGTTGCAGATCGCATTGGAATGGCTGCATGAATGTTGCATGCTCTGCGTTGTGGGGAGGAAGCCGGAGCACGAAACCTTGCGTTATTCCGTGTAAAGTGGCTGCAGGCGGCGATGAAAGTTACCTCGTGTGTGCGGCGGGTGCAGCTGGGGTCGTTTGGTTCCTTCTATGTGTTTTGCAACGAGTGGTTGTTCTGTTTGCGTAGTTCTTTGCGTTTCTTGAAGCTGTGGTTGCAGATCTTATTGGAATGGCTGCATGAATGTTGCATGCTCTGTGTTGTAGGAGGAAGCCGGAGCATGAAACCTTGTGTTTTTCCGTGTAAAGTGGCTGCAGGCGGCGATGAAAGGTACCTCGTGTGTGCGGCGGGTGCGGCTGGGGTCGTTTGGTTCCTTCTATGTGTTTTGCAACGAGTGGTTGTTCCTGTTTGCGTAGTTCTTTGCGTTTCTTGATTTTGTGCTTGCAGATCGCATTGGAATGGCTGCATGAATGTTGCATGCTCTGTGTTGTGGGGAGGAAGCCGGAGGACGAAACCTTGTGTTTTTTTGTGTGAAGTGCCTGCAGCCGGCGATGAAAGGTACCTCGTGTGTGCGGCGGGTGCGGCTGGGATCGTTTGGTTCCTTCTATGTGTTTTGCAACGAGTGGTTGTTCCTGCGTGCGTAATTCTTTGCGTTTCTTGAAGCTGTGCTTGCAGATCGCATTGGAATGGCTGCATGAATGTTGCATGCTCTGTGTTGTGGGGAGGAAGCCGGAGCATGAAACCTTGTGTTTTTCCGTGTAAAGTGGCTGCAGGCGGCGATGAAAGGTACCTCGTGTGTGCGGCGGGTGCGGCTGGGGTCGTTTGGTTCCTTCTATGTGTTTTGCAACGAGTGGATGTTCCTGTGTGCGTAGTTCTATGCGTTTCTTGAAGCTGTGGTTGCAGATTGCATTGGAATGGCTGCGTCAAGGTTGCTTGGTGCCGCGGCTGCATGCGTAATACTATTGTCTTTTGCAGCTGAAGATCGTAAATCGTATTGGAGTGGCTGCATCCAGGCTGCGATAGTGATTTGTCAGCAGATTTTCGCTTTTTTGGCGCTAGTAATTTTCCTTTTAAAAGTTCTGTTAAAAAGTGCTTCAAAATCTTCTTTTTTCTGCTTTGGCGTCGAGATCCATCCGGTTTTGGAGCTGCAATTTCCGACATCGTTGCGCGTAGTTCTATCGTGTTTTGCAACTCAGCCTCTGCAGATCGCATTGTAGTGGCTGGGTCAAGGTTGCTTGGCCGCGGCTGCATGCGTAATACTATTGTCTTTTGCAGCTGGATCTCGTAAATAGTATTGGAGTGGGACCATCAAGGCTGCGACAATGATTTGTCAGCAGATTTTCTCAATTTTGGCGCTAGTCCTTTTCCTTTTCAAAGTTCTGTTAAAAAGTGCTGCAAAATCGTCTTTTTACCGTTGTGGCGTCGAGCTCCGGTTTTGGAGCTGCAATTTCAGACGCTGTTGCACCTTTTGTGTTTTGCACCTTTTTTTTTTGCAACTCAGTCTCTGGAGTCTGTCTTCCATTGCAGTCTCTGGAGTCTGTCTTCCATTGCTGTCTAGGAACGAGTTATCGAACTCTTGATAATAAACAACGGTGGCGATGTGTTGCTAAAGAAACCACCTAGAAAAAGGCTTCTGCATGGACGTTGCACAACAGGTAGGATTGGACATGAAAGATGAAACAACTATATTGGCATGGCAGATGGAAGAATGTGATGAGTTCTATTTTTGTGGTAGTGTCATCTATGTGTAGTTGACTTCGGCCGACCCACAGAAAAAGTCATGCTGTGATGCTCGCAGGTCATGTTCTTGGACAACAACACCGCAACAGCTTCGCACAAAGCACGCACGCACGGGCCTGGCTGGCGCACGGCGCATGCAAGTTCCTTAGTAGTAGTGCTGGGAAGTGACTCATGAAAGCTTAGATGACATATGAGAAGAGATGAGATGAGAAGAGATGAGCTAGGATAAGGTGAAAGAGCTCAGATGAGATGAAGCGTGGAGTGTGAAGAGTGCAGTGTGAAGAGTGAAGTGTGGAGTGTGAAGAGTGAAGTGTGGAGTGTGAAGTGTGAAGTGTGGAATGCGAAGAAAGCAGTGTGAAGTGTGGACTGCGAAGTGTGAAGTGTGAAGTGTGGAGTGTGAAGTGTGGAGTGTGGAGTGTGAAGTGTGAAGTGTGAAGTGTGGAGTGTGAAGTGTGAAGTGTGGAGTGTGAAGAGTGCAGTGAGAAGTGTGAAGTGCGAAGTGGAGCTTCAAATGTGACATGTGAAACGGGACACAACTTTTGCAGAATGCACGCGCGCACGGACTTGGCTGGCGCACGGCGCATGCAAGTTCTATAGATGAGAACGGTCTTATATATATATTGTATATATATATATATATCTCTCTCTCTCTCTCTCCCTCTCTCTCCCTAAGGCAACTTCCGCTCCGCCTCGCGCGGGTACTACTGGCATATATTATATATTTATATTGTATATATATATATTATTATGGAATGAGGTTTAGAAGTCAAACTTCCGACAGCATGGACAGATGAAAAGCAGAGATGGGCAGAGGCAGAGAGAAGAGAAGAGCAGAAGAGAGAAGATCAGAGAAGAGAAAGAGTCAGAAGTAAGAAGATACAGGCGCGCGAAAAGGTAAGAAAGTCGCGAAACATTGTGTTTTTCCGATGATTTGTGGCTCCGGAGGGTCGAAAAGTAGGCTCGCTAAAGCGGCGGGTGCGGAGCCATCTGGCCAGATGAAAAGTGCACGCCGTTGTGGTGCGAAGCACATTTGTAAGTGAAAAAGCTAAAAGCACCTCACGTTCAGACCACTTTTGGAAGTTGCCATGTCGAAAAAGTGCACGCCGTTGTGGCGCGAAGCACATTTCGAAGTCAAAATGTGCAAAACACACCATGCTCAGACGACTTTTGGAAGTTGAGATGTTGAAAAGTGCACGCGGTTGTGGCGCGAAGCACATGTCGAAGTCAAAATGTACAAAACACACCACGTACGGACCACTTTTGGACATTCAGATCTCGTTTCGCGTGGCAGGCGCAAGGGATTGTGCACCGTCTCAAACGTGAGCAAAACGTGAGGGTTTTCTGCAGATTTTCAAAATACGCTGGCAGGCGTGGGACATTTGAAGAGGATCTGCAAAGATGCATTTTCTGTGGCAGGCGCAATACAAAAGACACGTTCATGAGAGATGTTAGGAGGTCAGGGCGCTGATTTCCTGAGAGGGGTTGCATTTTGGAGCATCAGATCTGTAGGTTTGCTATGGTTTGCTAAGATGATTTTGCGTTGACAGGTGCAGCACTTCGTATGACCTGGCATCAATTTTTCGTGGCAGACGCAGTACTTTAGACAGGTGGAGTGGAAAAATCGCAAAACGCATTGGTACGAGGCTGTCAGCGCTGCACTCAACTTTCCATTTTTGAAGGAAGTGTCGCAGAATTGCTTTGTTTTTGATGTTGTTAAGTTCAAAAATGAAGGAAGTCTCGCAGACTTGTTTCGTTTTTGATGTGGTCAACTTCAAAAAAGGAGGAGGTCTCGCAGAATTGCTTTCTGTTTGATGTGGTCAACTTCACAAAATGAGGAAGGCTCGCAGAAGTGCTGCGTTTTTGATGTTGTCAACTTGGAAAAATGAAGAAGTCTCGTAGAATAGCAAGGTAGATAGGTAGATCCATATGATAGATAGATGGAAAGATAGATAGATAGATAGATAGATAGCTAGATAGCTAGATAGCTAGATAGCTAGATAGCTAGATAGCGAGATAGCGAGATAGCTAGATAGCTAGATAGCTAGATAGCTAGATAGCTAGATAGCTAGATAGCTAGATAGCTAGATAGCTAGATAGCTAGATAGCTGGATAGCTAGATAGCTAGATAGCTAGACAGATAGACGGATAGATGGATAGATGCATAGATAGATAGAAAGGTAGATAGATAGGTAAAGAGATAGACAGACGGATAGGCAGAGAGAGAGAGAGAGGTAGGTAGGTAGGTAGGTAGGTATGGGTAGGTAGGTAGGTAGGTAGGTCGGTAGATAATCAGAGAAAGAGAGAAATAGATCGATAGATAGATAGATAGATAGGATAAGATAAGATAAGATAAGATAAGATTAGATTAGATAGATAGGTAGATAAAAAGATAGATAGATTGATAGATAGATTAGGTAGATAGATAGATTAGGTAGATAGACAGATAGAAAGATAGATAGATGGATAGATAGTTAGATAGATTGATAGATAGCTAGATAGCTGGTTAGATAGACAGATAGATAGATAGGTAGATACATACATACATACATAGATAGATAGATAGGTAGATAGATAGGCAGATAGGTAGATAGATAGATAGATAGGTAGATAGGTAGATAGGTAGATAGCTAGCTAGCTAGATAGATAGATTAGATTAGATTAGATTAGATTAGATTGGGTTAGATTGGGTTAGATTGGATTAGATTAGATTAGATTAGACTAGATTAGATAGATAGATAGGTAGATAGATAGATAGCTAGATAGATAGATAGATAGCTATGTAAATAGATAGATAGATAGTTAGATAGATAGATAGATAGATAGGTAGATAGACAGATAGATAGATGGATAGATAGGTAGATAGATAGATAGGTAGATAGCTAGCTAGCTGCTAGGTAGCTAGCAAGATAGATAGATTAGATTAGATTAGATTACATTAGATTAGGTTAGGTTAGATTAGATTAGATTAGATAGATAGGTAGGTAGATAGCTAGCTAGCTAAACAGATAGATAGATAGATAGATAGGTAGATAGATAGATAGATAGATAGTTAAGATTAGACTAGATTAGAGTAGATTAGATTCGACTAGACTAGACTAGACTAGATTAGATTAGATAGACAGATAGATAGTTACATAGATAGATAGGTAGGTAGATAGGTAGATAGTCAGAGAAAGAAAAGAAACAGAGGAGACATAAATCACCTTTGGATCCATCAGTGGCTTCGCTCTGCCATCCATGATTCACAACAACCAACCTTTCCTATAGGTTTCCTATTTTTGAAACTTCCGCCACCGCCTTGTGCGGCACTACTGGTATATATATATATATTATACATATTATATTTGTAGTTTACATATTATATAAATTAGATATATATATATATATATATTGTATATATAATATTATATACATATATATATATGATTATATATAGAATTTATCATATTCTATATTATATATATATTGTATTCTATTTATATTATTATATATATTGTATTTATATGAGATATTTTATATCTCATAGAAATATGTCGTTTGTTTTGAAGCTTTTCTTACTGGAATCTACTGAGTACACAACTTGAGAGCCAGGAAATCTCCGCAATGCAATCCCACAGTGCCCGTCAAAGATTGTAAAAAGGGGAGACAAGCCACACCAATTTGGAATAGTACTTCGCAGGGATAAGCCGAGACAGATAGCCAAATAACCCCATGCACAGTGGACATGTTCCTATGGGTTAAATTGGCAACAAAAAATACATATCCTGCAAAAAATGATCAGCACCCGTGCAGGGGATGGTGGTCTCATCCAAGACTTGAGGATTCACTATAACGGATAATGGAATAAGTTACAATCCCATCTACCACCCAGGATGACCAGCCTTAGGCCGCATGGATAACCAAAGCGGGCTTCCCCAAGACATGTTGTTACCAAACAAGTAAAAGTTTAAAAAGTTAAAATCCGAAAATGTAGACTGCGGGCAACGAATAACCCTCTTTGCAATGTCTCTAGAGGGTCCAGGTCCCAGATCGTCCCAGATCGTCCCAGATGGTCCCAGATCGTCCCAGATCGTCCCAGGATCCGGCCAAAAGGTGAAATGCGAGCACTCGGGCACCACCTGGCAGCGTTGCTGGCACAGCTCCGCGCTGAACTCCACAGTACGCTCAGAGGCGTCCAACTTCACTGGGTCGGCATAGTACATGCCCACCTTCAGGATGGGGGTGCAGGTTGCAGCTTGCAGCAATCAAGGGAGTTACGGTGTGACAACAAGATCATTACAGCATGGCAATTGCATGTCAAAAACACTTTTTCATATGTAGAATGACCTATCTGCAACGGTTCTTTCATGGTGTCTTTGCTTGAAGTTTTGAACAGTCATGAACGATCCCGCCTGAAAGCATGGTTTCTCTTCAGTTTCCTCCAAGGCCAAGAACTCTCCTTGGAGTTGATGGGATAACATCAACTCTGTGGGGCATATTGGAGAATTGACCCTTTTTTTAACCGTGACAAGCGGCCAAAAAAGGGGGGCAAACGTCAACACACCCAAAAAAAACATACGGCTCCAGAAGATTAATCATGAGACGGGTGGGTCGGCGAATTTTTGTGACCACCGCTTCGATTCTAAGCAGTGGCCATGAAACAGAAAAACCCTTCGGCATCAAAATCTAAACGTCACCCACAATGAACAGGACGTTATTACTTTATAGAAAAAGATGTTATGGCGAAATCTTGAAAGCATGCTTGGAAAATTAAGAAGGTGTATTGGCGAATCATTCTATTGAAGCCAACCAGTGATGCTCATTGCATGCAACGAGGAACCGGTTCCTGGTATGCTGAGCCTGGTGCCTTGGCAACATTCAACCTGCAAAGTCAAATGGAACTGAAACCGAACAATCTGAACATAACCGAGCTATATACCATACAATACTATATTATAATATATTGTATCTACTATTGATGAACTGCCACTTCACCATTTGATGTCTTTTGCATGTGTTCCATTTGAGCTGCAGTTGAACATATCCTGCTCTGCAGCTGCACCTTTCAAGCTTCTGATCGTAGGGGAAGGCACCCGAATCCCAAATTGGAGGAAAACACTGAGGAGTTTTTTGCATGAGCGTTGCACCTTGCCTGCACCTGCCGACGAGCAGGCTTTGAGCCCAAGCACCTCCAGGCTCTGAGATGACTGGGATGATGCAGAGAAGGAGGGCTACGAAAGAAGAGCTCGAACAAGGAGCTGAAGAAATTCGGCAAGCTGATGCAAGGATGAGGACAGAAGCTGCAGCATTGGGTGAAGAGCCAATAGGAGATAGGAAAGTAGATGAGGTGAGGGAAAGTCTTGACAATGGACCCCAACAACAAGTAGAAAAAGTATAGAAGAGCCCCAAAGTAGCTACCCCAAAGTCTCGACCAGGTGTTCCAACGACACCGCCGCCAACATACGCTCCTGAACTGGAGCCCAAACCTCTGTTAGGAAGTCACCTGAGGTCAACGGTTCTGCCGCTCAGCAGGACGAGAGTCTGCTGGTTCGTTTTCAGCAGAGAGGTTCGAGAGGACGTCTCGAACACACCACTGTTCACTGAGGAACAAGCCAGGGCCTTGACTGAGCTGCATGATAGGGCACCATGGCTGTATCAATCAGGGAGGTGGAAAAAGCAGAACAGCGGGTTGTATCAACTGAACAGGCGATTGCAGCTGTTCGCCTGATCACTCTGGTCGCCATGATGGCGGCGGCCAAGGGTGAAGAAGACGAGGAAGATGGAAGGTCGTGGCGTATACCGTGATGGTCATCGTTGCCACCGTTGCTGTTCAGGCTGCTTGGAAGGTCGCAGTAAGGATGAGACAGGGAGAGACCGAAGAGCCTCAATCCCGGAAGTCCCGAAATCCCCCCAACAGTCAAGGAAAGCCAAAGCTGGAAAAGGGGATCATTCCAGGTGATGCGGTTGAAAGAATGAGAGAACTCCAGTGTGTCAAAGCAGCGGAACGAAGTCCACGTAGGGGTAGCTTGAGCTGCGAGTGATTTCCCCCTATCGGGATCATCAAGGGGAATTGATGAATTGCCACTTCACCATTTGATGTCTTTTGCATGTTTTCCATTTGAGCTGCAATTAGTTGAACATATCCTGATCTGCAGCTGCCCCTTTCAAGCTTTCGATTGAAGGGGAAGGCACCCCAATCCCAAATTGGAGGAAAACACTGAGGAGCTTTTTGCATTAGCGTTGCACCTTGCCTGCACCTGCCGACGAGCAGGGTTTGAGCCCAAGCACCTCCAGGCTCTGAGATGACTGAGATGATGCAGAGAAGGAGGGCTACGAAAGAAGAGCTCGAACAAGGAGCTGAAGAAATTCGGCAAGCTGATGCAAGGATGAGGACAGAAGCTGCAGCATTGGGTGAAGAGCCAATAGGAGATTGGAAAGTAGATGAGGTGAGGGAAAGTCTTGACAATGGACCCCAACAACAAGTAGAAAAAGTATAGAAGAGCCCCAAAGTAGCTACCCCAAAGTCTCGACCAGGTGTTCCAACGACACCGCCGCCAACATACCCTCCTGAACTGGAGCCCAAACCTCTGTTAGGAAGTCACCTGAGGTCAACGGTTCTGCCGCTCAGCAGGACGAGAGCGCTGCTGGTTCGTTTTCAGCAGAGAGGTTTCGAGAGGACGTCTCGAACACACCACTGTTCACTGAGGAACAAGCCCGGGCCTTGACTGAGCTGCATGATAAGGCACCATGGCTGTACTAATCAGGGAGGTGGAAAAAGAGAAGAACCTGCCAGCAGAACAGCGGGTTGTATCAACTGAGCAGGCGATTGCAGCTGTTCGCCTGATCACTCTGATCGCCATGATGGCGGTGGCCAAGGGTGAAGAAGACGAGGAAGATGGAAGGTCGTGGCGTATACCGTGATGGTCATCGTTGCCACCGTTGCTGTTCAGGCTGCTTGGAAGGTCGCAGTAAGGATGAGACAGGGAGAGACCGAAGAGCCTCAATCCCGGAAGTCCCGAAATCTCCCCAACAGTCAAGGAAAGCCAAAGCTGGAAAAGGGGATCATTCCAGGTGATGCGGTTGAAAGAATGAGAGAACTCCAGTGTGTCAAAGCAGCGGAACGAAGTCCACGGAGTGATTTCCCCCTATCGGGGTCATCAAGGGGAATTGATGAATTGCCACTTCACCATTTGATGTCTTTTGCATGTTTTCCGTTTGAGCTGCAATTAGTTGAACATATCCTGATCTGCAGCTGCCCCTTTCAAGCTTTCGATTGAAGGGGAAGGCACCCCAATCGCAACTTGGAGGAAAACACTGAGGAGCTTTCTGCATTAGCGTTGCCCCTTGCCTGCACCTGCCGACGAGCAGGCTTTGAGCCCAAGCACCTCCAGGCTCTGAGATGACTGAGATGATGCAGAGAAGGAGGGCTACGAAAGAAGAGCTCGAACAAGGAGCTGGGCTGATGCAAGGATGAGGACAGAAGCTGCAGCGTTGGGTGAAGAGCTGATAGGAGATAGGAAAGTAGATGAGGTAAGGCTGGAAAAGGTGAGGGAAAGTCTTGAGAATGGACCCCAGCAACAAGTAGATAAAAGTATAGAAGAGCCCCAAAAGAAAAGCCCTGAAGTAGCCACCCGAAAGTCTCGACCAGGTGTTCCAACGACACCGCCGCCACCATACCCTCCTGAACTGGAGCCCAAACCTCTGTTAGGAAGTCACCTGAGGTCAACGGTTCTGCCGCTCAGCAGGACGAGAGCGCTGCTGGTTCGTTTTCAGCAGAGAGGTTTCGAGAGGACGTCTCGAACACACCACTGTTCACTGAGGAACAAGCCAGGGCCTTGACTGACACCATGGCTGTATCAATCAGGACGTTCTGCATTCTCTCCATGTCCACACACAGGCCTGCTTCTTAGAGCATGAAGAGGATAGGCTTAGAGAAGGATAATATAATTATATAATAATCTGCATAGAGAGAGAGAGAGAGTGTGTGATGCTTTCTTGTCTTTTGTCCGGAAAGAAATTCTTCATTCATTCACCCATCAGTCTTCCTTCTACACCAGAATGACACGTGACGTCCATGCCTAGCTTCTGGATGCTTTCTGAAGTCCTCCAACTTTCACGGTCAGAAAGCCCAAAGCTGCCAGCACAACCACTCCCACCGCAAGGGCTTTTAGGATGGCGAACCTCCTAGGACGCTCAAGACGCTCAGCTGGAAAATCTTCCAGGAGTTCTTCCAGGTCCGAATTCACCATGGCGCAAGGTTTCACTCGGGTCGTGATGGTACAGCTGAAGTGGCTATACTGACAATGGATGATGACCACGCAGTGGTTCGGCCAGAGCACATCCCCAATCAAGAGATTGTGAGGTTTTGGGCAAATATCAACCAATATTTATGCGGATATAAATGCATTGGAGACCTCAAGCCCTGAATCATATTGCCCTCACAAAACCACTGGTTTCGAGCATCCGAATTAATTTAAGGGCTGTCTCGCAAATTGTTTCAACTGCAATGGGATTTATGCAAACGTGTGTTGTCCTAGTCCAATCCAGGCCGAAACCCCATTTTGGCCGCAAAACTGCAATTTGTTCTAAAGCCAACTGCCGACTTCGCAGCAGGAGGTGTATTAAAAGGGATGTGTTCTCGTGGGGCCAAACGTTCTTCCATGTCCTTTCGCAGAATACACTGACGAGAGAAAAATAGCCTTGAAGAACGTGATGGGGGGCCCACCAGGTCAGCTTGTGGGGACTGCTTTTTTAGACCTCCTATCACTCACCATCTATGACATCTATGACTATTAACTTTCTCATGTAGGGAACATGCACCAGATCATGCCACCTGCAGCATAAACTTTGCACTTTCAAGTAGAAAATGGGCAGCAGGTAAAGAACTTGTGACAATTGCTCATTTTAGTTGTGCAGGTGGAAAAATTGTCAGTTTGAAAAACGGCACTATCCAAATTCCATCCACCATCCCTAAAACAGCAATATCCAAGCCCACTGAAGTCACTGAAGAATCAAACCGATATGCAGCATGTGATATGCATCCGTCTGCACTGACACAGCAACGCTGGCACCGCCGACACTGCTCTGCTATGGTCTGCTCAGATTTCAGAGCAGCAGCCCAGCTGAATGCCATCAGGCGTGGGGCAGCAGCCGCCGGTGATGTTCATCTTCGCGCAGGCGGGAAACTTCTCGCATTCCGAGCCCGCAGCAATCTTCACCTGGCAAATTGATCCAAGTATTCCAGCATTCAAAACGGAACGATTATATAACCAAATTGATGACATGGTGCACCAGAGTGAACGGCGCTGGCCAGACTTTGTCTGCTATCCTCTAGTCAACTAAACTAGAAGCAAGAGAACAAACAACACTTTGGGGCATGGTTTCACGTGGAAAACCCTCAAACCCTAATACCCCAAAACTACCCTGAAACCCTAAAAAACCAAAAACCCTAAAACCCTCCAGATTCCATTTCGGCAAGTCCGGGCCCATGTGGGGTTCATTCTAAATTTCATTTGGGCAATTCTAGTTTTTATGTTTTTTTATGTGGGTACTTTTTTAATTTTTAGGCTCCATTTGAGCAACGGTGTGTGCTACATGTAGGAGCGGTCTGATTGGATGATTCAACTTGCTTTGTCATAAGGTCCTAGTAAGGAAGCCACTGTCTTAGTGTTTTGCAATCCTTGCGCCAGATGATGTGCGAAGACACAGCAGCTGGCAATTGGCACCTCCTCAACAACCTTAGGGAAGCCATTGCAGCAACCTAAGCTTACCTTGTCATCGTTGGGGCAGCAATTTCCCTCCTGCGGGAAGCGAACTCTTCCCCGGGGAGCAAGGCCACACTTTGATATCCCCATTCGAACTTATTCATGATCAAAAACTGGAAATGCCGAAATACCGATTTACTCCAGCTCAGCTGGTGCACCAACATCACAAATAAACACCTCACATTGAATCTCTGTTAGTGTCATCCTCACGTTCGTTCTCATGTTATTCGTGTTATTCATTCTCATCATTTTCATCCTTCCCCTCCGCACCCCTCTCCGCACCCCTCCAGAACTCCCAAAGTCCCAGAAGTCGCCACACTGTCCTTGATCCCCACGTCCACACACGCAGGATAGAGGCTGCAGGATGTGCCATTCACTCCTGCCAGCACCTCTGTCGCCACGTTCGCCACGTTTTCCTTGGCAGAATCCATAGCTCCCCAGCTGCTTTGCGCCTGCTGAATGCCCGAGTTTACTACGGACTCTTGCAATCCACCTGAGCCATGGCAGCCATGGCAATGGTGGAACTTCGAGATCTAGATTGTAGATCAAAGTCGATCAACGTGGATCAACATAGATCAAAACGGTATAGCACTTGGCACTCCACAGTTTCAAGAAAGTCAGTTGACCGACGTGGATCTCTTGCGGTGAAGACGATAAACCCCATTGCATCTCAAATGGGTGTCTATATCCTTTGCTACGATGAAATAACCCAAGACCTTCTGCGAATTCCTCCAAGTTCCAGGAGGCTAGCCAATTGGGACCATTCCATACGTGCCATGGTAAAAACATGGTACAGCACAGGGTATCGGAGAAAATGGTCATGCATCCCATAATGGGAATCTTCTTCGTGGGTAAATAATTTCCCATTGAAGAATGGATACCAACTTCTGACCATGGCACATGTTGCCAAACAACAGCCAGAAATATCACTGCTGTAGGCACCCCTGAAACCGAGGTGATGACTGGGTGGTTGCAGTCACAACCCCATGAACCTGTAGTAATTGTTGAAGACGGGGTATATCAGGGATCGATGCTTGGGAACAAGTACAACCTTTTGATGACCTAGGTATTTTGTCTGACCGTTGAAAGTGAACTCAGGTCACCCACGATATCCGTTGTATGTGCAATTTCAATCAATGTCAGACTCTGTATCCAAACTGCAAATTTCACCACTTCACAAGTGTCCAATGGCTAGTTGCGACATGTGCTAAAATAGGAGCCAGCCAAGCTGCTCACATCTCCATCTTTCTCTGCGTCAGCAGCTGAAATGGCATCCTTGGCGTCCTGATTTATGACAGAGACTGAGACACCATCCCGCTTCTCGCAAGTTTGCGTGTTGTGCAGACTAAGTGTACCCCCTTGATTGATACACAAGGCCTGGTCTGTTCGGAAACAAAAGTGTTTCTGAGGTGTTCTTTTTGTGAACAGGGGAACGGAGGAGACCAACGAAGCTCTTTGCAAGCATCCAGGAAGCACGGCTTGATCACCCGCATGCACCTGCTGACTTGGTAGCGAAGATTTAACATATTGTTGAAATAGTTGTGGCACGCGGTGTTTCTTCATCACGTGTTCACTGCTACAGTAATTCACTATATTACAAAATCATCCAGTTTGTGAATACAGATTGTGGGCAAATCCATCAACCAAAGCTTCTGAACGGTTCATCTCGGCATACACTATTAACCACAGGATCTCATTCAGGCAGGCCGTAACATAAACAACCTTGAAGAGCTCGTCTATCGCTGCTTTTGCCTCGATCAAGGACCTTTATATTATAATATTATATATATAACTCAGAAATCCGTCAGTGTGTATGATTTGTGTATGTGTATCTGGGTGAATACTGTTCCAACGACTCGCTTTTCTGCCGAAGGGTCGAATCGCAGCAGTACGGAAAAAGAAGACATTGGAACGTGCCTGGGTGTATTACAGTGTAGTCTCCACTCCGCGTCAGTTCAAGTAGATTTTGGGGGGTCAGAAAAAATTAGGTAAATAAATAGGACACGCGTGGTCTCCAAAGCACCCATTTGAGATAGCGATGTTTGATGCACAGCACCCCATGATCCGATTTCCAGCTGCGTCCTGAACAGCCCCGGGGCAAAATTTGGGCCCCGTCACTGTGGAACTGAACTTAAAGGGAGCAGCCTTCACGTAGGACACCTCGCCAGTCAACAAGCAGCCACCATCCTCGGATCCGCCGGCCGCTCTATGTGTTGAAAATCAGAGAAACCATGCTAAACCGCTAAACTTCTAAACTAAACCCATGCCAGCCCACGTGATGTACAGGGTGGCCTTCAGAATTCAATGAAGATATCTGATGATATCTGATGCATTTGTCGAAAAAGTCCCGTCCCAGGATCCGGCCAAAAGGTGAAATGCGAGCAGTCGGGCATCACCTGGCAGCGTTGCTGGCACAGCTCCGCGCTGGTCTCCACTGTGCGCTCGGTGGCGTCCAACTTCACTGGGTTGGCGTAATACATGCCCACCTGCACGCTGGAACCCCTTTGTTTCATTTTGTTTCATTTTGTTTCATTTTGTTTCATTTTGTTTCATTTTGTTTCATGTTCATTCAATTCATTCATTGTCCCAATTTTTCCAATTTTCCTGGAAATTGAGGCTGTAAGATGCCCTAAACTAAGAGTGCTAAGGCCAAAAAGGTGCTGACTCACTTGAACTAACAATTTGACGACATATAATTGACACATATAATTGACACATATATATATAAACCTATATATATAAACCTATATATTGATAAAGTGAGAAACGTGGATGGATATGTCTGGATACAAAATGATACAACTGACCTCAAAGCAGGATTCTTCGACTTCTTGCAAGCCGACAAAATGGCCTCAGATGGCGAGCAAACCCATGCTCGACTCATTGTGCCCATGTTTATGCATGTTTGTGTTTATGATTATTTATTTATGTTTGTGCAGTACACCTGATGATTTTGTGCGATCTGCTGAGACCGTGAAACGATTTTCTATAATTATAGTGGAGATGCAAAAGAGTTCGTACATGCTTGCAAGTGTTCATTTGAAGAATCTCAACATAGAAATCAACCATTCAATTCATACATGGCAAGGTACATGGTCGAGGGTTGTCGCCTTGGAATCAACAAAACCCTTGAGGGCATGTTTTGTACGGGAGAATACCACAGCTCAATTTAAGCTAGATATCGAATACATATGAATACATTCGGATACACTGTAAAAACAGACCACTGCCCACTTCTCGACTGTTTGAGCAAAGTCACCCAACTTACCGAGTCTTCCCTGCTTCACGGACAGCACTGCAACTACAGCCAGGCTCACTCCCAAACCCAGCAACCAAGCACCGCTCCGGCGGGGGCTTGGGGCTGGAGCATCCAAAAGTTGTTCCAAATCACTGGACTCCATGGCCATACTTCGAGGAGGCAGAGCTGTGCCCAAAATGGCTACGAATGCATGGCCATGAATGGCCATGAATGGCCATGAATGGCCATGAACTGTATGGATATTGTTATGACTCATTATGACCATCCCCAAAAGCAGCTGACTTGACTCAACTGGATTTCTTCCATTTTCATGTCTTTCAATTGAGGATGCAAGCTGCAAAGCTGCAAAGCTGCAAAGCTGCAAAGCTGCAAAGCTGCAAAGCTGCAAAGTCAACTCCCGTTCAGAACTGTTTTGCCACCACTACTCCCATTCTGATCGCTGCACTGCAAAAGCAAAGCCCTGGAAGTTGAGTGGCACAATCCTGGGATCTCCAGCTAAGAGGGCAAAAACTCTGGAGCACCTCCGATTGTTTGACATGAAAACCCGAGTTCTTGGACCAGGTTGGCCAAGCACAACTTCCACCAAGGACCCTGCGGAACAACTTCGGCCAATCAACAATTACACCATCACGGTTGTCTCCCAATTTGGCTTCATGGACCCCCAAGCAGACGGGGAGTCGACTGCACATTCCGCAAAGGTGTGAAATTAAATGAGTAACTTAGACAACTTTATTCGGAGAATGAGAACATGTTCAAGTCACCAATGATTGGCTATCAGTTAACAAAAAGGGAAGAGATATTACCAACAACACATGGGCTTACAAGCAGTATATACTTGTTGACCATCTCAAAATTGGAACACCTGGACAACCACTCAAAAGGGTGCAAAGGCTGCCCATCACAAGGGGGGTTTCTCTGTTGAGACTTTTCATATCTCTTTATAAAATGGAAAGCAAAGCACGTGGCTGAAAGTGAAGCGGATAAGATCCATACTTGTCATGAGGCATGAAAGAGTGCAGTGTGACACCATAGTCAAGGACGCACGCAGTCAGAACCCAGATCATGTTCATGTTCAAGAAATTGGTCTCTTACTTTCCTACGCATCATGATTCTCACATGAATTCTCCTTCGCAGTCACGAGGCCGATTAGGAGCGGAAAAGGAACCTTACTCGAGAAACAAATCTCAAAGGCCTAGGACAACAGAATGAGGTCCTACCCCAACAGCTACGGAGCCCAACCACTATCGCGATTATCGTCTGTGTTGTCACTGTCGCCTAAGACCAGAGAGTCGACAAAACCCTCACCAAACTGTGCGAAGCAATGCAATGAGCATGTTCCAAAATTGGAACTCCCCAAAAGAAATCCCAGTATGCTTTGTCTTGTGCTCGGTTGGGAAATAAAATGAAATAAATAGGAATCACGTTGCCACACCCACCCTCTAAACATCGTGAAGGTCGACAGCCCAGGTTTACATATATATATATGTATATATGTATATATGTATATATGTATATATGTATATATGTATATATGTATATATGTATATATGTATATATGTATATATGTATATATGTATATATGTATATATGTATATATGTATATATGTATATATGGTATATATGTATATATGTATATATGTATATATGTATATATGTATATATGTATATATGTATATATGTATATATGTATATATGTATATATGTATATATGTATATATGTATATATGTATATATGTATATATGTATATATGTATATATGTATATATGTGTGTGGATGTATGTATGTATGTATGTATGTATGTATGTATGTATGTATGTATGTATGTATGTATGTATATATGTATAGATGTATATGTGTGTGTATGTATGTATGTATGTCTGTCTGTCTGTCTGTCTGTCTGTCTGTCTGTCTGTCTGTGTGTGTGTGTGTTCTGTTGAAACTTTTGCCCAAATGACAACAATCACAAATCCTTGACATGCTGTGTGTGTGTGTGTGCGCTCGCTTCTGGAAATTTGTTTGGAACCATCTCAAACAGTTCTAACCACTCAGAACGATTAATTTCATGCGGTTCCTCTTCCAGCTTTCAGTCACACTTTTTGTTGAGTCTCATTGTGCCGTAGGCACCGTCTTCTCTTTGCTTTCGCCTTGGCATTGCTTGGCAGCACTTCTCGGGATCATGCTGGAATCTGGGGGCTTCGAGCAAGTCAACACAGCACCCAGAAGAACCTACTTTGCTTGTGAATTGACTGTATACTCCTGACTTCTTGAGTGACTCACCGTCCATTTTACAGGCTCATAAATCCTAAGACTTGAGACCAAGCTTTGCTTGTTTCATATTGGTAGCTTTAAAATATATATCCCTGGATAGGGTGGTTTTCTAGCATGTGACAATAAATGCAAACGAACATTTACTTCAAAACACCGATGTTAGAGAACACCGATGTGGCAGGTTTCAAAACATGCTTTTCAGTTTTCTTCAAGGTGTTCTTCAAGGTGTTCTTCATTGGCATGTGGAATCCGCGGAACTCGTTGGAACCGGAACCAGTGGAACCAGTGGAACCAGTGGAACCAGTGGAACCAGTGGAACCAGTGGAACCAGTGGAACCAGTGAAACCTTGTACCTTGCCCTCGACTACAGTCCAGTTCCTGTCCAAGGTTTCCCACCCACAGAACGGATGAATTCCTTCACGTAGTCGAAACACTCATCCTGCGCCACGCAGCGACTAAAAGCCCTAGGACAAGTTAGGACGGGTCGTGGGAAGAGCGAGGATAGCAACAAAAGAAATCAGGACGAGATGGATGAAAGTCGCTGGATGAAAGTCGCTTTGAAACACCTCCTGATTTGTAGACGTGCAACTTAAGAAAAATTGAAAGTCAGCAAGTTGAAGCGTAGCATGAACGCCATAACGTCTCCCCACCCACCAAAAGGTAGCGTTTCGCCCTGGTATAACGCTGGCGCAAACAAGCTTAACGCTTCAAGCATTTTCAAGCTGGTTTTAGATTTCTGACGAGGGGTGCAAGCATAACATAACATGATTGTAAAGTGGTGGTTTGAATCCGTCATTTTTTTCACTACGCTTTATGACAGACTTTGACTTCTTGATGACAGACTTTGATTTCTTTCTTAAGTTGACGGCTACGCTTCAACTTGCTGATTTTCATGTTGCAAGCTACAATTTAATTTCACGACCTGATTGCTATCCTTCAACTTGTTGACAGACTTTGGCGCTTCTAAGTTGAAGGCTAAGAGAACTTAAGTTGCATGCCACGCCCCAACTTGGCAACAGACTTTGAACGCTACGCTTCAACTTGCCTGCTAACTTTGTACTCTGGCCCTGTCTAATTTACTTTTGTAGGTTGGATTTACGGGTTTTTATGGGTTTCTTATCTTGTTGCACATCTTCTCAACACGGGGTGGTCTTCTTGGTCGTGGTTTTCATGTTGAAAGCAGGGTTCAAACATCTGAATTCGCTTAGTTTTTTTCATACCTGACATTTTCACCCTTGAGGTGAAGTGCCACAGATTTCACTTTTCTTTGGTCAGCCACGCCAAAATGCAGTTTGTGAAGGAAGCTCAATCAAAAAGGCTCTTGACAGGTCCGCAGAAATTGGATGGTTGTTGGGAAGTTATTGAACAAAATTGCGGCCAGCAATTTGCGTGCGCGTTATTTAAGAAAATTGTGGCCAGCAATTTGAGTGCGCGCAATGATAAAGACAGGCGTGTGAACGACCAGTTGGGCCAAATGGTATTGAGTTTTATGTACAGACACAATGCCGTTGCAGATCTTTGGACGGCATTTGGCAAACTTTGCAAAACAATGAAAAAGACAAAAGCGCAGACGAGCCACTCTTCATTGTAATTGCAGGGTGCTATGTTTGTTTTCTGAGCAGGCCCCAGCAGAACTGCGAATTCAAGATGTTTTTCTCTTGATGGGTCGATTGGATGTAAGTACCAAATTACCCGGGATCATTAACCACACCATAGCCTTGTTTGAGCGCGACCTGCACATTTGCTAGGTTGTATTCAATAGTTTTGGTACGGAGTTTGTAATGCTTTCTACATTAAATCTTTTTAGCTACATATATAAGTCTTTTAACAACTGCGTTGCAAACGGCCCACCCTCCTGAGGCATGTTGTTGTGACCATAGCCCTCCAACCAGAGCCTGAGCTGATGAGGATCCTTGAAACAGAACCGCCGGAAGAGAGGCAGCAACGTTTGAATCATTGGATTTTGCCTTGCATCTTGCATGACTCAATCAGTTTCCACAAGCCAAATCAAATCTCAGACTTGTTCAAGTTGCAAATTGGACTCTGGCACGATCCGGTTGGAACCCTCTATATACATGCCTTGAAAGGGAAGTTCATTGATATTTGAGAACGATATGGAAAACCTGGGGAGAGCCTTAGTGGGAATCCTACGCGATGGGAAATCACCAAATATCTCAAAACCTAGAATCATTGTGTCATGAAGGTAATGCTGCTGTCCTTTTTCACAGCTGTCATTCAGCTATCTAGCAAACATCAACAGTCAGCTGGGTACTCATCAAAAGAGCCAAGGTCAGCGCGGAGCATACTTGGTTTGCAGTTTCTGGTGTAAGGCCTGCAAAACGGTCGTGTTTGAAGCTCTTCACTCCGGATTGGATGGAAAGTGAAGAGTGATCAGCAAGCATCAGCAAACTAGCCATCTGGGTATGCTAGTATAAGTACCGCAGGTATGTTCCCACTCAAGGGCAAGAAAATACTGATCCTGACCCCTTAAGCCTTAAGCCTCAAAACACTGCAATAGTGAAATGGGTAAACTGTGAGAGCCGTGGATTAGGAGGTACACAGGTGACATAAGGCAATCAAAAGATAAACTTGCTCCTCCACATTGAGCACAATCTTCCCTAGTTGGGATTGGCAAAGCGGACAGTCTGCGAAACCGGAAAGTCAAATGTTAAATGGTTTTGCGATGTTTTGCTACCACATCGGGCAAATAATTCCAGCCAGCAACAATCCCAGGTGGATGTCCAAGCTGACCTATTTTGTGTCTTGCCATGCACAGCTTACTGCTCAAATTCCTCACATCTAATGACTGGATTCCTCAAAGCAGGTAGGCTGGGTTGAACTAAAGTTACTCAATATAGTTACTAAAGCCATGGCAGACAATGCAGATCCAGTTGGTAAAAATCCCTGTGGATAATTTCAGACAGGACTTGCTTTATTTCTAGCTGGCCAAGGTAGGCATCACGTTGAAGGTCACATGGGCTGCAAATGGGCTACTCCATGGCGACATGGTGCGAAATGACTGTTTTGGAGTTTGGTGCTGCTTAAATTTGTCTTCACTGCAAAGGGTGTTAAATCTTCAAGTGTTTCATATTGTTGCGAGATAGTTGAGACTCGTTAAAAGTCAAAAAAAAACATTGGCCATTTCACAGGTTGGTCGCAGACGAGTTATTTTTGAGAAAGACACGCAAGGAAAGAACTTGCAGGATGAAGACACATGTATCATATTCATGGCTCCAGCACTCTTTTTTGAGGATTCCAGCTCACTTGGCCGATTCGCTCAGCTAACTACGCGAAAAAAAACACAAAAGACATGGGTCTGAGCTGAGTCCGGACATCTCAACCTGCTCGTGCTGAGAAACACACAGAAAATCATAGTTTCAAAATAAATCAAAGTTCGGTACGTTCCAGATCTCAGACCTACACCAGCAGTGACTGCCGACTTCGCAGCGAGTCTCCATTTGATGCCACCGCCTCACTGGGTCAGCCCTATGCTCTCCCGGGCTTCTAGTGTCTTCTAGTAGCGATTCATGAATGTCTAGTAGGTCTTTTGAGATATGGGTTCTTGGCCAGGTAGCTACGCATGTCACAAAAGATATGCGAAACTTTGAGAAACGATGCGCCCTGATGCTTTGATTTGGCTATGATCATACGCCTAGTGCGTTTGATCCAGGTAGAAATTTGTTCAGCAGGTCACGTGTGCACACATACTTGAGGTGGAAGACAAGAGACAAAGAAAACCGGTATTCATTTGTTTTAGGACCAGAAAAAGTGCCATTCCCCCTGGTTTTCTTTTGAATTCAAGGCGCCCAATCGGAGTTCCTGACACAAACAGACTAATTTGGACAAAAGGCATTTGCCGTCATTATGAGTGCCCCTGTGATCAGAACGTCAGCCATGTTTTGCCTTCCGAACGCGTAGCACAAGGTGACCAACCACTTGCACTTGGGATTCCAATTTGATCAACAATGTGCAGACTTACCAGCTCAAGAGCTTTGCAAGAACAAAGTAATCCATTCAAATAGTGAAAACCTTCACCACAGTTGCAACCTGCCTTAGATGCTTTCGCAGCAGCCCAACTTCACCCCGTCCGCAGTGGGACAGCAGGCGCCGGCTGTGATGTTCAACGCCACGCAGGCGGGAAAGAGGCTGCATTCTGTGCCCTCCATGATCTTCACCTGCAGCACTGGCCCCGGCCCGTTGTGATTCGGCCTCAAACCATGTTTTTCATGTTTTTCCCTAGCAACAGTCGGCAACAGTGATATGTAAAACGATTTAGAGATAAAGGCAATACAAAACTGCCACAATTAAAGACTGTGATCCCCAGACTACTGCAACCGAAAATTCACAAATGTTGGGCGAGCTCCCCTAGGTGGCGCCGTTTCAAAGAATTAGAATCCAAGCCCAAGCTAAACTCACTGATCATGTCTGAAATTTTCGCGTCCAAAATCATCCTGAGTAGTGTTCTTTGTACTTATAGTCACTTTTACCGCCATGGCATTCAAATTTGCCAGTTGTGGGTCTCCGGGGAGCTCAGTTAGAAGTTAAAAGTCTGAAGCCTCCTGATTGACCCATAGTTTAAAAGTTTTATCCCAGCAAGAGACCCCAGACAGTGTGTAGTTAGGATTCTAAAGGGAAAAGTGGACAGGACCTAAAAGCATCAGTGGCTGCAAGCTAGCAGGACAAGAGCGACCCTAGTAGTGAAAAGAAGAGATACCAGGTAAGATTATGCAAGTTTCTTGTGAGAAGATATCTGTAGAAGATCGTGCGCAAGATCTCCTTGACAGGTTTTCAGTAGAAGCTGCTGTGCAAGATCCCTGTGTAAGGCTATCTGTACAAGTTGTCTATAAGAGATCTCCACAGAAGATCTGTGTAAAGGATCTCAAATATGATCTCTGCTCAAGCTATCTATAAATGATCTCCGAGCAAGACCTCTGCTCTCTTCACCTGGTCTCTGTACAAGATCTCCACAAGAGGTCCCCTGGTAAGATCTCTGCACAAGATCTCTATAAGAGCTCTGTTGGCAAGATCTCTGTAAGAGGTCTCTTGGCAAGATCTCTGCACACATCTCTATACGAGGTCTCTTGGCAAGACCTCCTGGACAAGATCTCTAGCAGAGATCTCTTTATGAGATCCCTGTACAAGCTCTCTACAAAAACTCTCTTGGAAAGATTTATGTAAGAGACCTTGGGGCAAGATCTCTGCAACAGATCTCTATGCAATGTCTCTGTACAAGATCTCCAAAAGAGGTCTCCTGGCATGACTCTTGAAGAGAGATCTGTATAAGAGATCCCCACAGAAGATGTGTGTAAACGATGTCAAATAAGATCTCTGTTCAAGCTATCTATAAATGATCCCTGAGCAAGATCGCTGCTCTCTGTACCAGCTCTCTGTACAAGATCTCTATAAGAGCTCTGCTGGCAAGATCTCTGTAAGAGGTCTCTTAGCAAGATCTCTGTACAAGCTCCCTCCAAGAGGTTTCTCGGCAAGATGTCGCGGAAAATTATAGGGAACATGCCAAACGCCCCAGATACCATGTCGATCAACCAGCGCGCCTTAACACCTACAGTAAGAACCCCTTCAGTGTGGCCACACTGTTTGGGCAAAAAGAAATTACCCAGCGCAGAGTTCCTCCCAGCGACACCTCCTCAACTTGCTTTGGGAAGCCATTGCAGCAACCCAGGGTCACCTGCAGGGTTGGGTGACTTGAGTTTGACGCCCGTACTGCAACCCGTCAAAGTGGGCCGGTGTGATTGACTCGACTGACCAACCAATCATACATACATACATACATATATATATACATATACATATATATAGTTCCCAAAACTGTTGGGTGTTCTCTGGGTCTGAGGCTGGTGCTCAGCTTTCTTGTGGGGCCTGGAACCCTGGAACCTTGGAATCCTTACTGCTCTGCTGTTGGGTTGCAAAGCTGGGTTGATTTCACTAACAGCAAGTCGATATGTATATATATATATATATTTGTTCTCGATCCGTTTGACTGGAAATGCTGTGTGCAAAATAAGTGAGGACTTCAAATTTGCAACACAGTCCATTAATGAGATGGCAACCAAAACCTTGGGGTGCCATTCATCAGACTTCTTTGATGCGAAGCTTTGGAGATGGGGGAGTCCTTTCGAGCCTGATGCTCCCAACTTGGCATGTCAACAAAGCAAGCATAACTCATCGTGACATGTTACATGTTGGGTCAAAGGTTTCCGATAAATGGGAAGGTTGGATGCCAAGATGACAACCGTGTCACATCATTAAACATAAACTTGGTTCTTGAGGAAGAAAACATGTGTATATGTATACATATATATATATATTACATATATATATATATGTATATATATTACATATACATATATATATATTACATAAATATATATATATATATTTGTGAACCAGAACTTGTATACAAATATCCCAGAACAAACTGGCAGGAGAAGACCCCGTCGTTTTCATCCAAGCTGGGTACCCCACTAGTGACCCCCTTTGATCTTCGATTCTGAAAGACAAGGGCCCAAAGAAAAGAGTTACCATTGAACAAGTTGGTGCCTTGATTGTTTAGGTCATGTTGAGGGGACCTCTTGAGCCATGACTGGCAGCCTCCCAGGAATATTACGTAATAACTCAGAGGAATGGATGTAATAAAACGTTATTTCCCGAACACAGGGTCAGCTTAAAGCGCAAAAGCCTGGATGGGTTGGACAGCAGCTAAATCACTAGAGAATCAGTTCATGTTTGTCACAAATCCTGAAAAGTTGGTGCCTTTCCCCCTATCCGCATCTTTCCACTAAATATCCGACCTGGTCAGCATTTGGGCAGCAGTCGCCCTCCTCACGAATCGGCAACTTGGCAAATCGGCAAAGAAAGGTCACTCTTATCAAGGTTCCTTCAAAGAAAGAAAGAAAGCAAGAAAGCAAGAAAGAGGCAGCCACTTGACACATAACCCATGACAAACCCAATCTCCGAAGCGTCCTTGATCCCAGCAGCCACACAGGCCGGATAAAGGCTGCAGGTGGTGCCATTGACTCCAGCAACTGCAGCGATTGCTGGTTTCGATTCAGCCTCGGTTGCACAGGAGCCTCTTTGCCACTGACCCCGAAACTCCAGCTCAGGCAAGGCATGGCAAAATTCCGCAAAGGTTGGCAAACAAAGATAATTATCATCTCTAGCGTGAATGATCTTCGAGATATTTATTTCTACTCCTAATGTTGAATCATCTTTGAGTCCAGGAGACAACAGTTCCCCAAGTACTTGCTGCTGGCACAGCCGGCACAGCAGGCACAGGGGGCAAAGTGGGCAGAGCAGCTGGCGCAGCTGGCTCTGGTGACTCTGGTGCTGCTACGAGCCCAGAACTTCCTGGTGACACCAGCCCGGAGCTGCCGGAGCTGTCGGCATCGGGGGTGACGACATCATCCTCGCCATCGTCGTCGTCGTCCCCGGCACCACAAAACTTCGGGCCGCTAAGGGTGGCAGCATACTTCGCTGGTGCTGCCTTCAATGAGCCAAAATGTAAAATGCTCAACACAGTCCTGAGACTTTTGATTCAGGATTCTTGGCCCACCTAGCAGTGACAGCAAACCCTCGTTAGTTGGGGTTTGCTAACATTGGTGTAAGCGCTCGTGGCGGTAGATTTTCATGGTTTCATAGTGGGTGCCTGAGGGAAAGGTCGGCCGATGGCCCAAAGGTGAAAAAGAAGCGGTGCAAAGACGGGGTAACGCACAGAAGAAACTGTGAGAAGACGCTCAGAGAAGAGATGGCAGCAGCTCACATAACAGGAGGCTCACACAGTCGGTCCTTGAGTGGTTAGTCATTCAATGTCATTCATGCATCCTTTCAGTAGCCAACTCAGCCATTCAATCATTCAGTAACTTATTATGTCTGTCCACAACCCTTCGAATAGGCCCTTCGTCTCCTGCATAGATGTATAAATTATAAGCTGTTTTTGTGTTTTGAAACTTCCATCCAGAGGCAGCCAGGCACTGCTGGCATATAGGCAGTGTAAAATAGAATATAGTGCGTAATAGATGGTTTGTTGGTGTGCAAAGAAAGGGGCAGTGCATTCAGCAGTGTCTCCGGCACTTCGTGTGCTATGCCCCAACATCCAATGGGATACTTGTGGATATGATTACTGCATACAAAATGGTAATATGATATTCTCTACCTTCTACACTGTCAACCTACAAATATGCTGCATACTATCTTATGCTCTAATAAGCTACCGGCTGCACACTCGCTGTTTACCATTGTGGCGAATTTTAATCTTCATGCTTTCTGGGTATCATCCATGTACCATCTACATGCTGACTTACATTCACCTTACACCTCACGTGCTACGACCTACCCACCACCTTTACTACCAGACCCGTGCACCCTCCCCACTCCATATCCACAGCCACAACCCGGCTCAGTCAAGGGCTGCTCACAAACTGAGGGCACTAACATATACTCAGAAAACGGTCTGGAGCTGAAAGTCCAAATGAAAGGGCCAATCTACAACGTCTACAAGGTCTACAATATCAAGAGTCCTGCCTGCAGGTGCAAAAACCGATCTAAATAAACCCTTTCAGCAAAATGCTATGTCCTACAAGGCCTACAAGGTTCCTATAAGTACAATACAGTCTGAAAAATCTCAGCTTCACGGCCGAGCTCGCCTTGGGGTAGGAGATGTCACCGGTGAGGAGGCAACCGCCATCCGGCCAAAAGGTGAAATGCGCACAGTCCTCCATCACTTGGCAACGCTGTTGGCAAGCGTCTGCGCTGAACTCAACCGTCCTGTGGCACCCCAAACCCAAACCGAACAAACCGAACAAACCAATACAAAACAATACAAAACATATGCATAATATGTTTTCATGACATGGGGCAATATGTGGCCATAGCATCATGACATATCATGACGCATCAACATGTCACCTACAAACACACAAAGGTGAGGAGAAAAGACCAATCAGGATGGGTCAATCACATCGTCTGGCCCCAAATTTTGGAGGGAAGAAGTACTATGCTGCAAACCTAGCAAAACAAGGTGCGAACGTTGGCAGAATTCTGGCATCGTGCTAGCTTCACAACATAAGACTCAAATCTCAAACACATATGTATACACCTCGATTGATTGATGGATTGATTGATTGATAGATAGATAGAAACTCGTTTGTACAGTTTGTATACAGTGTGTACACAGACAGTTCATATACAGTTTGCATACAGTTTGTATAAAGCTTGTATACAACTTGTATACAGTTTGTATACAGTTTGTATACAGTTTGTATACAGTGTGTATACAGTTTGTATGATTACAGTGTGTGTGTACACTGTTTGTATACAGTTTGTGTACAGTGCGTATGCAGTTTGTATACAGTTTGTATAATTACAGTGTATACAGTTTGTAGTATACAGTTTGTATAATTACACTGTGTATACAGTTTGTATACAGTTTGCATGATTACAGTGTGTGTACACAGTTTGTATACAGTTTGTGTACAGTGTGTATGCAGTTTGTATACAGTTTGTATAATTACAGTGTGTATGCAGTTTGTACACAGTTTGTATAGCTACAGTGTGTACACAGTTTCTATACAGTTTCTAGACAGTTCGTATATAGTTTGTATACACTTTGTGTACAGTGTGTGTGTGTGTGCAGTTTGTATAGAGTGTATGCAGTTTATACACAGTTTGTATAGTTGCAGTGTGTACACAGTTTGTATACAGTTTGTAGATAGTTCGTATACAGTGTGCATACAGTTTGTGTACAGTGTGCATGCAGTTTGTATACAGTTTGTATACAGTTTGTACACAGTTTGTATACAGTTTGTATACAGTGTGTATGAAGTTTGTAGAGTTTGTATACAGTTTGTCTACAGTCTGTATGATTACAGTATGTGTACACAGTTTGTATACAGTTTGTATACAGTTTGTATAATTACAGTGTTTGTACACAGTTTGTATACAGATTGTACAGTTTGTGTGTAATTACAATATGTGTGTACACAGTTTGTATAGAGTGTGTATGCAGTTTGTATACAGTTTGTATAATTACACTGTGTATGCAGTTTGTATACAGTTTGTACAATTACACCGTGTATGCAGTTTGTATATAGTTTGTACGATTACACTGTGTATGCAGTTTGTATACAGTTTGTATCATTACAGTGTGTATGCAGTTTGTATACAGTTTGTATAATTACAGTGTGTATCAGTTTGTATACAGTTTTTATACCGTTTGTATGATTACAGTTTGTGTACACAGTTTGTATGCAGTGTGTATGCAGTTTGTACACAGTTTGTATACAGTGTGTATACAGTTTGTACACAGTTTGTATACAGTGTGTATGCAGTTCGTATACCGTTTGTATAATTACACTGTGTATGCAGTTTGTATACAGTTTGTATAATTACACTGTGTATGCAGTTTGTATACAGTTTGTATAATTACACTGTGTACGCAGTTTGTATACAGTTTGTGTAATTACACTGTGTATGCAGTTTGTATACAGTTTGTATAATTACACTGTGTATGCAGTTTGTATACAGTTTGTGTAATTACACTGTGTATGCAGTTTGTATACAGTTTGTATCATTACAGTGTGTATGCAGTTTGTATACAGTTTGTATAACTACACTGTGCATGCAGTTTGTATACAGTTTGTATAACTACACTGTGTATATATACAGTTTGTATGCAGTTTGTATATGGTTTACACAATGAAATGCATTCAATGTGGACATGCATCTGCGTCCAGCTTCGCCTCTCCGTGCCATCCATCTTGATGGGATCGGCATAGAACATACCACTCTCGAAGCAGCTGATTTCTTCTAAGGCCACCACACCTCCTGGGAGCCAAAAGGATCCCAAAGGTTTTGGCGCATCTGCGTCCCTATTACGCAATATGTCACAATATGTGTATTTCAATCCAAAAAAGTCAGACAAGCCACCAGCCAATTTACCAGAGAAACCAGGAAGAAGTCAACCACCCAACATGTGAGAAAAAATAGCAAAAAACGCTTCAAATTTCCATTCACAAACGCTTCCCAAAAATACTCACAATCACTAGGCAGGATCATCACAACCTGGCCATGTCGGATTCAAAAGTTATGCGCTGAATTCCAACCCCCAAGTTCATAGGCAAAATGTGTTTTTGGTTCCGCTGGAGCAATGCTGTTTGTGTCTGTTCAAGGACGACGGCACGCTGAAATGCTGTACGAACACATCAAACAGATATGCAATCTGAATGAAATATTCTATATGTGTATATGCACAAGTATATCAAGTTACAAGCGGGACCTGTTGATAAAGTAGGTCTGACGGTCTTATCTTTCTTGGATGTGATTCTGATTTTCGAAGGCTGATAATTGGACCACTCTCCCGTCTGCGGAAGCTCGAGTTCTTGTAACACCTTCAAAGGGATCAAAAGAGGAGGGTCTGCTTGTGTTAGGATCACAACATATCACAACATTCACCCCAAAGATTGAACTGTTTGAGGACTTGGAGGACTTGGAAAAGATCAACCTCTGTGGGTTCAACGGTTCGTAATTTAAACTCGGGGCCGAACCGAGACTTCGCAACATTTGACCTTTTTGGTTGGCCATCTCTACCTCGCGCTTGGCTGTGTCTCACACTGCATCTCCATCAATCAGACTCGCACGGCGTCGCATGACCATTTTTTGACATACATGATTGCCATTTATTGCCTACATGTTCCGTCCATATAATATCATATAATTACCCTTCTTCTGAATATCTCAGCAACTCTTATATTTCAGAACATAGGGATTTTGGCCCAAATCCTCCCATGATCCATTGATCATTTCAAATGTTACTGTATATCCCAGAGGCCGAAAGCCTCAAAGGCAGGAGCCCCAAAATTCAAAATTTAAAAACTTAACATAACTTAACAATCTTGTTCATATCTTGTTCATATCTTGTTCATATCTTGTTCATTGAAGTGAAGATCCTCCCAGATCCGAGATCTACCGAGTCTCTGGAGCCGCTTCGAACTTTGCTGCGTCCCACTGACCAAACGGCCGCTGCCACCAGGGCCAGGCCCCCAAGCAGCACCGCAACGCGCCAGACGCGGCGCCCGGATGCAGAGCTGCGTTCAGCTTCGGAGTCGGACTGCTCCAGAAGCTCCTGAAACAGAGTGAAACTCATAGAGTAAAAATGAAGTGATAGAGTTTTAATGAGTTTTAATGAGCTTTAATGAGGTTTAATGAGGTTTACAGGTCATGTGGAGTTGCGGATAGTTACAGCGGAATTGCTGCTTCTGAAATGCTTTGAAGATACCTTCAGATGTTTCAAAAAGTGTCCGGAATTGTTTGGGATTTTCTTTTTGCCCTTTGGGGATTATTTCGTGATTTCCTGTTCTGTTCATTTTCCTGCTGTTTGCAGCATTTTGGAGCTGAAGGCTACTATTTCACGGAATTTTGAGTTCGAACCTCTCATTTTCCACGGAATTTGCAACATTTTGGTTCTCGAACTGTTCATGTAAGATGGTAGTTTGCAACTAGGGTTCATTTAGGGTTGGCTTTAGGTTTTGTTTAGGATTTTTGTTGGGGTTTTAGGTCTTTAAGGGTTGGTTTTAGAGTTGCGGTGTATGTAAGTCTTTTTAAGGGTTGGTTTAGGATTTATTTCCGGGTTGGTTTGAGGATTTATTTAAGCTTAGTTTAAGATCTATTTAGGGTTAGTTTAGGGTTGGTTTAGGTTTATTTAGGCTTGGTTTAACGTCTATATAATATAGGGTTGGTTTAGGATTAGGGTTTAGGGTTTATTTAGGCTTGGTTATGATCTATTTAGGCTTGATTTAGGATCCATTTTAGGTAAGTTTAGGGTTTATTTGGGGTTTGGTGTAGGGTTTTATGTAGGCTTGTTTTAAGATCTATTTAGGGTGTGTTTTAGGTTTATTTAGGCTGTGTTTAACATCTACTTGGGGTTGGTTTAGGATCTATTTATGGTTGGTTTCGGGTTTATTTAGGATTAGTTTCAGATTCATTTAGGGAGTGTTTACGGTTTACTTGGAGTTGTCTTTGTTTTTTCTGGGTTGGTTTGGGGTTTATTTAGGGGTTGATTTAGCGCTGGTTTTGGGTGCCTTATATTATGTTTCTTAGGGTCTATTTATGGGAAACAAAGAAAGCAGGGAAAAGCAGAGAAGCAGAAAAGTAGATAAGCAGAGAAGCAGGGAAAAGCAGAAAGCGGAGAAGCAGACAGGCTGGAAAGCAGAAAAGCAGGGAAAACCAGAAAAGCGGAGAAGCAGAGAAGCTGGGAACCAGAAATCAAAAACACTCAACGGAAAAAAATGGCCCTCCGTTTCAAAGTGCCAGGTTACGAAGGGCAGGAGACCCGATAAGTCAAGAATGCCACCAAATCTGTGTTGATGCGAGCTGCAATCGTCATTGATTCATACCGTATCCTTGAGGCCTTAAGGTCTGGGATTCTCCAGGACCTCTCGGGTTGACCACTGGACATAGAGAACCCCGACCATCCCATCCTCCAAATCGGAGAACTGCGTTGCCATGACTTCTCGGAGGGATCAGGGTGCAGAAAATGCAGTACGTATCTCGTACACTGGAGCCAAAAGCTTTTTCCCACGGCCCAGCTCCAGGAATCCCAAACAAGATGACTCCAACCCAGCCCTTGAAATGAGTTCCAAGATGTTCCAAGACATTCCAAGACTCTAGGACCTTCACATGACAAGCGAATGGAGCTGGGAACTCACAGCAGAAGGGTTGTGTTTCGTGGTTTTGGTAGGCTTTAGGCGGCTATGAGCTGGTGATCATGGCACCTGTCCATTGGCATAGGGAACAACTTCATCCGAAGTTCCGTGCATGATTGCCACCTTAGTGCCCGGTCTCCAAATGGAATCTGCTGGTGTCTTGAGATGTCTTGAGAATATTGAGGCGAAGCAACTATGCTTAATTCCAAGGGGCATGGGCAGGAAGACTACAATGTGATTTGCGGATGAGTGTGCAAATTCCATCGCGTGCGCGCACTATAGGAACAAAATCCTTCAAACTTGATTGCATATTCTTGATCTGATCAGCCTCATTGCCTATCATTTGGCTGAACTCATCATCCTCTGTTCACCGCTGTACTCCAGCAAATGGCTCAATTAAAGTTCCAAGTAACCTCACACTTATTTTTCCTGTGAGAGAAGCCAATTTAGGGGAGAAGACTAAGAGACAGGTTTTGATTGATTCAGGTCCAGATATATAAGTTGATAGAGGACTCTTAGAGGACCATAAATTATATGAGCTACAGACGGACGGACGGACAGAAGAGCCTTTACAGACATGACAAACGCTGCCCCTATTAGGCCCACACAATCCAACTGTCTGATGACCTCTGATGATATATGAGTCGAGAGCTAAGATCGCTAGAGGCGCCTGCAAAGAGATGAGTTGATGCAGCTGATGAGAAGAATCTGTGAATATTCTGAATGTGCTCTCAGTGAATGTGTTTGGCAGACTCAGCGGACGGTGACGATGCAAGACATCAAAAAAACAACCCCACGTAAGCATGCGGGAAAGAATTTCTCCCAAGCATGAAACTGTTCACGAACAAGGACCCTAGGCAGTTTGAAGATTGGCTCAGATCATATGCCAGATCTGTCGTGATCTGCGCAGTCTTTTTGGCACCTTTCTTTTCCGAGTCTCTGGGCTGTCCTGACGGGAGCTGTGATCTTGTCAATCTTTTCGTAGTTTCTGAAGATGTCCAAGGAGTAGCCTGACGCAAAACCCGCCAGACCAACACTTCCAAAGAAAGCACATTCAAGCGCTGCTTGAAAGAATCCTCAGCACATCCAAAAATCGGATTCTTCAACCTACTTGGGATGCCCTTTTGAAGCTCCGACAAGATGAAACGCTACAATGATTGCATTGTTTCGTACACAACGTGTATTGACATGTATAAAGTCAGATGATGTGAGATGGAACCCAGCTTCATTGATTGATTTTCTGTGCTTGTTTGGTGTATCACAATTCTTGTTGCATACTCTTTCACACACATCCTTTTTGGTTCACATGCTGCAATGCCCATCCGCCAGTCAACGCACGCTAGGTATTGCAAATGGTAGTTGCCCCACCTTTCATCTCAAAATTAAGTCATTAATGGTGCGCGTAAATCTGACTGTCACCATGCGGACCACCTGTATTTCGAGACAGAACTGTTGAGGAACCTGTGTCTTCATCTGCTGTGACCTCCATGGTTCAACACAAACCTCTCAAGACGGTCAAAAGTGGTTGTAAAAACATTGTAAACTGATCACCCTTCCACACCCTTCCACACCCTTCCCTTCACATCAGCCAAGGAGCCAAGCCAAGCCACCGTACTGCCTAGCACCTGAGCATCGCATCACCACAGAATCAAACAAGTTTGAGAAACCTCCAATGATATGCTTTGCACCTGTATAAGCCTGTAGACATGCTTATTTAACCTTATGTATGCCCCTTCTTTATCCCTTTCTATTTGTTGTATGCCCCACATTGCTGCGTGGCTGGTTGGCTGCTGGAAGTCGTCCTCGGTTTTTGAAAGAATCATGTCCATCAAGGAGACAACTATACGGCATTATAAGACATATGACTTGGAATATCCCTTTTTGCACTAACAGTTGGCACCAGCAGAGTGCACCAAAATAGCACCAAAAAATATGGCAAAAAATATGTTGGCTCCAAATGAACATGCCCAAGACTGAAGGTACTGACAAGTTTCCCCTCTACATCTTTGAGTTGCCTTACACACATACACAAAGGAACAACAAAAGGTTGTTTAAAGGTGGTGCTGTGGCACAACTATAAGAAGATACACTAAAAGATACTGTAAGATACTGGGTTTGCCCCCTTATGTATTTGCTTTAGTATTGGACAGTTGGAAAAACATGTGCTCCTAGCTGGTGCAAAATCTGTGCTCATCTGGTGTTTTTCCTTCAAAATGGTGCTCCTAGCTGGTGATACAAAACCATTCTTGAACTTTGACTGGGCGTATGAGCATAAAATTCAGCAACATCGCAGCCAACCACTTCATGCGACAACCCAGGCTGAGTGCTCCAACTGCTCGGGCTCCACCTGTGAAGATTCCGACACAGAATGCATTCTGCACTATTCTGCACTGTTCTACACATTCTGTCTCCTTTTCTATGTGTTCTCTTCCAAATTTGCAACCATTCCTTGCTTATTCCTTGCTCATTGATTTTTGAGCTGATCCCTGACTGATGTCCATTTGATTCATTTGATCTTACGCTTAGGGCGGATGGCATCACATCAGGATTCCTGGCCCAATCACCGAACTCAAAATATCGACTTGTTCAAACCCTTGGCGAGTTGGACAATCCTGCAAAGCAAGTCAAACCTAAAGTACTCTATGTACTCTGCAAACCGCCAACCAAATAATTCAAATAATCAATGCACATGTACAAGCCGTACGTCGTAAGACCCCACTTGCGGCCATCTGATGTGCCAAGTAATTCCTTTTTCAATGCTATGCTACTTCCTTTCGTCCATGCCAAAATCAGACAAATCGGATAAGCCCCCCCCGGGTCGGTCCCATTTCGCACTCTCCAGCGGCGACTGCAAAATGACACCCGCCACATCCAAAGGGGAATGCTCAGATCCCTCGCAGGGCCACAGTCCACAGACTAAAAACCGACCGCCAAGGACACAAAAAGACTTGTGATGGTCGGGTCATAAATCAGCTTCTCCCAGCCAGTTTTCTTATGACCAATAAAATGAGTTGGGTTCATTTAAGATAGTTCAAATAGTTCAAAGATGTTCAAAGATGTTCAAAGTCTCCAACCCCTGGAACAAGTTTGATGGATTAGTGCTCAAAACAACTATTGCAGATCTACCAGTGCCAGCTGCTCCTGTGAGTAATAACCCCAGACACCAATGTCAACTCCCTACATTGAGCCTTGAGAAACTTGGGAGGATAGCAGGGAATGTGAAGGTAGAATGGGGGCTTTGACATTTTTTCGCTAAAATCTCTTCAGCGGCTCCTAAACCATGTGCAACTTGCCCTCCATCCACCTAAACGTGAATACCAGCAACCCAACTACTCCTTGACGTCTTCCCACTACGGCCAACCCCATTGCTAAAAGGTTCAATAACTTTGTTTGAGCGTTCTGGCCTGAGGTTGTTGCATGGCCGAAGGAAGCTTCCTGCATCGCCCTGTAACCCATTACCCAACGGCCCTGGTGTCACAACTACGTGCATAGAAGTGACCAAGCTGCTGAGAGTCGCCTCCCTTGTTTTCCACCCCACTGACCCTCTCATATTTGCTTGGCAGGGGCCGGAAATCATCATGTCAGAAGTGTTTTTGAAACAGCAAAGGAGGCAATTATCCCGCAACGCGCTGGCGGCGTTTCCTGATCACAGCGTCTGCGACGTTGTTGCATTTCCCGAGCTATGTGGAGTTGCGCGATAACGCGTGGGTTTCAGCGTCATTGTCTTCTGCTGTACGTTGTACCGCCATCAATTTTGTTGTGCCACGAACTGCTCCCTTGTGAGGAGTGTGGTTTTCTATCTTGGCCCTGTTACACGCTGTGCTCGGTCGGTTGCACTCTGTTGTAGTGTGCGGGCAGCATTTTGTGGCATGAAAATCTTTTCACCGCTATGTTTCATCCCTGATTTGTGTTGTCCCACTGTGGGTTCCACGTTGGTGCGATGCACGGGTCAAGCGGTCAAAAACCCATGGGAAACTGGAAAAATCTGGCAGTTCAAGGAACCATTCACTTTTTTACTCCTGTGAAGCCGCGATATGATTCACGAACTGCGGTGGGGATAGAGTCCTCCGGGGAGTCCTCTAATAGGAATGATGTTTCACCGAGAACGATTGGGGATTGAAACAGCCGGGGATTATCTACCATCAACGACAGTCAAAGGTAGACTATGCAATGAAGGTGATCACCAGTTTTGAAACGGCTGCCACGGGTGTCCCCAAAGAAACATGCATGAACACACCTACTAATTACATTGCAACTAACTACCAACCAAATATGTTCCACCATAGATGATGTCCAAACTCCAAACTGGAAACTTGTTACAACACCCGTTGCATCGCTCAACCGCACCTCCACCTTGCTTCTGGAGGCCAAATCTACGCTGGGTCCAGAGCCTCACCGGGTCCAAGGTGTTGTGCACCACTGAGTGATCGGCGACATCGGTATCAGCAAAAACGCAATTGGATCAATTGGATCAATTGGATCAATTGGATCAATTGGCACTAAACCAAAGTCGCATCAAGACATAGTCTAGTGGGACATAGCGTAGTCATGCGTAGTCCATAGATGCCATAGATCAACCACCAACAAGAAATGGAAATACAAGAAATACATTTCAGCTGACACACCTTTCAAACTCTTGTCTGAAACTGTTGTCACAAGTCACAGGTGTAGTCACACTCCATACACCACAGTGTGTGCTACCTGGACCCAGAACGCCACTGCAAGATGTTCTTTTTCCCGAGCCGATTTGGTATCAGCTCCACTTGGGTTCCATGCCAATGGATCGACCAAATATCACCTGAGCCCGCGCACAAGCCCTCTTGAATCAATGATGAGTACTGATGTGTGTGTGTGTGTTTGTTTTTTTCCACGCACCTTTTCTATGGAAAAGTCAGCGCTCACTGCAACACACTGAAGTGTTGGCTCTCGTTTAGAGAGGCTGGGTGAGAATGCCGAGCATGCCGCAGCACAAAAACTCTTAAGGCATTATCGGGTAAAAATGAAGCCAATGAATTATGCGCTAATGGCAGGCAATGCACCGACTGGGCATGTGCCAATGTTGGTGAAACCGATTGAACCAACAGCAATGAGAAGCAACAGCTTTGTTTTTTTTTAATACTGGCCTTCTTGACACCGTGGGCTTTGCCTCTTGGACCAGTTTTGGACTGGGGTACACCCTGGGGATGCCAGGGGGCATGCAAAGGGTCGTTGGGTGGGGATCCACTGTTGACCACCGCTGGACGTTACCCACTAGAGGAGTTAGTCGCTTTGGGTGGGAATGGTGAGACTTGAACTATTGTTTTTTTTTTTTATACTGGCCTTCGTGAAACAGTGGGCGACGCCTCTTGGACCAGTTTTTTTTTTATACTGGCCTTCTTGAAACGATGGGCTTTGCCTCTTGCACCAGCTTCAGGCTGAGGTACACCCTGGGGTTGCCAGGGGGCATGAAAAGGGTCACAAGGGAGGGGACTAACCAGCGTCGGCGCTGGGTGCATGCTTTGGTAAGATGGCATCTATTGCAGGGCCAAAACAGGATTGGGCAACATCGCAATGTTGAGGATGGCATGCGAAACAAACACAAGCACTATAAAGTGTACCAATGAATTCATGAAAGAAACAGGAAAGAAACATTGGGGAATGAGCCATCGAGGCGTCAGGCAAAATGCCTTTGCACAGTGCAGACAGTGTAGAGTATGTGCCATTGAACCAAGTCATACGTGGGGATAACAGGCGGCATTCAGGTCCCAGCATGTTCGTCAGTGCCATCAACAAAGAACTTGAGAAAATCAGCCGCACCCACACGTGGTGTTGGTTCAGGTGGTCGCGGAGCCTGCATGGGTGGTGCCTCTGGCAGTGCAAGTGGCAGCAGGCGTTCCATGTCACAGAGCCAAAAGCACGTTACATTTCTGGTGAACCACGTAGGTTCCTTCCAGACCGGGATGGCCTCAACCCAGTCGTCCGTGAGAAGAAACATGTGTGGTAGCTTGGCCTGGGCATTCATCTGCACTCTGAGCAGGGCTCTGCAATGACCAGAATTGTCAGCACCTAAGTGTGCAATGGCAGCCACAACTTTGTATGTCTTCCACATGACTGTGAGATTTGTGCCCGTGTAGATCGGGACCTCAATCCCCCAATGAAAATTCACTGGGATGTCGCACTTTTGAATCTGGCCAGCACCTGATCGGACATGGCGATCCACTTGAACATAGATCAGTGGGGAGGAGTGAAGTAAGGCACGAATCATTCCATCTTGGCTGGACCAGTCACGAACAAGCTGGCGCAGTGTGGTGGAGTCATCTTGCAGCAGAACCGGGTCAAATTGCAAGATCATGGGAGCAAATGCATCACTGGAGTCAACAGCTTCTGTCATGACACCGATTTGAATTCTTTTCTCCCAGCGCATATCGATGCCTGAAATGTTCAACCCCCGCATCAAATGAGCCAAAAATTCCACTGGGTCACCCTGTTGGTTCGTGCCCTGCCAGTGTTCAAGTATTGTTTGAAGGCAAGGAATTGCTTGAAGATCAACGGGTTCAGAATTGTGGCACATCAAAAGTTGAACCAATTGGGAGGCCCCTGAACCCCATTGTGAAATGGTGAAAACGTCTGTGCTCAGCAATGCCCAAAGCAATGTGACAAAGGAGACATTCATGTAGCACCAGTTGGCATGATTGGCCAGTTGAAGGCCAGCCAAGCCGGTGAGCAGAGCCTCTCTGGTCGGTGGCATAGTCGGCAAGCTTGTCAGCTGGAGGTTTGCTTGGTTTTGGTCTTGCCTTTGGACTTCGACTTGCCCACCCCTTTCCCCATGAGACCCCGTAGAGCCATCGCAGGCTTGCTTTGGCCTTGTGCATGAGCCTTCATCGACATCCCCAGTAGTGACCACATCGTCGATCCCTGCAGGGTTGACAGCAAGACCTGGAGGTCGTCTGCACGCATCGATATCTGCCATAGCCAGGGCACCATTGGTTCTGTGTCCGCCGCTTTCATCGAATGGAATCGAATTGTTGTGGACGAGTCCTTCAGGATCTCCACTAACTGCTCGGCATACTTGATCATGCGCTTCAGGCTGATCGGCTGCTGACCTGTCTGACGGAGCCCTTGGGCATGCGGATTCCATCGCTGGAATGGGAATTGATTGTCCTTGTTCAGCACCCCATGTTGTTTGGCTGAAACCATCAATGGATCCGTCTCCGCACACTCTGCCAGTTTGTTCAGGCGAAGCAGCATGGTGGCCGCAAGGTGTTGAGCCAGGCAGCATCTCAGAGGAAGATATTGATCGACCTGGGGCTGGGACTGTGCCGTCTGCTGTGTCTTCCATTCCTTCGCCTTCATCACCAACGATGGCAGGATGGCTTGGGACTCTGTTTGCATGAAGCAGATCCAGGAGTCTTGACGCCTCATCGCTTGTTGGTCGGAGTCGAGGCGTAGAAGAAGTTGCCCCATTGCCGTCAGCAGTGCCATCACCTCTGTTGCCCCTTCCTTTTTTGATTCGTCTCTTTTGACTTTCTTGGTTTCTCTTTCGCCTTCTGGTCTGGCGTACTTCTCGAGGGACAGAAGGGGGCCGAGGTGTTTGAAGATGTCCAGCATCTCCGCATCCTCTTTGCTGAGTTCTGGTGCCGTCTCCATAGTCACAACGCAACAGATGAATGAGCTGCAACACCACCGGGCACTGATGCTGAAAATGAATCTGAGCCAACAACTTTCTGGAGGCCATGTCCGTTTCTTGATCAGTGAGTGGATGATTGAAAATCTGATTGCATGCATCACATCGGTGGTCAACAGTGGCAATACTGTGGAAGACCTGCAAGATCTGAGGCAACAGCTTGTCATACATAATGGGGGCTGAGGAGTGCACACTGAAAATGTGATCACGAAGTTCAGCCGGATGCATCTTCAAGCCACACTGCATGCATGTGGTGCGAAAAAACTCCAACAGCAATGGATCTGTCCAAAGCTCCGAGAAATGTCTCTGAAGCAAGCAGTCCGTGATCCTCGGCATCAATGGATGTTCTGAAACTGCAGGCATGAATGTGAGAATCTGATCGACATTGAATTGCCAAGGCAAGAACAGCGGAAGAGCCATCTTCTGCGTCATCATTCCAAGCTGCCTATACGGGACACAGATGTGCTGAAGGCCACTGGCATGAGTTTGAGGATTGCAAATGCACCCGTCTGCTTGGCAGGTATCAAGAAGCAACTGAACGATGTGTTGTGCCCCATGCCAATCATTGCTGTGAACTGTTTGAAGATGCAACGACAAATCTCCAGTGCGTTGAAATTTGTTGTAGCACAATTGGCATGTCAAAGTCAGTGCAAGGCGTTTCATCGGTGCCTGTCTGAGGGCCTGGATGTCTCCCTGTTGAAGGAACTCCTGCCAGTCTGCTGAAATGGGCAGTGTCGCCACAGGTCGCAATGGATGAAAATTCGGACATTGTCCCAGGGTGATGTGCTGACGTACTGCAGGTTTATCTGCAAACATTGCCATGCAGTGTGAGCACACTGGTTCCGTGCCCTGGAGCAAGTCTCTCAGCGGATCCCAGTCCTGTGGTTCAAGCCGGTGTTCAGCATGTAGGTGAATGGCCAGTGACTGCACGTCTGGATGTGCAAGTCCGCAAACATCGCAGCGCAAAGCATGTTCCCCAGGATGATGATAGGAAGTGCCTGTACTGTCCGTGTTGATCAAAATCAAGGCTGATTGCATCATAATGGGGCATTGGTGAGATCTGCGAAACTCTCGTTGACAAAATCGGCAGGGGGAATTTGATGCTTGTGCTCTGCATAACTGGCTTGCCTTGGAATGTACATGAGGCACTAGCCCCCCATGTTGGGTACGAAGGTGCAGGTTCAAGTCCTGCGGACGGCCACAGTAAACGCCGCACAGAATGCAATGATTGGTCATGGCCTTCAGCGCATCAGGCATACTGGACAGCTGATCCCAACATCTGGCTTTGATGCAATCCAGCACTGCAGGTCCAAAAGGCTTGGACAGCAACATCGTGAGTGATGAATCATCCAGTTTGGGATATGGTTCATCAGCCTGCATAGGTGGCAGTTGCTTGGACGCCAATGCGTCTGTACCACAGCGTGTCAGTGCCTGGCAGCAATTTCTTTCAAGATGAACACGGAAATTTCGCCAATTTGGAAAAATCTCATTGCAGTGTGAACAATGGGGCAAACCTCTGACCGCAAATGATGCAGTTGTGGCAGTAAAAGTTCTCAGCTGTGTCAGGCCATGTACATTTGTTTGATGTCTGCGCAAGTTTGGCAGTGAATCAAATGATAAATGACAAAACTGACATGCATGAGATGCCGGACGCACCTCAATCGCAGGAGTTTGCAGCTGAACCTGATACTGTTCCACATACACCGCATGCACCAATTGTGTCAGCGTTGAAAGGTGCGTCCAATCTCCACTCCACAAAATGTCATCGGTCTGCAAGGTATTGAGTCGGTGACCAATGGTTCTCTTCAGCTGTGTCCCCACATGAAGCAGCAATTGGAGCGGATGAGTGAGTCCAAAATGATGCAGGATTTGAATGTGGGAATGCCTTGTGATGAAACTGTGGTCTCCAATCATGGCCCTGTACATTTTGAAAATGCACTGTTGCATCTTGAGCACATCAGTGTAGGTAAATCCTACTGGAAAAACACCATACATCAAGGTTGAAAAGACACAAGCTCGCCACATGTTGAGTCGATGTTTCAATCGGATGCGATGGTTGCACAACCAGCGTCGCAGTCTGGAAAATGTGTGATGCGCTGCAGCAATTCTGTGTTGGATGGTGTGTTTTTCAAAAAGTTTATAACCAATTTGTATACCGAGGTATTTGGTATGGCTACAAACAGGCAGTCTTGAGGTACGTCCTTGAGCCCTGGGAATGATCAAGTGTGGTCCTCTTGCATCAACATGGATCGTGCGTCGAATGACTTCACGGCAGTTGGTACCTCCAATGGAAATGATGGCAAGGGATTTTTCTAAGGACAGAATCAGTCCCATGTCTTCTAGGGTATCAAGTAAAATTCCAATGCGCCAAAGGGCCATGTTGAGTTCTCTTTCATTCAAGAAGCAATCACTTGAGTGCAGGTCATCAGCGAAAGCCGTCAAGTTCTTTTTGACCCATTCCGGTCCCAACTGTTGTGCCAATCTGTAAAAAAGGTCAAGCGTATAACAAGACCACAGAACAGGTGCAGCTCTGCAGCCTTGTCTGACTCCTCGGCCTGTGCCCACAGAGGACGATGTGGTTCCTTGAGTGATGATGTAGCTGGTGTTCGAATGCCACATGGCCAGCAACGCCACCAGATCTTGATTGATGTCAAGTTCACTCAAAAATGCAAAAAGTCCCTGGCGCGGGACCATGTCAAAGGCTCGTGAGGCATCTAAACAAACCTGGACGCCACCGCAGACTGCCCAGCATTTTTGTTGTTCCGCCCGTTGGTGCACACTGCGTCTTTGTTGCATCATCAGCCATCTGATGTGACTGCAGTGGTCGATGACACGGCGAATTGCATCAAATGACGATCTCTGTGGCAAGAAGGCCAGTTGGGGCCAGGAACATAAAAGTGGTTTGACCTCAGCAGCAAATCTGGTGGTGAGCAAGCCCAGTATGCTCTTACCCACAGGTTCAAGGAGGGCCAAAGGTCGCAAATGACTGAGTCGATCAGGTGTCTTAGCCGGCTTGTGAATGAACGTCAGATGAGCTGTCTTCCATTGGGTGGGTATAAACGGAGGCCATTGACCCCACCATTCAAGCAGCTGCGGATAAATGAAATCTGCAACGTCATACGCTAGGGTTTTCCAACAAAGGCCTGGTAGGCAAGGCCGCGCCACCGATTTGGTGACTGGTGTTCGCGCCAGCTCCATTACAAGGTCATCTTTGGAAAAAGGAACACCTGGTGGGTTTCGGCATGGAACATCGATAGTGTTGGCAGGAAGCCAAACTTCACTGATGTATGCTCGGGTCATCTCCAGGATTTCAGGTGGAGATGCAGGTGCTCCATTGGGGAGCCGCAGGCGGATGCGTCGCTTTGGTTGCTTTGGAGTGTATTTGTTCACTGCCTGATACACTGTAAAGCTATCATGGTTGTCAGCAGCATGAGAAACTTCAGTCATGAGATCAGCCATCTTTTGACGTTGCACTGCCTTGCTTTGTTTTTGTTGTTGCCTTTTGAATGTTCGATACCCTCCATAATGATACCACGTTCGAAAAAGAGACTGCAGTGTCTGGGATCGTGATTGCAAAAACATTTTTCGGTGAAACCATTTGGATTGCACAATGCATTTGTGCATTTCAGGTTGTCCCGGTTTCGGCAAAATGCCGCAGGATTTGAAAAAAGTGTGAAACGTTGGCATTAAATGTGCATGCATACTGTCAATAACATCTTGTGGAGAATGCTGTTGCTGGGTGAAATCATGAAAAGATCGCTGAAGGTCATGATGAAACTCTTGCCATTTGGCTGTATTGGCATTCCACTCCTGTCTGCATTGCTGGCGTTGCTGAAAAGTGCAATATCCCTGTTGCGTCTGTCTACTATATGCCTGTGGCGTTTTGCGAATCGAACAGAGCATTGGAACATGAAAAGCACCTGACAGTGGCAAAAAATCCGCATGAGCGAAAAATTTGACATCCAGCGCCTGTTGATCAACATCTGCATGTCTCATAAGGAAGTGATCAATCCTTGATGTGTGAAGACCATTGATAAATGTTGGAGGACTCTGCGCATTCCATCCATTCAGAGCAACAAGGCGATGACGCTGTAGCAAGGTGCCTAGTTGATCCATGTCTTTGTGTTGTGGCCCTTTTTGCTTGTGGGTATTCCAGGAATACAGGGCAGTGCCAACATAAGGATGAACCAGTGGTAGACTACAGTTCAGATCTCCGGCAATCAGGATGGTGTTCCTATTTGGCAGACACTCAACCACTTTGTCCAAACACTCCCAAAACTCCTGTCGCTTTTGATATCGTATGGAGCTGTGGTCGTCTGCAAATTGATAACACCCAATAAGATCAAAGGATCGGTGTTGTTGATATATGCGGAGATGTCCCAAGCGTCCTGGGATAATACTGGCAAACCCTATGGCATCAGCTGTACAAACGGTGGTTCTGATTAAGAAAAGAATCCCATTGGCTTTGTCCTCATCTGAACCAGAATGGATCATGTACCAGTCTTTGTCTGTCCACTCAGACTCAAAAGACCAACGCGTTTCTGACAGGATGACCACATTGGCTTCGGTCATCAGAGCCCATTGTTTGATCTCTGCAAGCCGAGGTTGGGAGAGCCCACCAACATTAACATGACACACCTGTAATCGATTACGCGGTGCAAATGCCCTGGTGTATGTGACCTTGCGCTTGGGCTTTGGCTGGGGCACTTCAGGCAGGTGTACAGATGAAAATTGATCAGGAGTGTAACATTTACCACGATACCACGCACACCCCGCAACGCGGGCCCTGCGTACAGCTCGTCGAAAGCTTCTCTTCTGGACATTTGTCCTGGCTGCAGCATGAGATTGGCATCCTCCATGGCCGAAGCCGCTTTGCAGTGATGTGCCATGATGTTTCGCTTGAAACAGAGTAATCCAACTAGGGTTATTGGATGCAGCTTCTACTCCGGCCCATGGCGTGCCGGAGTAACCCTCACCCCCAGCCTGCATGATGATCAGCGCAGTGAGTGCAACGTACACTATTCGAAAACAAGAGGACCAACTTGCTGATGTTTTGGATGCAGGCTGCCCGGACTTGGGACCGGGTTTGCACAACTGCTTGGCAGGGAGATGCTGGGACAGCCAGTTCACACGGCGAAGGAGCAGGCAATTCACTAAAATGAACAATCGGATCAGAGGAATGGTCAGGAAAATTAGGGAAAACCAACTAAGATTATCAAATGGAATTGAAATTGGAAAATTAAGCACCAATAAGGGACTATGGGTAAGGGTTTCAGGTTGGCCCAGCACAGCAGTGTCACAGAGGTTGGCAGCCAGGCGCTGCAGCAACCTGAATGAGCACTGGGCAGCAAGAGAAACAGAGATGTTAAGCTGGGTGGACGTATCCACTTGCGCAATAGCGCAGAACACTGTATACGCCAGGGCAGCAAAACGTCCCCACCAATGCAGTGCAGGATAGACAATCAGGATCCGAGTTGTCGTACACAAAATTGTCCCCGGAAAAATTGTCTGCACCCCCAATTGCACCAATCGATGTGTGATGGCCCCACTGCAGAAAGCCCGGATTGAAAACAGTGTATGCAGAATATCCAAATCAGTGTATCGGAAATTGCTGATTTCACTGTAAGTTGGCACAGTTGAAAGCAGGTCAAGGTTGTCAGCGTTGTTCACACACTGTGTACTGATCAGCACAGCTGGTGGACCAAATTCTGAGTTAGGTTTTGCGTCCAGGGAGGACAGAAAAGAGGCCCCACTGCAGAAAGCCGATCGCTGCAACAGTGTAAAATGGCAAAACTGATTGTGGCTACCAAAATGTCCCGTCAGCGTTTCAATGTCCAATGTATCCAAAATAAAATTGTCAATGCCTGGCAACAGAGCTGGCTGGCTGTATCTGACAGAGAGAGGTATCCACAACTGTGTCAATTGTTTGGCCCCACTGCAGAAAGCCGAGCGCAGAAACAGTGTAAAAATTGCAGATTGGTTGTGCCCACTAAAACCTTTCTCCTGTTTTGCAGGTTCCAAATTATCAAAAAGTGTACTGGAAGCAGAATGATGATGTTTGTATCTGGTCAAACGCCTCACCTGTGGTACACGGTCAGCTGTACACAATGTCAAAGGGTCCGATGACAAAACCTGTCGGCAATTGCAGTCCAAAAAGAATTTCCGCCTTGTTCTCACGTTGCTGGCCCCACTGCAGAAAGCCACACAGTCAGTCAGTGTGTTGAAGCAGTTGTCAATGTGCAAAGGAGATGCTGTAGAAGGCTGAACACTGAGAATCAATCTGTTGTGCTGGCACAGGAGGCAAAAGCCCAATAAAATTAAATTCGTCGTGTTGTAAAATGGGTCCAGATCCGATGAGCAAAGAAATATGGCACCGCCCCAATTGTCACGCCCTGGGCAAAACTGTGTCCAAGCACCCTGTTACTTGAGAGCAGTGCTCGTGACTGCAAAGGGGCTTGTGTGTGTGTGTGTTTTTTGCGCACACGCCTTTTCGAGCTGCAAGGTCTATGCCAGCCAGCGCCATATGGTATGGCGGTCCCTTTTCGGAAGCTTATGTGGCCACATGGAGAAAAAATTGCATGGTGAAAAAACTGCTAAAAAAGAAGAGCCTGTCGCAAAAGCTCGGTCAGCTGCCATCTTTGCAAGTGCTTTGGGACTATGCAAGCATGTCCAGGAGCGCAGAAACTGATGAATTGTCCAGAGGCTGAGACTGCCGGTAGTATGGCAATCGAAGTAGTTCTGATCTCACCATCCAAACCATTGTGACATTTTCCAGTAGCCAGTCTTGTGGTGTCCAGGTCGGTTCCGGCTGGCGCCAGTCATCTGTGATCAACCATTGGATTGGACTCATGTGATTCTGAATCATGGGCCTGATGTGCAGGGCCACCCGGTAGTGGCCCGAACCATCTGTCCCCAAATGGGCCATGGCCGCAATGATTGTGTAGGCATGAAAATCGCTGTGAGTCGCATCCGCTGAGAAAACTGGAAAGAAACACTCTTCATCAAGTTGCATCTTGCTCAAGCACTTGTGGACTGTCATGTCTGGGCCCATCACGCATCGATCAACATGTGCACAAATGCAATCTGTCGGGTGCAAAAGTGCCGTATGCATCCCATCAGCCTGCAGCCAAGTGGTGATCAATGTGTTCAGGGAAAAATGCGGCAAAAGAATCTGCGTTTCATCAAACTTCAAGCAAATAGGTGCATGTGGTTCACGGCTGAAATCAACTGCATGAGTGGTCTCCGCAGTTTGCAGTCTCTTTTCCCATTGCATCTGAAAAACAGGCGATCGTAGCTCGTTGAGCCAAACCTGCACAAACTCCGAGGAGTCTTGCTGTGATATGGATACGGATCTCTGTCCCATCTCTTCTCTGCCCCAGCAACGCATGAGATCTCTGAAAAAGGTTTGAGTGGCAAGCGAAACAAGTTGATTCTTGGCTGTGCTCAAAAACTTCATGATCTCATGACATTGCGTGCCCCAAAGCGCTGGTGTATAGCTAGTCAAACTCAGAATGGTCCAGAACAAGGAGTATGCCGCAGCATTGCAAAAGCACCAGTTGGTCGGATTGGCCAATGTCATGTGTGACACAAGGTGTGTCAGATCATCCTGTGTGGCAATCATGCATCCGGCTTGGATGTCTTGTTGTTGGGCACTGTCTTGTGGTGCTTGCCCTTCTGCTTGCCCTTGCCATTGCCCTTGCTTCGAAAGCCCATGTTCCGCTCGAGGGTGTCGGCCAGGGAGCTCTGATACAGATTGTGTTGTTTCATGCTGGTGGCAAGAAGAGTCCAAACCTGGGAATGTGCCAGGTGAAGCAAGAGCTCGTAAGTCCTGGCTTCTCGAGACGACATCTGCAGTCGCCAGGGTGTCACCAGGCTGTCCGGTTTCGCTGGAAGTGAGTGGAACTTCATGATGAGGCTCACATCCTTGAAGCCGTCCTGCAATTCCAGGCAATGCTCGCTCATCTTGGCCAGGCTCACCGGTGTTTTCTGAGAAAGTTGCAGTTTCTGCTCTTGTGCATTCCATTCCGTGAAGGGCACTGTCTTGTCCTCCAACAGGATCTGGGAGCTCTTGGCTGCCACCAGCAAAGGTGAGTCCTCTGCCGCCTCCAGAAGTTTGTGGACTCTGGTTGTCAGCGCCGAAAGCAGGGCCTGGAAGAGGACCTGTCGGAGCGGTCTCTTCCACGTCGATGCATTCTCCGTGGATGCTTGATGCCAGGTCTCCGCTTCGTGCAGCAGCAAGGGAAGCACTCCCTTTGGATCCTTGCAACTGAAGTAGAAGATGAATGTTGTCTCGCGGTGGATCACCTGCAAGTCCCGATCCACCCTCAGGAGCAGCTTGGCCATGAGGACTAACAGCTTTTGTTGGTCGAGCTGAACGTCCTGTTTTTGGTCCTGTTGAGAGCCTTCTTCTTTTGGCTTTATGGCCCCGTCCTGTCGACGTTGTCGTTTGGGTGCTGCCGGGTTGGGTGAGAGTTTCAACCCTGTGTCCAACATGGGCGCCAAGTTCTGGAAAGTCTGCAGCATCTGTGTCAGGGCTCCTTCTTGACCCATCTGCCAATCCTGGAGTTCCATAGTGTGCCTGGGTGAGCAGGAGCGCAAGTTGCAGGATGCTCGGGCACTGAGCTCTCAGGTGAGCTTGAACCAGTTGCCTTCTAGAGGTACATGCATGCTCCGCAGGGTCCACAGCAGGTAAATTGAGAATTTGGCCACAGGCAAAACATGCACAATCATTGTCGCTGTGTTTCATGGCATGTGGAAGCAGTTGTGCAACATATGTCTTGACAACCGGATGCAGTCCCTGATGTGCCTCATGCAAATGGTAGTGGAGATCCATCGGCAGCAAATCTAGACCACAAAAGAAGCAAGAGCTGCTGCAGGCATCCAGCAGCAGTGCATCAGGCCAAAGCGTCTCCAAATCAAACCGCATGAGGGCATGTTCCAGTGTGTCTCTCATGTCTGTGGGGATGTGCGAAGGCAATGCTCTGGCCAGCTCAGTCCTGTTCAGCTTGGCTGGCATGAGGATGGCATTGGGTACCCGCATGAATTGCATGGCCAGTTGCCAAAAGGGCATGCAAATGTGCTGGAGCCGTACTGCATTGCAGGACGGGTTGCAGATGCAACCCAAGGTCTTGAAGTACTTCTGGACAAAGTGATGTACCAAAGGCCTAGCTGCATGCCATAAACTCGAATGCGATGATTGTAAGTGAGCTGACAGGTCTGCAGCCCGAGTGCATCGCTTGGGACAGCATTGGCATTGGAGAGTCAGCCGCATCCGATTGCGAGGGTTTGACAAGACCTCCTCAAATTGGCCACCACAGCAAGCCATCTTCCATACATCCAAAACCTCTGTGGGCATCGTAGATGCATCAGGGTTGAACTGCAAGCACCTACCCTGATTGATGTGACTGCGAAGGCCCTCCATCGTCTGGAACAGCATGTGGCAGTGATTGCACACTGGTTCTCCTTGAAAGCTGTCTCTGCTTTCATGCCATACTGAGCTCACCAGCTTGTGTTCCATCTGAAGATGCCTGTGCAGTTCCTGGGTGGAGGTGTGCTTGGAGCCACAAATCTCACACGTCAATGAGGCTTGCAAGGCATCAGTAGGGCCAGGGGACGGCTTGGGTCCATGCACGATCAGCATGGCTATCCGAAACCACACATTGCAGGAATGCGTTGACAGGAATGTCACTCCGCAGGCTGAGCAAGGCGTCTCATCGCTGTGCATGTTGGTCAGTTGAGTGGCCTTTGTCTGCACCAGGGAACTGCAGGCATTGTGCATCATTCTAACATGTTGATGCATGGCCTGTGCCCTGCCAACAAACTGGCCACACAGCAGGCAGTTGCGGGACAGGTAACTGCAGCCTGCCCTTTCTCGTAACAAATCTGGCCAACGTCGTTCACGGATCAATGTCAACAGGCGTGGTCCAAATTCATGTCTGTGAATGGCATCCATTTCATCTTTGGTCAGCTCCAGGACAGCAGGGCCTGGTTGAGCCGCCGTAGCATAGCTGGGTGTCTCCGGAAAAGGAGCAACAGGCCGAGCCGCTCGAAGAGCCACAGAGTCAACCTGGCAGCCCCGTTGCACATGGATATGGAAAGATCTCCAGGTGGTGAATGCAGCATGGCACAATGTGCAATGTGGCAGGCCGTGATGCATGAAAAAGGATGGGTCAGGCACATGTTGTCGATACCTAGTAACGCCATGAAACATGGTGAGGTGTCTGCGCAATACTGACAGGTGCGACGCACGGAATGGGCAGTGCGGGCATGTAAGGTCCAAATTTGCAATTGCCTCATCATCAGGCATCGTCGAGGCAGACATGGTCAGGCCTAGGTCAAGTGCATGTTGGAGCAGGTCTTTCATGCTCTGCACAGGTTGCCAATCGAGCTGCAAACTCAAATCACCCGGAAAAACATGATGTGCAGGCTTGGTAACTGACCGGTGCAAAGAGTCAGCAGCTCTCCAAAGCATCAACAGCGGGGGATCAAGGTGATGAATATGCAAGACATCAGCATGCGTTCTGCCTGTTACATAAGCATGATCATGGTGGATCTGGCGCAGCATAGTGATCATGGTCTGTTGCAACATCTCAAGGCATTGTTTGGTGAGGCCAATGGTGAAAATTCCATAGCTCAAAATCGGAAAAACACAGGTGTGCCATAATTGCATGCGTGCTCTGGCATCGAACCCCCTTCTGGCAGTGAGCCAGCGCTTCAGGCGTGAAAAAGCAAGCTTGGCAAGGCTCAATCTGTGTTTGGTGGTCGCAAGTTCAAACTGTTGATAACTGAGCACGGTGCCCAGATATTTGGTCTGTTTGACAATCGGAAGCTCAAAAGTGCGCACACGGCCTCTGATTTTGATCCATTCTCCACTGGCATCACGAGAAATCACATCTGATCGGACATGGCGGAAGTTGGTGCCTCCCATGATGAGAAGGACTGCAGATTTGGTGGTGTTGATATGAAGCCCTTTTTGTTCTAACACTTCCATTATCACCCCAAAATAGTACAGCAAGCGATACAAATCATGACAGGAATAAAAGAGTCCACATGCATGTATGTCGTCCGCATAAATGTTCAGGTGGGCTTGGAGCCACTGCCAGTCGATCAAATGCGTCAAGTCTTGAAGGTACAAAAGGACAAATGCATTGAAGAGCCAGGGAGCAGCCTTGCATCCCTGGCGCACTCCAGCGCCAACTTCAATGGGCGTTGTGCTGCCATTGACTTCTACATGGTAGGCAGTATGTTCATGCCAGCAAGCCAACATATGTGCAACCATAGGGTTCGGCAGGACTTCATGAAGGCGTCCAAACAGTTCTTCCCTGCAAACACTATCAAAGGCCTTGCTAAGGTCAAGAAAAAGTTGGATGGCTCCACAGACCTGATACATCGGGAGCTGCTGTTGCCTATGGAAAACAGCCGGTTTTTGGGATGCAACCAAAGTCCTGCCAGCCCGGCAATGAGCCGCAACTCTCAAAAGGGCATGTTGGGTGCTTCTGGTGGGCAAGTAAGCCCAAATTGGCCAGAGGACCAGCCAAGCCAGTGAGTCACGTTGTGCAACTTTGGCTAGCAGACCTATCACGGCCTTGCCGATAGGTTCCTGGAGCGCCAACGGCCTTAATGAAGCTGGATGACTTGGTTTCTTCAATGGTTTGGGAATGAGATGTAACCATGCATCTTTCCAACAAGCCGGTACGACTGGCTCAGCCTGGACCCAAAGCTGGTGCAAAATCCTGTACAGGTGATCTGCAAGCAAGCGCGAATGGGCATGCCAGATCAGACCAGGGCTGAATGGTTTGGCAACCGCCTTTGAAATCGGTATTTCCTGCAAGGCACGCTGAAGTTCTTCCAAAGTGAACGGAAGGCCTGCCATGTCACAGGGCACTTTGGGCACCGTGGAGGTTCCCTTCCATGTACATCTTACATACTCATGCATGATTGCCTGTTCCTCCACAGGTGTGGCCAAATTACCATGTGCATTGCGGATTTGCAATCTGGTCTTGGGGAGCTTGGGAGAGAAACGATTGATGACTTGAAACAATTGGAAACTATCATGTTTCTTGGCCGCAAGCTGCGCTTGGGATAAGATCGTCTCAAATCTTTGTTTTCGCACCAGGTAGGCATGCTTGCGATGAGAACGACGGAGTGTCTGAAATCTGGCAAGATGAAACCATGCTTTAAGGATATTACGTGTAGTGGGTACAAAAATGCCCTTACACTGATCCCTGTGCCTCCATTTGTCCATGATGATCGATTTGGTGGCATCCGCTGGTGAATCTGCCGTCTGCCGAGGCAGGGAAGGAAAGCAAGTTCTAAAAACCGTGCCAGCAATCTGATGCAAATCATGGAAAAAACCAGGGTCATGTGGATCTGCCTGCATGAGGTGCAAATCAATCTTCACGGCAGACTGTTGCATGAATGTGTGCCAGGCTTGAGTCTGGGCTGCATGAGCAAGTCTGCCAGCTGTGCGTTGTTGAACCGTGATTCCTGACATGGTATTGTTGGCTTGCGGTGGAATCCAATGTTTACGTAGTTGGCCTAACAATGGAAAGTGACCTACATGATCTGCTGCAAGAAAAGGAGAATGGTGTATGAGTTTGACATTCTTGGCCAAGCCATCTGCCAGGGGCAGTCTAGTGAAGGAGAAGTCAATACGTGAACAACCATTCGAACCACGAAAGGTGGGTCCTTCTGCAGGGTGCCATGAGTTCAGAGCCACCAAATGATGCGCTTTCACCAGGGCTACAAAGTCTCCAATATCAGGATGTGCAGAGCCAAAATGCTGAGAGCGATTCAGTCTGAAGCCATCACTTCCAACATGTCCAGGCACTGTCGGAAGACTGCAGTTGAAGTCTCCTGCCAGAAGTAGAACATTTCTCTTGGGTAGAGTGCTAAGATATTTATCTAAACACCGCCACCAAAGCTGTCTGTCATGAAGTCTGGCTTTGCCGGTCATGAAGGTATGTTGATAACATGCAACCAAGTCAAAACATCGTTGGGAAAATCGTAACTGGGCATGGAGTATGCGGCCAGGAGCTACTTCTTGCCATCGGAATTCAGAAGGCTTGCAAACATGTGAGGCAATCATGAGGAGAATGCCAGCGCCTGCATCTGAAGGGTGTCCCGTGTGCACTGACATCTAGTTGGCATCGCTCCACTCGTTGGAAAAACGCCAGCGAGTCTCAGTGAGGATCAGTATGTCTATGCATTGTCCTTGACACCAGATTTTCAACTCGTCAAGTCGATGCTGGCTCATGCCACCTCCATTCCAGCACAGGTAGCGCAGGTAGCGCCGATTTTGGTGGCGGGCATTGCAGGTGGTTTGGTCATGCATCGACGGTGGTGTGGGTGGCATCACATAAGTCCTACTGTCAGCAACTGGGCTGGGCACATGTGCAGGCTGCAAGTCTGAGAGCGTGTAGCATTTGCCCTTGTACCAGCAAGTGCCGTCTCTTGCGGCTCTCTTGATGGCTCGTTTCAAGCTGCGTTTTTTCACCGAATCCATGGTCGGCCGCAAGTAGCCGAAGCTCATTGATGGCTGAATGCCACGTGGCTTTGCACCAAATTGGTGAATCAGGGCCTCTTCCCAGGAAAGAGGTGCTTCAGCGGTTTCCGTGGCAAAACCGCAACCCTCACCCCCACTCCAGCTAGTATCATGCATGGTCAGGCAAGACATCCAAACCAAAAGGCAAAAATGGATAATCTTGGACACGCTGGAGTGCCCGGACTTGGGACCGGGCAAGCAGTCAGAAGTCAGCTCAGAGGCTGACGCGCAAGCAAAAAATCGTGTCAGAAGTGGTTTCCCCTCAGCAGCACAAGGTTCAGAGAAAGGCAAATCAAATATTCTGTGTCTCGAAAGGAATGCTGTCCGAAATTCCCTGTTGTTCCGAGGCTGAACTGAAAACGCACAACCCAGAATAAATGAGCGGCACAAAAGTGGTGATGAAAATGAAAATGCAAATGATGAGGCAACTTCCAGCTGTTCCAACACGTTGGGGGTCAGGAGTCACACAAACTGGCAATGTCAGTTCTGGTATCGAGCAAGTCCAGTCAGAGAGTAGACCTTGTCCTGTGTACCAAGTCCAAAGTCTCCCAAAATCCGATGTGCAGTGAAACACTAGCCACTCAGAAGCTGTCCAGAGAGCTCGGAGGAATGCAGTCCAGTTGTGGATATCAAAACCAATTGAATGTTGGAGCCAAAATTCTTGTTCCCAATGCAGCGCCACCTCTTGTGTATGTAAATCGGTGTGAACTGAAAAGACCCCACCGCAGAAAGTCTGGTGTAAAATGCAAATGGCTGAAAAAACTGAACCAAGACAGCAGCGTGCACAGGCCAAAAAACGCCTCCCGGTGTAATTAGTTGGAACCCCACCGCAGAAGGTCAGAAAGCGTCCAGAGAGACACACCTGTCTGTGAGCGTAGTGGATCAGGTGCACGATGCAATCAGGCTGGAGAATTCTTCCAAAGGCAGAGTTGGCAGTGTTGTGCGCAACGCAGATGAATTGTATTATTGAAGCTGCCCAATCCAAAGACCCAAGAAGGTGATCAGGTCTCGCACAATGTGGAGCCCCACCGCAGAAGGCCAGAATTCCGGTGTTATCTGGTAAAGCCCCACCGCAGAAAGCCAGCAAAGGATCGGTGTTAAGTTCGTGGAGGCAGTATTGTCCTAGCCAATGCGCTGGAAAACCACTGTGCTCCTGAAGGTCAAAGCGTGTCTCTGCGTTGTCAGAGCAGGATGTTTGTGAGCCAAATGCTGTGTCTCGGATCCAACTCGCTTGTACTGCCAAAGCCCCACCGCAGAAGGCCAGAATATCGGTGTGAAAAAAGGATGCAGCCCCACCGCAGAAGGCCAGAATTCCGGTGTTTATCGATGAAGCCCCACCGCAGAGAGCCAGCAAAGAAACGGTGTTGAGTACGCACAGACAATGTTGTCCGTTCCAATTCGCCGGGATCCCACAACAGTACTCCAGATAGGCAGGACGCGTCGCAGCTTGTTCAAATAAGGATGTATATGCGCCAAATTGAAAAGCTTGGATCCAAATTGATTGCAATGCAAGAGCCCCACCGCAGAAGGCCAGAATATCGGTGTGAATAGAGGACACAGCCCCACCGCAGAAGGCCAGAAAAACGGTGTAGGTCCCCTTGTCAAAAAGATTGTAGTCAATTGTATGGTTGCAAAAGCGCCACAGCAGCACTGAATGGTGTGCTCGAAAAAGATCTTCCAAAATCCAAAAACTGCTCTGCTGATCCTGATCAGAAAAATGAGAGGGTTGCCGCAAAAATGATGTGTCAATGTAGGATGGCCGTCCACCTGCAAATGTATTGGAAAAATGCGCAAAAATCAAATTCTCGTTCCCAAGTGCTGCAAAATCTTGATTGACCCCACCGCAGAAAGTCAAGGGCAAAACGGTGTCTGTAAAATCAATTGAATGTTCGGTCCAGTCCAGTGAGAAATGATGTCGAAAGAGATGCAGGCCTGACACTCTGAAAAGCAGAAAAAGCCACCACCAATCCAGAAAAGTCGTCGTATTGAAAGCCGGCAGCAGTCGCAATGGCGCAGACGCCCCACCGGATGATCGAACAGACGAGGGGGAAACAAGGAAGCCGCTGATGGATTCCACTTGCGCGCGGTACTCGAGACCGCAAAGGGGCTTGTTTGTGTGTGTGTGTTTGTGTGTGTGTGTTTGTTTTTTTCTTTCAACGCTCCTTTTCAGATCTGAAACGGCGCTCGCCTCTACATCTGCACTTTCACAGATGGTTCTCGTATTGAGAAACGTGTCCCTCATCACCTAACGTGTGAGCAGGTACCAATGGGAAAAGGTCCTGTCACATGCACAGCATCCAAAAGAAGGAAGGTGATGGATCAGCAGCAGCTGATGCAGTAGCCAGGGCGGCTTCCTGAAGTCTGGCAAAAATGGAGAAATGCATGGCAAAGTTGGATCACATCGGCGTGAGAGGCGTGTCCCTCTCTGGCTTTGTTTTTTTTTTGGCACTGGAGGCCATTGAACTTTCGAACCGCTGGATTCTACCCACTGAGGGAGTGCATCACGTTGGGTTCGGCATTGTGAAACGAAACAAGGTGAAACAGGAAGTCCATTGCAATGAGAAGCAACAGCTTGATGGGCTCAGCACATCTTTTGGTGGTGCCTGCCTCTTTTTTTTTTTTTTTGGCATCTTTTGGTGGCCCTCGGTCTGGGGGTCAACCTGGGGGTTACCCAGGCAGCGGGGATAAACCAGCCTGGGGGCTGGGTGCATGAAAAGGGCCATCAAGGCCAAAACTGGGGCAAAGAATATTGCAAGAATATTGCCCGGGGAGCATTGGGGCGGCAGGAGCCCTATCGTTAAAATCAAGGGTCTGGCCATTTTTTTTTTTTGGATGGGGTACGCACTGGGGATGCCAGCGGGCAAAATGGGGATCTATCGGCGGGGAGCCGGGTGCATGGGGAGTGCCAAAATGGCGATGTGAAACGAATGGTGATACATGACCTATGCATACTAAAAAGAGTCGCCAGCTAGGCAAGGCAAAATGCCAGCAAAAGGCTGCCGCAGGGCAAAGTGCCACGTTGGACAGCGAGTGAGACAGGATCTAAAGTTTTTTTTTCGGAATGACAAAGCAACAGCTTGATGGGGCATTCCTTTTTTTTTTGCCCTCTTTTTTTTTACATCCACAGAATCGAGGCAGGATACATAAGGAAGCTACCAATGCAAAGCATCCAGGGACGAGGCATCAGGCCATGTTGTCTACGTGGGCAGGCATGGCTGGTCTGTCAAAACGGTCAGCAGTGCGTCAGCAGACTGAGCGCGAGGCTGGGTCATGAGATGCATTTCAAGGCTGTCGGTGCGGCAGAGCCAGAAACCCGTAACTCCATGGGAGAAATTGGTTGGGAAATTCCAGCATCGGTCAGGGAGTCTGTTGTCGTCACAAAACATCCACATGCTGGGGGCAGCCAAGTTGGAGACCTCAGGATAGGTCCGCAGCATTGTTTGATAGTGCCCTCCTTGGGTGTCGCCCAAATGTGCCACAACAGCGACCACGGTGTAAGGCACCGTACCCAGTTCAGAGGCAGCTGTCAACACCGGGACCTGGACCTCCCACGCAAAGTTGATGATCGCCGGGTGCTTGTAAAGAGTACCCGTGGGTGTCATGACCAGTCGTTCTACATGAATCACCAACAACTCACGAGGATCTGAGAGACCCGCACACATCCCCAGCTCAGCGCTCCACAGCCTGAGAAGCGTCGTCAAGGAGATTTCGTTATCAACTATCATAGCTGGATCCAACTGCAATGTCAAGGGCATGAATCGATCACCATGGTCATGGACAAGATTGGCAGCCTGAGTGCTCACGCGTCTTTCCCAGCTGTTGGACAAGGCATCCGAGTTGAGCCAACTGGCAAGTCTATGTCCAAACTCCGCACTGTCAGCTTGGCCCTGTTGATCATTCCATCCATGGATAAGTGTTTCAAACCAATCCTGGGTGTCCAAAGGAAAAGGAGTGCCATCATTATCATTCAGAATGGTCTGCAGGGTGGCCGCTTGTGCGCCCCAGTCAAGGTACTGAAAATTGCGCCTTGACAAACAAGCCCACATATAAGCAAGAAATGCACTGTTGGCATAACATGAAGAGCCCGAATTGTTCAGTTGAAGGTCCAACAGCAGATCTCGCAAGCGCTGACGATCCAGGAATGTCAGGTTCTCCTCTGAGTCTTCTGAGAGCTCTTCCCCTTCCCATGTCCTTTCCCTTTCGGGGCCTGGAGATTGTTCAACGTCTGTTGGAGGAGATGAGCCGGTCTCGATAGTGCCTGGTTGTGCTGTTTGACCGACATCCCGAGCAGGGACCACGCTGTGTTCTGGCAAAGGTCCTGGATCAGGTACCAGGCGTCTGAGTCTCGATGAGAAAGTTGGAGGAGCCATGGGACCGTGGATTGGTCGGTCCTCAGGCTGTGGAACTTCTGGACATGGCTGTTCGACTGAAGCAGCTCCTCCAATGACTGGAGGTTCCTCAACATCTGTTGCATGGAGAGAGGTGCTCGGGCCGCTCTCTTCAGCTGCTTCGAGTCTGGACACCACTTCTGGTACCCCCAGCTCCCGTCCGGGAGCAAGGTTCCCTTCTCCACGGCCAGGTCCCAGAGTTGTTCGCCTTTCTTCGAGGCCGCCAGCTGCTGCACTCGGCGGTGTAGTTCCGCCACCACTCCTGCCATCAGATGCGTTCTCAGATTGGGCCATTTCAGATCGTCCACGTGGCTCGGCGCTTTCTCCCGCCAACTCTGTGCCAACACCTTCAGGTGCGGGATGATGCCCTCCGGGCGGTCTTGAGCAAACAAAACGAAGCAATCCTGTCGGAGCTGCAGTTGGATGGAGCGCTCGTGACTCAGGATCAATTGAGCCATCAGGCGCAGCATCGACGCCATCGCCTCGGCCGACTGGTCGTTGGAGGTGGCGTCTTTGGCTGCTGCTTTGTGCCGTTTCGGCTGGTGATCGTCGTTTCCATCCAAGTGTTTTCTGGCGCCCAACAGCAGTGGTCCCAATGCCTGCAGGCCATCCATCAGGGCTTGATCGTTGGGATCCATCAGGGCGTCCATGGAGAGGATGTAGAAGAGCCGCAATCTGAAGAACAACCGGGCAATTTGTCGCAAAATGTTGGTGCTGGAGTTGGCAGCGGTCAGGTGACAAAAGAGTGTCTGGAGCACCAGGCAGGTTGAAAACCAATTCACAAAGGCTGCACTGATAATCATTGTTCTGCAATGTCTGTAAAAGATGTTGCAACTGAAAGACAATCTGAGCAGCCCACGCACAGGTCTGTGGATGTTGAACCAGCAGGTGATGGAGGAGAACCGGAGCCTGATACCATCCTCCACAGGTCAGGCAGCGTGACCGCAAAACCTTCAGAAGGTCCTCATCCTGCCAGAGGCGTGCAAAATTTCGTTGCAGCATCACTTCACACACCTGTTGTTGAAACCATTCATCCTTCATGCAGCCCAAGGCAGTTTCAAGCTCGTGTCGGAGAAACTGTTTTGGCACAAACAACTGCAAGTCATGGCTGTGGATCATCATGGCTGTCTGACGGAGAAGTGCACACACATGGGTAAGCCCTAACTCATGTTGTTGGGGGTTACATAAGCATCCACGTTTGGCCATGACCGTCTGAAGTAGGAAGCGAAGCCAAGGTTGCGATCCCACCCATAGGTCCCCATGCGACTGCAGAAGGTGTGCCACTAAATCCCCAGTGCGGGAATAAGCCAGGCCGCAAAATTGACATGTGTTGGTCAGCTGGAGCCGCATATGGGCCGTGAGAGCCTGTGGTTCAAAATTGCAAGTCTGCAGCCAAGGCCCCCATTTTTCGGTGGTATCATTCGGATGTGGTGTTGCAGCCGGGTTGAAGGCCTCGCACCTGCCCTCAGTGATGTGACGCCGCAAACCTGAGCGACTATCAAAAATGATGCCACAATGGCGGCAGCCATCGCCCCCTTGATGGGAGTCCCTGGAAGGGCACCAATCATTGAGAGTCAATCCATGGGTGTTGGTCAAGTGACCATACAACGCCCCCAGGTCAGGAAAGGGCAGGTCACAGATGTCACATGTGCATGCCACTGCTGGCCGATCCTCCTCAGGTCGCAGCTGAATCACAAGCATTCCGATTTGCAACGCAGTGGGACAGCTATGAACCCGACTATAAGGTCGTTGGCACAGGCTGCATGGTGACGTGGTCTGCATAAGCACCGAAAGTTGTGCACCTTTGGCAACACTGCCTTGCACCTGATCTGGGTGGGTCTGACGAAAATGGCCATGCAGCTCCTGAAAACGATTGCACCAAAGGCCGCAAATGGCACAGTGATGAGTCAGATATTCAAGCATGTCTGCATTGCGTGGGAATTGTGTCCAGTCTGCCCTTGAGATCAACCTCTGTAGCTCAGGCCAGAAGGCTTGGGTCATGACATGGAAACTCAGTGTGTTCACATTCGGCACGGCAGGCGATGACAGTGGCATCGCAGGAGCACTTTCTGGAGGCAACTCAGCGGGTCCAGCCATGACCTGGCAGCATGCTCGTTGCACATGAATGTGAAAACTGTTCCATGTGGTGAAAACCTGAAAGCATCGACTGCATTGGGGGGCACCCTTCAATGCTACAGTTGCAGGGGGAATTGATGAGGTACGATATTGTCTGAGGCCATGATGGGTGGTGAGATGACGTCTCATGTTGGCTATGGAAACAGTTGTAAATGGACAATGCGGACAAGTCAGCTCAGCCTGAGTCTGCACAGGATCAGCAGCGTCAGGACTTATAGGCACCTCTACAACGGATGCTCGGATGCATTGAATAAGATGCAAGGTATTTGGGAGTGACTGCCAGTGGACCCGATGCAAAAAATCTGTGGGCAGAAGAACACTGGCACGCCTCTGCAAGCGTTGCATCATATTCATGGCAAGGGCACCGAGCATGTCAAGCGGGTGATCAAGCTGATGTCTTGTGAAAACCTGCATATGCGTGCTGTGTGTCCTGTACGGGTGGTCACCAAGAATGATTCGTATCATACGATACGTGGTTTTCTGGAAATCATGCAAAATGGCAACAGTGACATCAGTGGCAAGCAAGCTATATGTCATGACCGTGAAGACACATTGTTTCCACAAATACAGCCGCTGGTGCTTGGCAATGTGACGGTGTCTGAGCCAACTTCGAAGTCGAGTGAATGCAAGCCATGCAGATTGGCGCCGGTGCACCCAAGATTGCTGTTCAAAGGCAGAATAACTGATCACAGCACCAAGGTAGCTCCCTTTGGATCGCAGGGGCAAGGCTGACGGCGGTCTTTGCTGTCTCGGGACAAGCAAAAAATGTTCAGAACCCTGACGTCGGATGCGTCCTTTCATGGGAGGCCGTGGATTCGTGCCCGCATATTTCAAAAGGATAAAAGACTTTTGGTAAGAGAGCTGTAATTCAAGTCGTTCAAGAGTATCTAAAACCAATCCAAGATTGTGCAAATGGACCGAAAATGCATGAGGTGAACAAAACTGGCAACCTACATGTATATCGTCCGCGTAGATGGTCAGGCACTCCTGAATCCATGGAAGGCCAGTCTCAGCTTCCAGAAGGCTTAGAAGAAACTTGTTCATATAAACCACCCATAGTTGGGGGGCAATTTTACATCCCTGGCGTAAACCCTTACACACCTGCACAGAGGTGGTTTGATGTTGAAATTGAAGGTTGTACCGGGTGTGTTCATGCCAGCTAGCAACCAATTGAACCAATTCAGGGGGAGTTCCCAGGTCGAAAAGATGATCAAATAAAATACATCTGTTGGCACAATCAAAAGCCCTTGACATGTCAAGAAATAATGATAGTCCTCCACAGAAGGTGAGTTTGGGGGTATTGGTCATCTGTTGAATAACCGACCTTCTCTGGGATCCCACAAGTGCTCGGACGGCCCGGCTATGGCTGGCAACGCGCTGAATTGCATCAATGGCACCGCGATTCGGCATGAACCCAAAATGGGGGAAACAGGTCAAGATGGGTCCTAATGAATGTTGGATTAGTGAGGCAATGATACCCAGCACCAACTTGCCCAATGGTTCCATGAGGGATATCGGGCGCATCTGTGAAGGGTGGGTATTGGGCTTACCCGGTTTCGGGATAAAATATAGCCAGGAATCCTTCCATGATTGCGGAATTTGGGGGGGACTGTGACTCCACCAAACTTGCAATTGTTGATACAGGGATTCAGCAACTTGGGAGGGGGCACATTTCCATATGATTGCTGGCATGAATGGCTGTGCCACTGACTTGTTGGCATGCAGCTTGGTGATGGCTCGGGTCAGATCATCTTGGGAGAAGGGCACTCCCGGTGCACAGTCAGCATAGGTCGGGAGACTGGCCGGGCCTGCCCACATCTGCTGGACAAATGCAACTGTCAGCGAGTGTGCCATGAATTGGTCAGCAATTCTTCCATCAGAGCCCTTGATACGTGCACGTGCCTGTGGTCGTTTGGGCGTGAAGCGATTGATGATAGAAAACATAGAATGTGAGTCGTGATGCATGGCTGCCCGATCCACTTCTTGGCAAAGCTGATCAAAGCGTTGCTGTTTGGCCAACCGCGCCTGTTTCTGTTGTTGCCTCTGCAAGACACCATAACGGCTTCGATGATGCCATGCCTGCAGGACGGATCTGAGTTGGCAAGGTCCCTGTGAAACACTGATGGATCGCAGGCAACGCCTGTGAAACCACTTGTCATGGGTAGCTGTGTGAAACATCTGCAGATCCTGTTTCGGAAAATTGATATTTTTTGTTGGAAAAAGAGAGTGAAACGCCGATGAAATCTGATCATGAATTCGAACAATATATTCTTCAGGGGAAGCCTCCAACGGAGATGTGTCCACAGTCGCTATGACATGTTGTCGGAGTTGATGCCACGCGGCTGTCTCCTCGATGCTGGCCAGTCTGCAGGTATTGCGTTGTGCAATGGTGCATCGTGTGGGACGCTGATACTGCTGATATGTTATGTGGTGTGTGCGTATGGAACAAAGCATGGGTACGTGATGCGATTGATTGCAGGGGGCAAAATCTGCTGAGTTCAGGTACCTGACATGCTTGGCCACGCCATCACTTGAAAAAATTCGAGTGAGGACATGATCTATGCGTGTCGCATGAGAACCGTGCACAAACGTGGCTCCTGATCGACCCCAGGTGTTCAATGCTGTCAATCCATGCAGGCGTAACAGACCCTGAAAACGGTGGTGATCCCGATGTGAGGTACCAAAGAAACGTTGTTGATTCCAGCAGTAGGAGGTGGTGCCGACCCAAGGTGGTTGGGCCCGGAGGTCACAATTAAAATCTCCTGCGCAAATCAAATTGTTCCTCGATGGAATGGTGCCCAGGCATGTGTCGATGGCATCCCAGACTAGTTCGCGACTGTGCATAGATTGCTCTGTACGGTAGTCCACAAATTGGTAAATGGCAAGAATGTCCAAGGCTCTTGTGTCGCCATGTACCCTGATGTGTAAGGCACGGCCCGGAAAGACACTATCAAAACCAATTTGATTGGGATGAGCCAGTCTGCGGGCGATCATAACCAATAGGCCCCCACTTCGTCTCTGATCAGAGGACGAGTGGACATAGGACCATTCTCCATCAATCCAGTTGGATTCAAATCCCCAACGAGTCTCTGCTATTACCACCACGTCCACTGGATGGGATCGCAGCCATTGTTTCAGTTCCAAAAAGGTGGCCTGAGACAGCCCCCCCGGGTTCCAAAAAAGGGTAGTCAGCCTGGGAGAACGTGTGGATCTCGGCATCTTCATGGGCAAGGCCTTGACGCCTGTTCCAGCATGGGTTCGAAGTTTCTGTACCAGAGTCGGAGGAAAATCGGTCACCTGCAATGTCTGTCCATGATAATGTGCATAGCCATTGTTGATGGCCCGTCGGCAGGCCCTCCTGTAGCTACGCTTCTGCACACTGGTGTAAGGCAATGAGGTTAATTCAGTGTTACCACTGACTGGTGGCGGGTGTCCACATTTTGCAGCAACATCATAAAAGATGGAATGCCACTGATCTGCTTCAGTCGTGGTAGTGGTCCCACGACAACCCTCACCCTCACAGCTGTTTCTTCGGAAACCAGAGAAATCTGTAAGTTGTGTCTGTCGCATCTGTAAGAAGTCACACTCAGCTGTGCCCGGAATTGGGACCGGGTTGCCGTCAACAAGAGCCTGTGGCGCCAAAAACCAGGTGATTGTGATGAAAAACCAAAAATGTCGTCCCCAAACCCGCATAGTGCGTCCAGTTGCCAAGATTGTAACAAGAAATACCACCACAAGGGCTGTAAAATCTTTGGCCAGCAGGGGTGATAAATCTGTCGACGCAAGGGGGTCACTCAGGCAGGAATGTCCCGTCCCTTCCAATCCAACAAGACCAAAAATCAATGTAAGTAATGAAAAGGCCAGGGAGTGAGTCGGGGGCCCAACCCTTGCTCAGCACAATGGCAAGTACCCCGGGGCAGGAACGGTCGTGGGAAACAGCTGCAGCAATCACCTAGTCCAGAGTGAACTGAACTTGATGGCGGCTCTCGAGACCGCAAAGGGCTTGTGTGTGTGTGTGTAACATCTGAACAGATGTAAAACTTCTTTGATTCTAACCTTTTCACATTTGCAGGGAATCTTTTTACATTTGCAGGGGGTGGATGCATGGTCTGGCAGTCATCCACCAACGAAGACACTGCCTTTCCATGGTGATATGACAAAGGGACGCCTTTGTCACGTACCTGCCTTTTTCGGACATAGCAAGGGGCCAAGCTTAGAACCCCAACCACCATGATTTTATTCCTCCACGGTTGCCACAATCTGTAGTTTATGCATCAGAACCTTCCTCAGATTTTCGCCGAAACCATGTCGCCGACAGTATTATTATTTTTTGACCTATTTTCGCCGAGGATTATGTCGCCGATGAACTTTGGGTCATTTTGGGAAACCATCGCCGAAACACTCTTATTTTGGATTTTCAACATGCTGGTCAAGACTTTGTGGACTCTGGTTTAAACTCCGTTTGACAATATTGGATACCTTACATCGTTTTCGTAAAGTACCTCATGTGGCTCCTTTATAAATCTAACGATCTAGGCTGGTTTGCATGTTTCAGGATTCAGTTCCTGCCAGATCATATAATGATCCATTCTTGTCTAGTGTGATTTCCATGGTGGCTCCGACATGGTGCCATGGAGCCATTTGAGGCAACCCTTTTTAGGGTGAGTGATGACTGCTTTGACTGCTGAATTTACACTTTTCAATTTAGTAATTCGTTTACGTAAATTGCAACAGCTGGCCTTACGGTTTTCCAGCCTTGTTGAATGTCCCGCGGCTCCGGATGTCCCAGGGATCCCAGTGCTCTGCTCTTTCAAGTGACGCCTTACTGAACATTCAGAAACCTCTTATTCTGCAGCACTTTCCCAGCGACATTTTGCAACATTACATGCAAGTGGACCAGGCAGGCACACGACTTTCAGGTGTGGTATTCTTCCTTTTGGTTTTCTGGTGAGGTGAAACATGTTGTGCACCTAATTCGCTGGAACTTGAAAGCCGTTTTATGCCCTTGTGGCTGACTGGAACACGGGCCTGTTGTGGCACAATTGCACGAACAGTAGGTCTAGGAACTGAGTCCTGTGTGTGACCTTTCATTAATCTTCATTATTTTCGTGAGCGATGTACCCGTGGACCACTCCTCCGACGTCATGGCCTGCTCCACCACAGCCTACGACCCCATCCTCGACGTGGCCGCAATCATCGCAGAACGCACATCTATTCGGACATCCCTCGCCATTGCACCCTACATGGTCTTCATCAGCCCCAACTTCACTGCCATTTACCTCATTGGCTTCGGCTCCTCATGCAGTACCAGGCCCACAACTTGTGCCAACTATGCCTACACCTATGGCTCCTGAAACCACTATGGTGCACACCGCTCCACCGACTTTTCCGACTCCCACGGCACCCGCCGCTCCACCCACGTGGCATTCTCCTCCGGCTCCATCCCCTACGTCGACTACACCACCTACATCGACTACGCCACCGACACCTTTGCCGAGTTCTCCATACCCACCTCACCACATCCAACCTCCACAACAAACGGACGCAGCGATGGTCCCTCCAGATGAACCTCCACCACCAGCAGTTAAGGCAGCTCCCAGGCTTCGATCTGGCAAGAAAACGGACAGACCACGTCGATCAGCTCCGAAAGCCTCTCCTCCTGCTACACCACCGGCACCAACGGCGGCACCGACTTCATCCGTTTCACCTGAACTTGCAGCGCTGGGATCCACCGCACAACAACTTGCGGAATCGGTTCGACTTATTCAAGCTCAACAACAATTGATCATGGATTCCCAACGAGCCCAAGAACAACGTCAGCTACTTCTCCAACACGATGGACCTCCACCGAACCCCATTCCACCGACACCATTGCCTACAACAGCTCCACCACCTATTGCCATGCCTCCACCTGCACCGAAAGCCAGACCCACCGAACCTGACGTTCCGGACCCTCGCATCATCCCAGCTCCAGCTGTCGCTCTTCCCCACCACCTACATGCTCCACCATCACCAACGCGCCGACCACGATCCAGGACTCCAAGATCACGTTCCCGTCGACCTTCTGTACAATCCCATCATCATCGCTATTCTCCCCAACGTGCAGCCCGACCTCGTTCTCCTCTTCCTCGTTATCGGTCATCCACGAAACATCCCAAGGACCGCAGAACCCCGTCACCATACAGACGAAGATCACCACCAAGACGCCGCTCTCCCGTGGTTCCTCGACGTCATCGATCTCACCCAAGACCACGTTCCGCGACACCACGTCACCGATCCAGAGGCCGTGAAGTCGTACTTCGACCAGCTGCACACCCATCCAATCCAGCCTACATCCCCACTCCCGACGCTGATGACACCTGGGGCACATGGAACGACAGCCATTACACCGACAACTACCACCACAACACTGCTCGACCCAACTCTCCTGCCGATCCACCACCACCGGAACCACCTGCCAACCCACCAGCCCACACTTCAGCACCACTTGGCGCTGTTTCCTTCCGCGTCCCTGACGGCGACAGTGAAAATTCTGAGGTGGCAGATACAATTTCGATCTCAAAGTTCGACACGAATGGCATCGACCTCAGTGAAATGGTTGAGGCGGCCAATGATCCCCTTAGGGTCCGCTGCTTGACTGAGCTTGGCCCCGACCATGTCGTGCCCCTACGCCAATCATTGACCCCGGCCATCTCGCAGCTCTTCAACCAATTCGTTGACGAGATGTTCCACCAGTTGGCTCAACCATATCGCACCGTCAACAACCAACGTATTTATATCAAAGCAAGCCAAGCCACCGTCAAGAACATTGCCAGGGCCTTTGCACAATCCAACTTACTGGACATCGAGCTTGCGAGGCAAACCCAAGCATTCTACATCGAGCCAGAGAACCTGCTGACCATCACGGTCCCCACTGGATTGAGGAAGAAACCGATCTATCGCGGCGAACACATGGGCACCTACCTGATCTACCACAAAACGAGTTGGGAATCAGTTGCCAAAATTCTCGCGGAAGACTGCATCCGCCCGGCAACTTGGACAAAAAACGAAGCCGGCATGCCAACTCAATACCCATGTTACGGATTCTTCGGTATGTCCTCCGAGATCGCTGACATTGACAACCTACCAGGCTATGCTGTCAAGATTTGCACCTCTCAGCTCTATCGCATAGGGAAAGGACAAAACCCATCTGGCCTACTGGCCATTTGTCGCTCACCCAAATGCATCCGCGCACTAGCTGGAGGAAATGACCAAATTCAACGCTTGTGCAACCTCGCGGGCATCGCCAAGGGCAAAGACAATGCAACGGCTATGAACTCCAGCGCCGCATCCATATGCTATGTTGCATCCACTCACTCGGTTTTCCCGGGCTTGATCACACACCAGACAGCGGAGACAAATCCACCCACGGAACCTCCTGATGATCCTGCACGTCCAGTACGACCTGACCCTCCTGCCGACACACCAGAACCTTCGGAGCCACCTCCAGACGACTCTCGAGACACAACTGGCCACCACGAGACCACTGCGTCTGGTTCTCGAGATCATGCTCGCCGATCTTGGCACGACAATGCTTCTTGGGACAACTCAACCTACAGCCGCCGAGATCGCCGTTCCTCCTATCACGAAGGCCATTCTCGAGACCAGCACCGTGAAGGCCGACCTCGTTCTCGAAACTCGACATATCATTCCAGATCTCGCTGGTGAACTCTTTACCTCTGAGGAGTACCGGAACAAGTATCGACTATTCTACAACAGTGATCCAGTGAGCCTAGTGGGCCCGCCCGATCTTTTTGGAGTAACAATGCTTCTCCCGACATTCGGTATTGATGCCACTTCTTCCCTCAAAAGGTTTGTGAACTGCTGCATGCTCAGGATATTTGAACCTTGCGCCAGCTTCGTATTTCACTTTACGTTTCACATACTGGGACCACGTATCCTGTTTCACACCGTTTCAATCACATACCATCCTCGTCTCACCTTGACATTTCACCGCAGCTTTCAGTCGGCAGTTCGAGTTTATTTTGACCTATTATCTCGTGGCCCCGTCTACATCATGGCGTCCCAGGACCTGATCTCCCAGTTCAGCTCTGACGTGAACGGAATTCCTCCTTCCCAGCCGGATCGCTCTCGCACACCTCCCCGGCACCAACATGGATGGCACCAAGCAGTACCTGCGTTCCGTGGCCCGATGCACTATGCGACCCATCGACCTTTTTGGAGCCAGCCCGGGATACCGCCTCCGCCACCTACATCTCCATCGTTCCCAACACGCCCACCATGGACTCCACCTACGGCACCTTTCCCACCTACACCGCCTCCGTTTTCCCAGACACCTCCCAACAATGCCAACTTTGCACCTCAACGTCATCCTTTTACACCGAGATCGCCGAGGCCTATGTCATCCCCGGGAGCAAGTTCTACTGTCAACGAAGGGTATACATGCAGACCAATTGAAATTCCGCCAGTGGAGCAATGGAAACCTGATGTCGACTTCCACGACTCCAACAAGATCAATGGTTTGGATTTCCCCTCCAGAATCCGACAGAGCCGGTTTTCAAGCTACAAAG